CGTACTCACATGCAGTTAAAACAAATTAAGAATAAGCTAACTAATTTAAATAAAACACTGTAACGGTTTAAAACGCGATATATTAAAAAAATTCAAACAAGTTAGACTAAAATATATCGCGTTTTAAACCGTTAACGTATTTTATTTAAATTTTTAGTACTCGTGTAAACTTAGTAGTATCAGTTGACTAATATATTTCGCGTTTAAAACCGTTAAAAGTGCTATTTAAATTTGTTGTACTCAAGTAAGCTACAGTACTGTACTTGCCGGTTTACCCTTTAAATATTAAAAGTAGCTCCTAATGAACACTTTTAATCCTTTTAAATAAAACACATTAACGGTTTAAAACGCGTATATGTTAGTTAAACTTATTTGAAAATGATTTTTAACTTCGGCCCGACGTTTCGGATGCTTTGCAGCAGCCGTGGTCACGGGGAGACTCTGTTTCTATTTAAATGTGTACTACTCGCGTAAACTATAGACAGTATTTAATTTTAATCCTTTTATATCAATTAATTTATTTATAGCGTATCATGAATGGGTTATTTTTATAGTGCTTGAGGTTATTTGAGTTGACAAAGGTCGCTTGGCAATCAAGTGATCCGTGAAAATCCTTTTAACGATAACATAGCGTGAAAGATTTATTATTTCAGTCACACTCCGCTCCTGTAATTTGGGGTAAGTCGAAAAGGCTATGTGAAAGAATGGTTAAGAGTGGTCATGGAGTGTATCATTTACCGATATAAATTTAAAAACGATATATTGAAAAAAACTTGAACCGACATCCACAACGTTCTATGTTGTTGCTCTAACCAATTGAGTTACTGTGTCCTGTATCCGTAACTAGCGATAATTAGAAGTATCAATTACACAAACATACAAATATGTCTGTTAAATGAAAACCATTTTTAGCTATATTCAAAGTTTGAGTGCAAATGAAAAACAATTACTTTTATTTAGTTTTCTACATGCTATAAATTAAATACAGAACGTTAAAAGTACAATGTCCCATGTTCGAATCCGGGGGAAACAATAAATAGTTCAATAAATAGTAAAACACTCCAGCCATATAGCATCTAAACAAGATGTGCTGTCGGCCTATTTTGGCAATCGGTATCGTGATTAAACTTCACGTGTTTTTTATCTGTGTACGTTGTTTCGGGACCTGGACGGAAGTCCGAAGTCCAAACGTAACGTAACGTACATACCTGTCCATAAGGATAGTGCCGGTATGGTGACCGGCCGTACCCCAAGTTAGCGAGCATGTCAGAGCTGAAACGGTTGAAGAGTCCACCCCAGGCGTGGCTAGAACCCAGACAGGCCAAGAGCACCAGCGCCAATACACCCATGTTGATACTAGAACAAAATTTCACAATTAATACGAAGCCATTATATAGATTGGTTATAGTTTTTATTGTAAGCGATAAATGAAATTTGAATCAACCTTATGGACACAAAATAATGTCTAACGGATATAGAATGTCTGCTCTTCATTAGGACGCATCTGATTTAGAAAAAAAAAAATAAAAATGTTGTAAATAAAGATATTTCCAAATTGGGTATTTTTGCCTTATATACTTAAAGTTAAAGTCGGAAAAGTTTACGGGAGTAGTTAATATAAACATAAATAAACACTTTAACGGTTTAAAACGCGATTTACTTTAGTTAATCTTAATTGGAAATTATTTCAACTACGTCCCGACGTTTCATTTAGAACAACAGTGTTCATATAATAAAATAATTTTTACTAATATACATCGAGTTAGAAACTTGTTAAAATGTTTTATTTAAACCCCCTATAATTAGCATAAGCGAACAATAAATGTGCCCGTGTTTACTGAATCGATTCAAAAAACGATTTCGACTTCTGTGCCCTGGCCCGACCGAAACAATCTACTGGTTTCCCGGGATTAGAACTTAACGGAAAACCTGTTGCCTACCCGCATACTGTTTGGAACACGTTTTACCATTTAGCTACAGAGGAGGCCCTCCTTATATATATTTAGCAGATAATTAAATAGCTAAAAAACGGAAGGAAAACAAAAACAAATAAAAGAAATAAAAAAATGCTCCACAAGTTACAGCATGTTTTTATTGTTTTTTTTTATTTATGCTTCATAACAAACTTCTTTGAGGTGGAATAGACACCTTCTACCCGTAATAAAACCTCCTTACGTAAATAACCTAGTGTGTCGCTGTCCTTACAAAGAATGCTTACCGAAACATGGTCTGGTCTCCTCGGTGGCCTGGGAACAACTGTGGATCCATACAGGGTGCTGGAGTGCGCATGGTAGGAAGGAAAATTCGTCCACAATGGATGGACTTTCTTTGCGACAATTCTGAGCGTCTTTTTGCAGTGAATTTTATTAAAGGCGTTTTTTTTTGTTAATGCAATTGGTTTCTTAATTTTCTATTTTTTCTATCCGAATCATCTCTCCGAAACAACGGCTGCTCAAAGCAACCGGCAAGTTAATAATCATTTTCAAATAAGTTTAACTAATATATCGCGTTTTAAACCGTTAAAAGTTTATTTAAATGTGTACTACTCGCGTAAACTATAGACTGTATTCTATAATTGTTGGACCCCGTCTGGAAACCTGTATATTAAATGTGTGGTAGGAATATCAAAAAATTGTGTACGACTCACGAACTATCGTACACAGATCAAAAAGCCTTATCGAAAAATTTAATACTATTTCGGTTTCAGTTCATAGGTCGCACATCTAGATGTAATATGGCTCGGATTTTTCACCTACCATTCAGGTAAACCACATGCTTGTCTGTACTCATCCATAATAAGAAAAATATTCCTTTCCAACATAAAGACCGGTTTTTAGTCGCAGAAGCCCTGCACCATTAGGAACGCGCCCTAACCCAACTGATATCGGACACGTTAAAGCATTTTCGCGGAACTTCCTATTAATAAATGTTTATGTATTTCAAAGGAAGGATTATAAAAAGTAAGTGAGAATCGTTCTTAAGTCTGTTGAGGGAACGGCTCTTTTTTGATGTAATTAAAAAAATATCTTGGCGATTAAAGTCCGTTGGTCAAGAAATATTCTATGTTAATACAAAGTGTTTCATCAAATATTAATAGAATAGATACTAATTAGATAATTAGCTTTATTTTCGTAGTTTCACTGTGCCTTCAAGTATTTGTCACATCGAAATATTTCATAGGAAGTTTGCGAAAAAGAGTAATCAGATTAAAGTACAATAAAGAATAAGTACTGTCTGTAGTTTACGCTAGTAGCACACATTCAAATGAAACACTTTTAACGGTTTAAAACTCGAAGTACATTAGGTAACTTATTTTTTAGGAATATTTTACTTTAACCTTGCAATGACTACTTTTGTACAAAGTAACGCACGTAAAATTAAAGCAAAGCACTTTAAACGGTTTTAAACATTAAAATATTACAGTTTCTTTTTAGGAGGACAGGTGAAACGTCCCAGGCTATATTTTTGTTAATTTTTAAGTTAAACTTTACTATATTTTTTTTTAATGAAATTTATTATTTTGTCCCGAATTTAGCAAAATCATGGCGACAGTAGTACGTACACCCACGCAATGACGTTGGTAGTTCAATATTCACTCTAGAGGTCATAGGAGGTAAGTTTAGCGTTTGAAAACTAGATTGAATATCCAACGTACTACATTCTGAAATATACGTCAGATTTTGAATATTAAATTGTTTAAGTGACGTACGTATTGTTTAAATTGATAACTTTGGATTAGGTCGATAATTGAATTGTAGCTATGTATGGCTAACAATTTATGTGGTAGGGATTCGATTCTAATCAGGTCCAAGACATTTCCAAAATGACATTTGTACAAAGGCCTAAAAATGTATACGGTTCTCAATTTATATATGACGTCCTCGTTCGTGTAATGGTAGATAATAAACAACGGGTCATGGGTTCGATCTCCACCGGTTCAAACATGTTTCTAATCATGTTATAATTTCCAAAACATATTGGGCTTCGTCTGGAAATCTGGATATTGAATGCGTGGTCCACAGATCTTCAAGTTAATAATATCAGATACTGTCTATAGTTTACGCGAGTAGTACACATTTAAATAAATCCACTTTAACGGTTTAAAACGGTTTCAAAATTTTTACTTTGACGTCAGAGATATCCTCCATCTTTAGTCTCCCCGTGACCACGGCTGCTGCAAAGCATCCGAAACGTCGGGCCGAAGTTAAAAATCATTTTCAAATAAGTTTAACTAATATATCGCGTTTTAAACCGTTAAAGTGTTTTATTTTAATAATATTAATCACGTTTCAGCTTCGTTTTTTTTTTTTTTTTTTTTTTTTTTTTCTTATTTTCTTTTTCTTTTTTTTTTTTTTTTCTTTTTTTTTTTTTTTTAAAAATTTTTTTTTTCCCCTCAAACCTTCTTTTTTTTTTTTTTTTCTTTTTTTTTTTTTCTTCTTTTTTTTTTTTTTTTTTTTTTTTTTTTTTTTTTTTTTTTTTTTTTTTTTTTTTTTTTTTCTTTTTTTCTTTTTTTTTTTTTTTTTCCTCTTTAAACTTCCCCTCTTTCTTTTATTCTTTTTTTTTTAACTTTCTTTTTTTTTTTTTTTTTTTTTTTTTTTTTTTTTTTTTTTTTTTTTTTTTTTTTTTTTTTTTTTTTTTTTTTTTTTACTTTTTTTTTTTTTTTTTTTTTTTTTTTTTTTTTTTTTTTTTTTTTTTTATTTTTTTTCTTTTTTTTTTTTTTTTTTTTTTTTTTTTTTTTTTTTTTTTTTTTTATTTTTTTTTTTTTTTTTTTTTTTTTTTTATTTTTTTAATTTTTTTTGTCTATGTATTTCAGAATAGCCAAAGCTAAAATTGGTAGACGGCCCATCTTGTTGAGATATTATCTTATGCTTGTCTGTCTTATAAAACTACCTGATAAGGTTATCAATAAAGCAACATAAAAAAGTTCAACTATATATTATCCTAATTATAAAAACAAGTAACAATCCTAACTATAACAAGTCAAGTTGACGCCCACATCACTAAAGTAACAAGTTAAGCACGGCTTGTACAACCATAACGACCAGTTGTAACAGACCTGGTAGCAGAGAACCACCAATGCCCACCAGAACATCATCAGCGAGCTCTGATATCGACGACACAAGATTTGAGAGTAGTCCTTGCATGTTGGTGACATTGGAGGCTGGTGTGCTGGGATTGGCACCCACCGCGTACTCTGGTAGGGACCTCAAAAAGTTGACGATCGCCAGCGCTTGCGAATATAGTTTTAAGAGTGACGTCTCCAACGCGCCTAAATCCACTGGTATCAAATTGCTAATAGGTGGCGGTAGTGTGTCGAAGATTGATAGCAGCGAGAGAAGGAGGTTGTATACGTTGTTCAGGAGTGGGAGCAAGATGTTAACAAGTGGGTAGACGGCTGGTAACTGTACTGATGTGGCTGCCACTGGCTGTTGACAAAAAATATAGCACAAAAATGTTAGAAGGTTTGACAAGGTAGTTGTTAAATCTTTTAAATAACACACTACGATTAAGACGCTGATTACAAATTATTTTAACAACGGGTCCGGCTGATCATGGTTGAGTAAAGTATCGTCGGGCCGTAATAAAAATAATTTGTCAATAAATTTCGCGTTTTAAACCGTTAAAAGTATTGTTTTTAAATGTAGGCTACTCGCGTACTACAGACAGTAATATTAACATGTCATCAACACAGTCATGGCAACAGTACATGCTATTTTAAAGCAAATTGTAAGACTAGAACGATTCAGTTTAAATAAATTGAGGCCGCTAAAGACAGAGTAGCCTAAGTGCAGTTTTCACGACTTAAGTTATTTATCTTTTTCACAGTCTAATAAGTTAATCTATAAGAGAACAGTGACCGAAAATTGTTAACATAAGTTAATTGGGCATTTTTATTTTCCTCCTTACTGAGAATCAGGTTTTTTGCTATTAGGCCACTCTGCCTCTAGCAGCCTCAATTCTTCTCTCTGCCCTTTTGTTATCAAGAAAATTAAGCTATTAAATTATGGTGTTTGAAAGTTACTCACCATAAACAAATAGACCACTACACACAATGCAACAGTCACTTTTGTTGCCATATTTTTTCGATAATAAAAAAATATTTACCCAAAAATGACCTATTCCCGTTATCCAAAGGCAATTTATGTTAGTTTATGTTATAAATACTTTTTATATAACAAATATTGCAATATATTTTGTGTCATTAGTTTCATCGATAAGATATTGTGTTACCTAATTATTTTATTGTACTTTTTAATTTCGAATTTGTATCTACACTATTGTGTTACATCAAACACAGATTTCTCGCTAAATGTTAGAGATAAAGATCTTTGTGCAGAAGTAAAGAATGTAGTTAGGATAACTTGGAAATTTCGTTCATGTGGGGCATGGGGCTATAAGTTTTCTTGCTTATTACTACTTTCTTAAAATTTGTCTTTTAGTCTAAGACCAACTGTTTGCTTTACTACTAAATTAATAGGTAAAAAAATATAGATAATTTATATATCTAGTTCGTAACTTAAAGTAAGAAAATAAACCTTAGTGACCTTAGGAATCATTTTAAAAATAAAAAAGTATTTATATAGCTTCATCGTTTCTTCTGTGGGGTATGGGACGTATACAAGCTAGTCTTTATTGCATTCATCGCTTTTATTTACGAACACTCGAGATTTGAACATATGACCTCTCTAACACAATTCAACACATATAGCCACCAAGCTACAGGGGCATTTCCAAATCTCACGAATGTAAAGTATAAATTAAAACACTTTTTACGGTTTCAAACGCGAAATATATAAAAAAAAACCTAAATATATTAGTTAAATTTTATAAATACGACACGACGTTTTGGATACTTTGCATTAGTCTAATATCAAAGTTAAATATGCTACGCTAGCGCCATCTGTTTCGTCGTAGTTATAAAAAAGGTGAAGGTTTTAAAAATAACGAAGGCATTATTATTGCAACATACATTCTTGTAAAGATATTACGATTAACCTATTCTTCAGCATTGCAAAATAAACGGACAACATAGATAATACATTACATATAATAATTTAGGCAACATGATAACATAGGTTTATAAAACACTGACTTCGATTTTTCACGACAAATCGATAAAGTTTCTAGATAAATATAGTCGAGAGTTTTCAAAATGCGATTTCATATTTTGTCCATACTCGTGGTTGTATATTTGGTTAGTACATATTTGAATTACTTTTAACGGTTCTAAACGCGAAGATTTGCTACCTATTAGAACAATATTTGGCTATATAGCATAATATTTGGTTATATATTAGGATTATTCAAACGCGATTTACGTTTAGAGTTATTTATGATAAGAAATAAATAACTTTTATCAATTGTTAGCAATTGATAACAGATACATTTTTGAATCTGTTGTAATACATACCTTTAGTAAAAAATATATAAAATTTACTAAAATTCTCATATGTGTGAAATCCTGTTTCCCTCTCGTAGGGCATGGGGAGCAGAACAGACATTTGTCCCTGCCCTGACCGCTTGTTTCACTGGGATCCGCCAGGACTCTGCGCTTGAACGCAATCCTAGGCAATACGTTTAACATTTGGCTACTGACACACAATTTCTAGTACTCCTACAATAAAATAATAGTTAAACTTTTGAAGTGCCTGTCCGAAACAATGGTTGATATTCGAACCCAATCTCGCTTGCGTAACATTGCGTTTAATGTTTGAGCTAGACATGGATAATATATACCTTTTTTATACTAATTAATGTTTTTATTTTCTTTTTAATTAAATTTATTGTGTATAACTTTATTTAACAATTATTACAAATAGTGCCGACTCAAAATTTTTACGTACCTTTACCCTACTTACGTAAACTAACTTACTATATTTTACTTATTCGTTTAATTATTGTTCTTACTAGAAAGAATGAACTATACAGCCTCAAATATATGTCCACCTCTATAGATTAGTTATTTCGTTAAGTTTTAGAGTTTCTTACCGGCTTATTTTCCTGTAACGTCAGTATCTATTTTTAAGTACATTAATAATAGAAATGTTAATAAAACACTTTAAACGGTTTAAAAGGCGAAATTACCAGTTAACTTATTAAAACTTTTAATTACGGCCCCACGTAATGCTTTGACGTAGTCGATTTTAATAAAACTCTTTTAACGGTATAAAACGCGAAATGTACTATTTAACTTATACATGTTTCAACAATCGCCTAACATTCTGGATGCTTCGCAACAGCCGTGGACACTTGTCACATAGTCAAAAACATTTCGCGTTTTGAACCGTTAGAATTGTTTTATTGACATTTATATTATTACTGTATTACAAATATGAATTTGAAATAAACGCGTCGGCTATTTAAAATATGTTTAAAAACCTTAGCAGGTATTTAGGTATAGGTAAATCCTATACGCATCAACTACAGATAATAATTAGAAATATTGTCCACAGATACAAGGCACAGCAGCGATGATACCAGCGTATTCTGTATCTGCGCTGCGGCTTGCGTTCGACGAGATCTCCACAGTGTTGCCAGTCGCTAACCAGCTCGCCTCCCTATTGATACCATTTTTAATCAACCTAATCAATAATTTAAACAACCTGTCAAATATTGTACAGAACTTAACACCCGCCTTACTGCCATATTTTGGTTGTACGTTACCGTTACTGTACGCCACGTTGACAGATTTGACGTCTGTTTTATTTTTGTATATCAGCGTTTTAATATCGCTGTTTAGGTCTAATCTGTTAGCGGCACCTGGGCTGTTGTTGGGTCTTGTGTCCCAGGTATTGAATCTTGTACTCGGCTTGTTAACCGGGCTGACGGATAACACAGGCCTGCTATCGGGTTTGCTGAAACTAATCACGAGTGTGCTAGTTGAGCTGGAAAAGTTGTTGATTTAATTTAATTTGTAATATATTGTTATTGTTTTATTTATTCTGTATTATTATTTACGTATTACCATGTTAATAACGAGACAATTAATGCCGGAGGAGTACCTACGCATTTAAATAAAACACTTAACGGTTAAATGCGAAATGTATTATTTAACAATTTATGTAACTACGAACGTTACGGGTGCTTTACAGCAACGTGGTCATGGGGTGAAGATCGAGGGTGGCCTTAATGTCAAAGTAAAAACTCTGCTACCTTAGCGCCATCTGTTCCCTCATAGTTGGTATTAATAATATTTTGATTTTATTTATTATTCATATTGTATTTTAGGGTAGTTTTATATCGTTCAAACCTCTCCTAATTTTCTTGTACTTACTAAGTATTTTAGTAGTAATTACTAAAGGCTAACATTACGTTAAATACAAAAGCCCCTCGGTTCGAATCCCCAGGAAACGACTAATTTCTTTAATTAAGTTAGGCTGTAAATAAAATCGATTTCTAAAACGCCCGCCCCAATCCCATAAAGATAAATTTCACTCCTATGTTACGTAATAGATGACTGCACAGCCGACGTCAATACAATGGATTATACAATGATGTCTAGTAGAAACGAACCATGCGCAAGAGTGTGTACTTACAACTAATAATTTCCTTCCATCAATGATAAGTACAGGCTCGTTGATATAATTCTAGTAATATGCCTAATAATCATCAAATTTTTCTGAAATATTTTGAACTTCGTCTGGTAATCTGGATATTAAATTAAATACCGAAATTCCATCCGGTAACCACCGTCCACAGATGGGAGAGCCGTCAAGTTTAATCGCATTTGTGTTTCAGTCTGTGGATTTCCAAATATCCAAAGCTTGAAACTCTGAACAAGTTCTGGTTTAACTAATTGAGCTACCATGTCCACACACGTCATCGTCTAATTTTTCAACTTATTTCTACTATGACATATAAGTAACTTTTATGAAGAACCTTATACACAAACGATGTATTTCGCCTTAGCTTTAAGTCAGTCGAACGATTGACAATTTCCTTTCACGTTAACTAAGTATCACTCGAGAGAACAAGATTGAAGCACTCGTTGATTTTCCTATAAAGCGTAACTCAAGTTGTTTACCTTTATACAACGGTTTGAAACGGGAAATATAATATTAGTTATCATTTTTAATTACGACCTTCGAAAACAATGCTGCAAATGCACAACTAACGTCTTACAAGCATAGCAGAGAGTAAGCATATTTATATAGTAAGTAAAATTCTTAACGGTTTAAAACGTGAACATTTTCAACTACGAGTCAATCACTACCTTGACTTTAGCCGAAATGCAATACGAAGAATCGTAGTTAAAATAAGAATGAATGTAAAACCTATTTTAAACAGTTCAATGTCTCTTTAAGGAGATTTTAGTTTCAAGATTTAATTTTAGACTAACATGGTCGTAACGTAAAGGTGACCCCCTACTACAATGTCATTACCAAACATTATGTAATAAAAACTAATGAGAAAACTCGTGATCTATCGAGATTATTGATCACAAAATATCACAATTGTCTCGAATATAATATATAAATGCAATAATCAACACGAGTCACGTACTAACAATTACGTATTCATTACAAATTAATGTTGGAAAGTCAATGAAGGAGAATGTTGAACAATGTTCGGAATTATTAGTCTATACTTGTGTGGTTTTGTAAATTTGGTAAGTTTATGGGTATATGTAGTACAGCGCCATCTATCGTAATCAACCACGTCTGGAACGAAGGTCACTTTTTGGCTAGAATCGATCAATCGATTCGACCTTTGATTCATCGGTTATTGTTTGTATTGCAGGATATTGTAAAATAAAGCGTGTTAAACACTTTCCTCAGTCGCGTTAATGCATTAAAGAAATGTTTTGTATAGAAGATTATTTTACAAAAACAAAACAACTAAGTACATTAACTCGATATTAGAAAAAATATGGTTAAACAAATGTGGTGTCTTTCCCATATTGGTTTAAAGTGATATGTACTTAGTCATGATAATAATGTGATAATAAAATAGGCTCAAGTTTCATAAGAAGCTCTTCTCTAACATAGCTTCTTAAAAAAATAAGGTATAAGCTAATACTACAATATTTTCAGGTGAAATCCACAGAACAATTCCAACAAATCCAAGCTTATCCATTGATTGCCAGCTACGCAAATACATATGGAAGTCAACCTATAGTACTGCAAGCTAAACCTTATAACCAACAGTATACGATTCAAACACCACTACCACTATATCAGCCACCTGCTAATCAAATACAAGATGCCTATTTCAATAATTTTTTGTCAAACCCCGCGATTCAAGCTTTCATCGACCCTGGGACAAAGGTTTACAATCAAAACGGTTTAGAAATATCCGAACAAATTCGACCGCGGACACCGAATGTCGTAAATAATTACTTCATAGTTCCCACCGACTACCTTAACGAAACGATATTAGGAAATCAAAGACAGAATGAAAGAAATTACAATGGCCAAGCACCCAGAAGAATTGCTGATAGAGGTCGAACTATCGATACCAGACAATTTAATAATAATTACCCAGGAAGAAGACAAAATAACAATTTTGACCGGGGAAGTATTAAGCAAAGCAGGGAATATCCATGTAAGAAAAATCAAAGGAATCTTCAAGACAGTTGTTTTGTGATCGATGATCAAATTAATTTAGATGAACCCAAGAATGTAGTTAAAAGACTAGATGATTCGGCGATATCCAATAGCCCATCACAAAATACAGATAATTTCTCAGAAAAACCTTTTGGGAAAAAAGCTGAAAATACGAATATAAATCGGAATAGAAAAGACAGTAAAAGTCGTAGTAGAAGTAAAAAACAGAATCAACCAAATAAGCCTAAAGAAGTAAAGCTAGAAGATAATACAGGTGAATGTGATGATTCATTTGATATATGTGATGAATGCTGTGAGTTAGAAAATAGAAATATTCGAAATTCAATCGACAATCGACGTAATAAAGCTTCTTCTAAGAAGGCATCAAAAGCCCAAGATTTAATGAGCAATTGGATGAGCTACATGAAAATGTTTATGCCCGATCAAAACATGGAAAACATCGACTTTGATAGCTTTAATTTCCCTTATAACTTTCAACAAATGTATCAAACGCCAACTATGCATTATGGAAATGAAAAATCAACTTCAAAGAGAACAAAAAAACGAAAGCCAAAAGAAATTAACAATGAAGAAGTTGCTTCAAAACAAGCACCTAAACGGAATCAAAATCGAAAAAGTTCCGTTCAACCATCACCAACGTTAAAAGAGCCAGCAGTACCAATGATATCGCCGATAGAAAGAGAAGAAGATGAATCTAAGTCCAAGCCAAAACTACAAGTAAAAATAAGTGATAATAAGCCGATAAGAGAAACTTATTTCGAAGAAATAGACTCTAAAATAATAAAAAGCAACGCAGATGTTAGTTTAGAGGACGAGATGCCCATATCGAGCCATAAAAACGCTATCGATTACTATCCAGACTTTACACAAGATGCAGTTTACGCAACGGACGAAGACGATTTATATTTTTTCCATAACAGACATTACTACACCGGTGATCAAGAAGGTAATCGCGAAAAAAGAAAAGATTATAGGGCAAGTGAAAATCGTAAACAGTCTGATAGAAGAATGAATGACATACCGTCATCGCATAAAGATACGAAAGACAAATTTCGCACACCACCAGGCTTAAGTGAACCAGGGTTCCAGACTCGGAAAGTGAACAAAAATGAAAGAGAAGACTTTTACACCTATTACGTGGACGACGTCGATAATACTGAAAAGGACATTAAAACAGATAACGGTGATAACAATGTAGAAACGGTTTACGCTCGTTCCAAAGTCGTTAAATACGGTCAACAGAGAGATTTAAATGAAAAACCAGCAGCGAAAGAACAGGATTATAGGAATGAAAAGAATCGTGGCAATTCATATGCTAAAGATGGCGACACAACTGTCGTCTTTTCAAAACCTTGGAATTAAATAAAACGTAACGTTAGTACAAACAACCGTATACGATTTATTGAATCAGTAATTGTTATTTACTATAATGATAGTAACATTTCTTTTAGATACTTATTTATTTTTATTCTTATTTTATTAGGTAATAGAGTATAAGCATGTTTTACATAGTCTTGTCTGCGTCTTATTAAAAAAAAATCTTAAAATTATAAAGTATTTTTTTATTTGAAGATACCATGTTCTTTTTATGTACCTGTAACCCACGATAAATGTTTTGGAAGCCCAGTTGAGTATAGTCTATAGTTTACACGTGAAGTACACATTTAAAAACACTATTAACGGCTTAAAACGCTTAATTTATTAGTTAATTTGTTTACAACTACAGCTCGACGTTTCGGGTGCTTTCCAGCCCTAAGGAGGTACTAAGAATGGAGGGTGGCCCTAATGTAAAATGTGCTGGAGCTGAGCTTAAGTTAAAATTATGCTCCATTCTTATTTATTGGATTGCGTTAAGTATGGCGTCCTGTGTTCGACTTCTAGGGAAACATAATAAATATAAACAGAAGGGCACAGAAAGAGTCAAATTAAGTTATTTCGACAATCTTTGTTCTTATTAATAATAATGGTAAATTACTAATTTATAAATTCTTAACATCACTCCATTGACGATAAAAACCCGCCATATTGACATTATGCATGACGTTACACCACGTCACACATAATGTCAAATCTTTAGAATTTGCGTGAAATTTAAATCCTCTTACATATGTATGGCTAATAAACGGGTAGCGGGTTCGATTCCTGCCAAGTTCCACATTTTTAAAAGTTGAAATGGGTTGTGGGAATATCGCAGTGTCCTTTTAGTAACAACCCACCATCCTCTGATGGAAAACTGGTGTGATATATATGGCTGGGGTGTTTCTACCTTCTACCAAGTGAACGTGTCTATTCTCTTCTATCATAATAAAAATGTTAGATATGGGTTAAGATTATATCTAACCCAACCTGTAGTTGTATTGTAGTTGGGTGGTAGCAATAAAGAAATTCCGTCCGGGTAAAGAACCACCGTCCACAGATGAGAAAGCCGCGGAGCTTAATCGCGTTTCGGTTTCACTCTGTGGATTTCCGAATATCCAAAGCCTAAAACTCCATGCTTATCTGTCCTCCTCTATCATTTAAACAAGTATCAACTTAAAAAAAAACGGTTTTATTTTTTGTTAAGGAAAAATATGTAATCCGCCATTTTGTATCAACGGCCATCTTAGCTTTATAATGTTATTGATTTTTTTGTATTGTATTGTCATATAATTAAATGTGTGTACCAAATTTCAGATCCATTTGACAACGTGAAGGTGCTTTAATTTCAATTTCTAATTTTGACTGAGCTAAATAAAACCTTTTAAAAACTGTCCTAATTTGAAATATTTTTAATCGTAACTTAAATAAATAAAACCCCAATAAAATCAACATATCTATTTATCGACTCGTTTCCAATTCATCAGCAAACACGAGTAAATTGAATTTGCTCGTGTGTTAAATGTTTGTCGAGGCAGCTATTCTGTGTACGGAATGTAATGAGGTCTTTTGAAGCAATATTTGCAAATATACAAAAGAAATAATACGGCTTACATATGTAATGCCAACATTCTGCTAAGCTATGAAAATGAAAATATCATTTATTTCAACGTCTGTAGTTTACGCGAGTAGTACACATTTAAATGCACTTTAATGGTTTAAAACGCGATATATATTAGTTAAACTTATTTGAAAATTATTTTATCTACGGTCTCCCCGTGACCACGGCTACTGTAAAGAATCCGAAACATCGGATCGCGGTTGAAATAATTTTCAAATAAGTTCAACTAATATGTTTCGCGTTTTAAACCGTTAAAGTGTTTTATTTAAATCCATTTTCTAGTATATATTACTGAATTAAAAATACTAATATTAGGGTTATACGTTTGTTAATACCACACGGTACTTCAATTTGTAGAAGCACGGAAAGCTGTAGTCGTTGGTTCGAATAACGCGCAAATTTTTGAAAATTTTATTTATTTAATATATTTTTGACAGGCTCGTTGATCTAACCATAGCGATGTATGGCTAATAACATCGGGTCGTCCGTTTGATTCCCAAGATCTAGCTCTTTTCTAATTTTTTAATTTTTTAGAATATGTCAGGAATATCTGAGGTTTTTAACGGGGTTTGTTTCTCCTCTATCATAAAAAATAATAAAATATTTTATTATGTATTTCTGGAAATAAGAATTCTTTCTAGGCCTATCCTTACATATACAGCTGACGAGAGATATAGGTTACTATCATTTAACATTTTTATTATTTTCAAGTGTATGTATGTCACATCTATTTATTTAGAAAAAAAAGCGATGACACGGTGGGACTAGAACTCGTATTCACAGCGATTTAAAATAAAAAGCAGTATTTAGTAAAAGATCCTTTATTTAAATTATTATATTAAAAATAGTTAACAATAGCACCCCAATAAATAAACAATAATTTATCCATTACACAACTATAATAATATCATTCGATTTCTGTTGAACTGGTGGTAGAACATTAATTGTTATTGTAGATAAGTAAGACTTAGGTTTGGAAGTTGAATTCGACGTTGCACTAGAAATTGTTTCATTTGATTCGGTAGTTGAATTTGAATTTTCAAGGCTTGAAATTTCTGACAATGTTAAAGGAATTTTGGATACTTTTGAGTCGTCATGAAGTAATGATGGTGTTGCAACATTAGACAAATCTGTATTAAAACTTGATAGTATATTAGTGACTATCACAGAAGCGATGTTGTTCAGTGACTCGTTCAATAAAGTGGTATATCTATCCGCATAAGATGGAATTTGATGGTGATTTGATAAAGTAAATTTATTTGGTGTATTTACCAAATTTCTATTCGGCACCGTGTAGTTTCTATTAAGAACCCTCACAACAGGCGCAATAGAAGCGGTCGGCGCTGCAGAAGTCCTAGGAATATAGTATACCGGTTGAGTCTTTTGTAAAGTTGATTCCATTTTTGGGTTAGAATTAAGAACTGTAATCTTAGGCTTAGAACTCGCATAATATGCCTCCGCAGGCTTTATTGTGAATGGAGCTATGGTGGTTACTTGAGGAATGATATAACCATTTAAAGGTTTCAGTGCTTTTGTGGGTTGCATAACGCTTGTTTGAACTGGAATTGTTGTTAAATCATTCTTTATTATTTGCTTTGGTGCGTTTGGAGTAATGACAGCTGATGGAAGTGTGCGATACTTCACACTATTTTGATCAATATTAACCGCTGTGTCAGGTTTCACTACTTGCACAGTCGAATCAAGAACATTGTTTGTATTTGAATTATCCATATTATAACTATTTTGGGCTTCTTGGTTTATTGGTGGTATCTTGCATATTGAAGATCGTTGTGTGTTAGAATGGGTTTGAACTATATTTGACTCAGGTCTTTTAATATCTACCCCCTTCGAAGTCTGATCTGTATTGTAATGAAGAGTAGGTGCTTTTGAATTGGATGGAGCTTGTATATTATATCGAATATTATTGCTCTTTACATCAGTTGTTTGTTTTTGTGGGAGATTAGGCGAACCACAGTTATTATTACCCTGAGGATATAGTATTGTATTTGATTGTGGTAGAAAACCTTTGAGATCGTTGGTGTAGCCATTATTTTCGAACCTAAAAGTAGGTTTTGAAGGCTCAAAAGCTGTTTTAATAGTTAACTGACTGTCACTAGAGCTTTCTATATTATTTATATCTTTAGGTGTCCCATTCACTCGGGTTGGTAATCTTTGTATTCTACTTTCAAGTCCACAATCGGATTCTTTTTCAATTTTATTATAAGCATTTGTACCGGGCTCATTAGCTTCTGAGAACATTTGTTCACTTGTTGTTTGCAAACGTCTTGTGTCGTATTTGGGAGTCGGATTTTCATAGAAAGAATTTTTGAGCTGTTCTAATTGGCTCTCATATTTATAACATTTGTCATCTACTCTGGGCATTTTAGACATCAAATTATTTCGAGAAATGGACTCTTTCTTGTCTCCCTTAGTGATGTATTCCAATGGTATTTGATTAAAATTTTCAAATAATGTAGACTGTTCAATAGTTGAAGGATTTTTTAACCTTTTAAATTCTTCCATATTATTAATGTCAGAAGTTAATCTTTCAATATTAGTATTTTTGTTTCTTAAGTTCAGTGCCATATTACTTTTAGAATTTTCAAGTGTTTGAGGTATAAGCCTATGTTTTGCTTCTGGCCTTATTTCATTTATGTCTCTTCCATTTACTTTATCAAATATTCTTTTGATATTTGAATTTTGTAAAACATTTTCCACTGCGCTAACAGAAGATATCAATGAATGTTTCATAGGAGTTTGGTCATCTATTTGCCCTACCATCTCAGATTTGATTGTATTAAGTGGAAGTACGTTAGCACTTATAGTTTCTTGTAACAATTCTAGTTCTTTGCTGTGTAACTTGTCCTTGTTTCGAAAGTATTCTCTCAACTTTCTTTCGTTGTAATTATTCTCGTCATATTGAAAATTTTCACCATATTTATTGCCTGGCTGTATAAATTCTCGTATTGCTTCCGGTCTATAATAATCACACGTTTTTTTTATATTGTCTGAACAAATTCTGTCGCGTTGGCTTTGCCTAGGTATTTCATATTCTTCGTTGAATCTTTGGGTGTTAAAACATTTCTCGGGATATTCATGAGATTTCGGATAAGATTTTTCTCGTTCATAGATATCCTGTCTCAGACGCGTGTCATCGTTGTAATCCTTTTGATTATAAACGGATTCAGAGTTTCTTCTACATTGTGATGAAGTGTAGATGTCATCATTATATTTTCCATACGCAAAGGGTCTTTCCTCTGGCATGTAATCTGTGCCTCTTCGTACATAATCGTCATCATTCCTTTTCATATGGCTATAATTAATTGTTCTTTTGTTTGGATCAGAGAAATATTTGTCGATAAAATAGTCACTATCGTCAGTTTGCCAAGGAACTGGAAGGGGTTTTGGATCAAGTGGTGCAATTTCTGATTTATAATTGGATAGCGGAAATGTAATTTCATTTGGTGAGGCATCAATGTTCTGTAAGAGAATAGTTTTTCTTTAGAGTTAAGATAAGCTATTTTTTTTTTATGATAGTAGAAGACAGACAGAAGAGTTCACTTGACGGGTAGGTGAAATATAACATTTAAACAAGATACACTGTCGACATATTTTGGCTTTGTTTATCGGGAATCTACAGACTGCTACAGAATATTACATTTATTAAAAATATATATATTGACACTTTAACGGTGTAAAACAGCCGTGGTCACGGGGAGACACGGGAATGCTGCAAGGCATCCGGAACGTCGGGCCGAAGTTAAAAATCATTTTCAAATAAGTTTAGCTAATGTATCGCGTTTTAAACCGTTAAAGTGTTTTATTTAAATGTGTACTATTCGCGTAAACTATAGACAGTATATTGGTTTTAAAAACTGATATATAATGGAGAGGCTATAGAATTTATAAACAGACTATTTTCGGTAGTATTACAAACTTAAATAAATCTTTTTGAACGGTTTAAAACGTGACAACTGCATAGCATACGAAACGTCGGGTCGTAGGTAAAATTAATGAAATATAAGTTTCATATTCGTTATATTTCGCGTTTGAAACCGTTAAAAGTGTCTTTTTTAAATAAAAATTACTTACTTGATAAATACAAACAAATACAAATAATAACGCCGCCGCCCCCATCTTGATCGTATTTCGCGCAAATGAAAAAGTATTATTTTTAATGTGATACTTATAACGGAATCAAGTTAGTAGGTAATCGATAAGAAATTATTGCCCCGATTTTCGAAATGTTGGTCATTGTTTATGTCATATTTTGTAACTGACGTTTAACCAATGATGTTTGTGGTGTGATAATAGATAAACATTAGTTATTTCATCAAAGTATCAAATATACAAGACTTCAAATGAGTACAATTGACGTATATGAAAAATCATATGCAATAAACAATTATTCAATTTTAGTGTTAAATAGTATTTAAATAAAACACTAACGGTTTAAAACGCGATATATTAGTTAAACTTATTTTAAAATGATGAAAGCAGCCGAAACATCGGGCCGAAGTTAAAAAATAATTTTCAACTAAGTTTAACTAATATATCGCGTTTTAAACCGTTAAAGTGTTTTATTTAAATGTGTACTACTCGCGTAAACTATAGACAGTGCTAAATAGTAGTTTTTAACTTTGAAAAAAGGGAACCCCTTTTTCCAACTGGGGTAATCGGATTGACACATATTCGTGTCCGTTTTATTGCCCTATATAATATTTAGTTTTCCTTTGTTTCAGGACTTTCGCGGTTGCTAGGCAACCGCCAAAGTCCTGAAACATTTTACCATTTAACGCAAAGGCAGCCATTATATACTACTTGACATAATTATGTTAAAATTAATTTAAATCGATTTTAAGATGCGTTAAAAATTAATATTGATAGGGTATATATTAATTTTACGTTTTTTTAAAATTAAATCATCAATAAGCAGCAAGTATCGAAATATATCAATGAAAGAAAGATGTGAGAATATTAAATAAGTAAAAAACACTTTTAAATAGAAGTGTCAAAAATGTATTTCGATAAGTTCCGTTTTATTCAAGACAATACTTCTTTTAGCCTTTTCTGCGTAACAGATAAAACATTACTAAAAGTTGTCCTAATCGCACATTTTGCTCAATTAAATAGATAATAATTCTTTTGAATAACTTATACGTGCCTTTTATGACCTAATCTTTTCGACATATCCTCTTGACTATCGTAAAATCGATTATGCAAAAAGATGGTATAAAATAAAAAAACAAATTGTTTTTCATCATTATATTTTTAAACGGTCCAAATCTTATTTTACAAAATGGCGAATACATTTTTATTTGCTGTTCTACAAGCCGTAGTCATACAGGTACATTTTTATAACGTTGACATTTAAACAGAAATTTTACTCAGCAAGTCTATCTTATTTTGAACGATTCATTCACTATCTATAATACTAGAAGTCCTGGGTTCCAATCTGAAGTCTTTGGTCATTTTCATTCAATTGATCATGACTACAAAGGAAAAATTATTTAAAAACTACTAAGATAAATCAATTATAACCACTTTATTATACCACAGACTAATTCCTATGTGCAATTATGTTGTTTTATGTATTATCTGTATTCTTCCACAGACTGCATATTCCCAATGTGTCAACCGCGTGGTATCTGGTTGCGCGCCGAACGTCGTGGAAACCATACTGCCAAACCAGTACTTCCCCCAAGCTTTGGCACCAGCCCCAATTTTACCCGCTTTAGCACCAGCACCTCTGTTGGCGCCACCCGTGACACCACTTGTGCCAGAAATCGGTTACCCAGCTGTCATTCAAGACAGCAGCGTCGCTAATAGCTTGGCAAACGCGCTGCAACTTCTTGTCGTAAGCAATTTGTTGAGCAGCACTTTGCCGGGACCCTGTGAGTTGCCTTTGCCCGGATATCCGGTGGAGAATGTGTTGCCGATGCCTATGTCGCCATATAACTATGTTTACTGAAAAGATTGTTTAATTAAAAAAGCATGTTATATTTTAAAAATATTTTTATTTGTTACATAGTCCAATTAATCAATTAGACGTCTATATCCTGTATGACCAAAAATTTTATCATTTTCTCGGGATTCGAACTCACGACCACTCAATCTTAAAGCAATACAGCAAACGCGTGTTACCTTGAACTTGTGATATTGAACGTTATAGGTCCTATTAACACAGTTTACGCGAGTAGTACACATTTAAATAAAACACTTTAACAGTTTAAAACACAATGTATTAGTAAAACTAATTCGTAGAGCATCCGAAACGTCGAGCCGAAGTTAAAAATCATTTTCAAATAAGTTTAACTAATACAACGCGTTTTAAACCGTTAAAGTGTATTATTTAAATCTGTTTTAATATGATTATTATACTAATGATATTATACACATTTAATAAGACCTACACTTTGAGTTAGGCGACAATTACTCATTATTTCGTTACTCGAGTCATATAGACTCCAATATTAACTTATTTTAACTTTTAAATAAAACACTTTAACGGTTTAAAACGCGATATATTAGTTAAACTTATTTGAAAATGATTTTTAACTTCGGCCCGACGTTTCGGATGCTTTGCAGATAATATATCGCGTTTTAAACCGTTAAAGTGTTTTATTTAAATGTGTACTACTCGCGTAAACTATAGACAGTATTGTATATTTTAACTTGAAAATGAACAATATAAAGGTAAACAATCTAAAAGTATTTACTTATATATAAAAATAATAACTACCTAGCATACAACGGCTTTAGTATCGCCTTGCTTCTTTATTGTATGTAATAGCAAATTCTACAAAGCTTCAAAAAAAGCTGAATTTTAGCTTCGATATGATGAAGATGATAATTTTCTAAGTATAATTTTTAATATCTAACATGTTTTTTTTAATTCGAAAAGCTGGGATTATAAAGATGAACGTTTGATATAGCTTGTACTTAATATCGAGATTTTTCAACGTCTGAGATGTTGCAGAAAAAATATAAAATTATTTTCAGAATCGAATCGAACCGTTGTTTAATTCTTCGCCATACATTGCGCAAAAATAAAATACTTTTAACAGTTTAAAAGGCGAAATATTACTTATTTGCAGCTAGAACCTGTCGTTTGCTTTACCTGTACAACATCTGTTTGAAGTTCGTTGGGTCAGTGTTGTCATAACAGTAACGAACCTTTTCGACGTCTAAGCCCTAATATGGACTAGCTGTGCTCGCGACTTCGTTCGCGTGGAATAATTATTTTGGACATCAAATGAATTTTGCAAACAGCCTCAGCTTTATAAACTGCAACTGTTACCCGCGATGTCGTCCGCGTCCCATCGTTCTTGATAGTTATACTAATTAAAGAAGTTATACTTAAAGAGGAATCATTCTTTCATAATTTTCCGCGTGATTTTTCACATTTTCCTTAGTTCTTTCGCTACTATTGGTCAGAGCGTGATGATTTATAATAAAAATCCTTCCTCGGTAAATGATCTATCCAACACATCAATATTTTTTCAGTTCGAACCTGTAGTTCCCGGGATTTGCGCGTTCAAACAAACAAACAAACTCTTCAGCTTTTTATATTAGTATAGATTGCAAATTCTTGTCACGGCCTCGGGTCGTTCCAGCGAAATAGCCTATCACATGATCCAGGGTTTATTGGTCCATTTTAATGGCTTTCGAGTTATTGTTGAGGATGCGTGGACTTGCGCACGTTTTATTGTAGATATAACACGAGACGCGATCAATGAACTCTAGACAAATTGTAAAAACCTTTCGATATAATTTTAAGTCTTCTCGCGTTCTCTGTCTAGTTCTAGAAGTTAATCAATAAAAATGTCTCTTATATGGCGTTGATCTAAAACATATTTATATTAACTAGTTGCGATAGCGACTTCGTCCGCGTAGAATTGTTATTTCGGGCGCGCAAATTTGTTTTTCCTCTTCATCTTTATACATTTAAGCTGTTACCCACGACATCGGTGGCGTCCAGTCGCTCGCGATCCGTCGTTTGGGTTCCGTCGATCTTGAAAGTTAAAAGATAGACATATAATTATTCTTTAATACATAATTATGTTTTGGGTGTCTTTAACCGTTTTCGTAGCGTACGCATCGGAAATCCACAGAGAATTCTCCATTTCCCGTTGTTTCTTGGCTCCTATTAGTCAACGCGCGATGTTTTATATTCTCGATAAATGCTCTAACCGACACAAAAAAGGATTCGAACCAGTAGTTCCTGAGACTAGTGCGCAAACAAACAAACTCTTTAGCTTTATATGTTAGTATAGATCTACATAATATATTAAGTTTGTGTTATAGTAATTGTTCATATTTTTGTTCATATGCAAAATGTGGAAATCAATTGTAATATAATTCAGGTCAAGAATTCTACCTACATACAAGACCTACTTTTCTGTACGTGATTATAAAATTGTCCACTAAGAACTTATTATTTTTAAAATACCTACCTAAAGAAACGAGGATACTAATTCAATTATGTAAAACACTTTTAACGGTTTATAACGCGAAATATATTAACTAATTTAAAATCTACTTTAACTAGGGCCCTAGGATTCGAATGATTTATGCCTTAACGACTAACTTAAAACTAACATAAACAGTATAAAGCTTTAAAAAAGGCTGCTTCAAAGCATTCTTAACGTCGGACCGTAGTTAAAATAAATGGTACATAAGTTAACTAATATATTTAACTAAAGTGAGATATTTCTCAAAAAAACCTATCGCCACTAAATTATGTCTGTAAATGGAACCGACGACTTAACGTCTTTTTTGTGGTACTACTTAAAACAACGGAATGGTACTAAAAAGTAGTCTAAATAAAACATTCTTTTCATTCATCATTGACGGTTTAAATCGCAAAATTCACTAGTTAAAGTTATTTATAAATCATTTAAACTGCTACCCGACATTTCAGATGATTTGCAGAAGCCGTGTTCTCGGGGACTAACTATTATGTTTTAAAATTTTAACAAAAATCCAGTTCACAAAGTAACCTAACATCCAATCTAACATTCGAACCCGCTACCTGGTGGTGTAGTCAAGTGCACTAGTTAGATCACGGAGGCAGTTCATCATTCAGATAAAACAAGATGCAGAACGTGTTATGCAAATCTTACATAATTAGACGTGCCTTGATTCAATTCTGATAGAGAAGTAATCTGATAAAACCATGCATTTGTCTCTAGATGTAGTGAGAGAAGCATGGCTTCGAATTTATTTAAGACTATAATTCATCTTTTGATCGTAAATGAGGTGAGTTATATGAATTTTTTAGGCTTTATAACTGATTAGGTGAGCTGGCGGATGTTCTTCTTATAGTGAGTTCAATTTGAAAGACATATTGGATTTTATTAGATTATTTAAATAAGAAGAATATCTCTTTGTACATTTATAGACATTTAAGACGCAAAATATTAGTTAACTTATTTTTTAAAATAGCTAAAGCCCGACGTTATTGATGCTTCTCAGCAGCGGTGGTCACGGGCACTTGTAAAAAAATAAATTGTAAATAAGTTAACTAATATAAATCAGGTTTCAAACTGCTTAAAGTGTTTTATTTACAACTTAGACAACACGTTTTACCACAGAGTGATGAATGAATAAAAAATAATAATAGGACTATTTCCACAGGTTCTCTCCACTTACATGTATCAATATCCAGCAAACCAGTTCTACCAACCTGCATATTCATCAGCTTACCCAAAAACGCTGCAGCAACCGTATCCAGAGTCATACCCTTACCAGCAATATAATCAAGCGATAGCAAGTTTCGTATATCCGCAACCAGCAAAAAGAACCGTCTATCCAACTCATGGCCCAAATTATCCGAAGCAAACATTCGCTAATCCAAACCAAGAACTAAAAGCATTCGCTTATCCGAATCTAGAATCGAAATCTACATCCTATCCGAATCAGGAACTGAAAACATTCGCTTATCCGAACCAAGAATCGAAATCTACATTTAGCTATCCGAACCAAGAATTACTCACCGCTGAAGTTGCAAATCCGAACTCCGTACATCCAAACGTGGAATCGAAAAGCAAGACTGATGATGCATCACCAAAGGAAAAACGTAAGCCTGCTTTTGATCCAAATGTCTTGAACAATCTGGCAATCGCTTTACAGTTGCTGATAGTCAGCAACATTATCAGCAATCCGCCAGATGCTACTGACACTGGTAAATTACCTGAAAAACTCGATAGCTTTAAGCAAGAGTACACAGAAAAGACTCCATTTCAAACACTGTTCGAAGCGAATACAATGGAGTTGCACAGGGCGTTGCCAAACGCCAAGTTTCTTGGTGAAACTGACATGATGAATAACTGCTACCCAAAATCCCTCCCAGCGAGGGCTGGTGGATTAAAGTCACCGTACGAAGCGATAAATTCTAATCCATTTGAAGCGCCAGCGTTCTCGAATAACGAATTTCAAAATCCATACTCTGCTATGATCACGTTTGATAATAATAAAGAATTGTTTTCAGACTTATTTTAAACGTAATTACTATATTATTGTGTTTAACTATCCGTTGTTATATTTATTGTTATTAGTTATATTTGTAGTTAATAGGACGCATTAAATATAAGACATTCTGTTACTGTTAAGCGTCCATAGCATTAAGTCGTAATTAATAGTTGACAAACTAATAAATATTGCATTTTTTATAGTTAAAAAGTGTTTAATTTGATGAGGTTAATTTATTATTAAATTTTATTTTCAGTATATTAATACACTATTAAATTAAAACGTCTAAATTGACCAAATATATAAACTGCACAAAACCACTGTACAGTGTACACTAATGGCCGGTCCCAATATTCAACTAACCTTTCACTAGAAATGACAATGGTAACTGACAGTTAAAAATCTTTTTTAAAAAGTTTTGCGTTTCAAAATTTACATTTCAACTATTGGTTGCAACTGAGTGTTAAGAGGGTCAACTTCTTACCATTGATAGGTTACTTCATACAAAAGAAAACTTAAGCGTTATTGAAAATAACACTGTTACGGATTTGACTACCAGCCGAGTTTGAATTTTACTGCTTTCCAGGGATGGCTATCCGTCATTGACTGACAGTTAGTGATTGGGACCGGCCAAGGTTATTTTTTACTAGAGGTCTACACTCAAGGAAATCCTACAAGTGACTAGAAATCTTCCCCTCAAAAATGTAGTCATTTATATTATTACGTTTTATCAATAAAACACATTTAACGGTTACAAAGCATCCGAAACGTCGCGCCGTTTAAACGATCAAAAGTGCTTTATTAGAATGTGGTATTTTTATTTATTATTTTGATCTTTATACCAGCTTTTCATGCAAGAAATTAAATTAAAAACAATTCGTGCAATAGTTTTGTGTGTGATAAAAAAGCTTTTATATAAGCATATTATTCTTAATATTGGAAATATCTGGAGAGCGCGCTCTTTCCGAGGTACATAATACAAAAACTATTTAATTAAAACTTTAATAATATATTACATTTGTATTTCGACATTACATAACACCGTTTTTTTTCTTAAAATCCCTCAGTATTTCCGCTACGTGACCCAGTCCTTATGAACCAATATCTTCCATTACCTAATAACCTAATTATAAAAGGTTAAAATATATGTCAAAGCCACAGTTATAAGCGACCTTCAGAATGGGGCAAAAATTAATGATATTCGCTTTTGCGATTCTATTTTCGAGGGTATGTATATATTTTTTTATTTATTATCATAATAATTAGCTGGAACCGTAAAAACTAATCGTTAAGGTCGAAATTACATTGTGAAAGATTGAAAATCACAGAAGTGACTAGGGCAATCGGTAGAGCGGTGGCATTGTGGGTTCAAAACCAATATAATATAATTTTAATAAAAAAAAAATATCAGTTAACTAGATGACCTGGCAAGCTTTCTTTTACCATATTTCGACCAAAATTTGGCATAAAAACGGTTCTTCTAAGTTAATTTTAAAAGATAGACATATACTATCGCGAGTTTTGTTTAGATTAACAAAAGAACATATTTTATACATATTTTTTGGATACAGCTTACAGATGAATAATTTTTCCCGATGTTTCCACATACCTACTGTTCCTTTGCCGTCTGCTGTGTTATAGCCTCGATAAATTGCTCCAACGAAAACAAAAAATTTCAATTAGTATGAATTTTACTCATATAATACTGACTAAGACTTTTTTATAGGTGAATTCACAGCGATGTGGCTGTGGGCCTCCCATCGTACCTGCAACTCAATTAATACCACCACCACTTATGCCAGCAACGCAAGTAGTTTCACCACCAGTAGTAGCAACCACAATTGTAGACAACTCAGTATCGAACGCTCTAGCCAATGCCTTACAGCTCCTTATCGTGAGTGATCTGATAGAGTCGACTTTGGCACCAGCGTTGGCTGCTGGTAACATACTGAGTGCCCCAATTCTTGAAAACGTAGCAACACCATATGGATCAGCGTTAGAAATTATATCACCCCAGGAATATTAGCCCCATGTGCTCAAAATATAGAGCTGTTACCACCGTGTCGTTCTCCTATAGTAGAGACTATCCAGCCTAACATTTATGGTGGCTATACTGAGACCTTCGCGCCATTGTATGGACCTCCTGCTATAATTGAGAAACCCAATCTATGCGGAGGTATTACAGAGTTCTCATCTCTCAGAAATGGTCCCATAGTTGAAAGGATCCAACCGAATTACTTCGGTGGCGTAACTGAATTCTCTCCAGTCTATGGCAACCCGGTAGTCGAAAGGTTTCAACCCAACATCTATGGTGGTATAAGTGAGACGATAACGCCTTTATGCAACGGACCAGTGGTGGAGACGATCCAACCAAATATCTTTGGTGGTATAACGGAAACACTTTCTTCGCTGTACGGACCTCAACTTGTTGAACAGTTCCTCCCAAATCCTTATGGCTACACCGAAGTATGCGGCATCAACGAATTCAATCCGGGCTTCTACAATGGTGTTACGGAAATAATAACGCCACCATGCTCTCTGTCCTCTCCGGTAGTCACGCCTGGTTATTTTGAGAGAATAACCGAGGTGGTGCCACCAACGGCGCAGTTCCTACCCAATTATTATGGTGGCGTTACAGAGGTCTTCACACCGCCTATGGCTGCTGAAGTAATGATTCCCTCAGCAATACCAGCTCAGCTAACTTGTAATTTCGGGTACAATTTACCCAGTAATACTCCCTGTGTTAGTGTAAATGTAGAAGCGTTACCGTTTGAAGCTTGTGGGTGCAATAATTGTCTTAAGAATTATTATTATTAATTTTATCTGTAGTTTAAAGTATTAAAATTATGTTGACCCTACTCTGTTGTATTTTTTTCATACCCCAATATATGACAGGAAAAGAAATTTATACACATAAAAAAAAAAAATATTTTTTCTTAACGATAACGAAGGCATTTTATGTTTTATTTGATTAAAAATTTCAAGCGTTTGTATTTTTTTTCGTGTTAAGAAAACCCATTTATATCTGTTTATTCTTTGTATATATACAATTGTCTTTAAAAATAGTTAGAACACCTTTCAGCCATTGCGCTAGCAAGATAAGTACCAAAATACAATTATTTAATATAGATCTCACAATTCTTTCCTTTATTATTATATTAGATGATAAAGAAGTCTGTCCGACTGTCGCTGTAACGCGTTATGTTACAAGGCTAATTACCCTCGCATCTTATCACTATAAAAAACAATGATGAAATATAACTCTTTTAATAACAAAAATAAATACTTATAACTAGTTACATCACTCCCTAATTAAACAAACCTAAAATATTTAGCAAACCAGGATTGGGACATGTGTTTTGTGGTACATTTAAACCAGACAAACTTGCTTTGTTAACGAAACTAGGTGGTAAATTTGGTAATTGGTTCGAAAACAATGGGTTAGGACAGCCGCAGGAAAAAGATGGCGACGCCATAACATCGTTAATTATTGGTGAAGCTAACTGTAATGCTAAATCGGAACCACCTTTCTGATTCTGCAACAAATTGCACACAATCATCAATTGCAATGTATTAGCTAAGTTTTTGCACACTTCAGGTGAGCAGTCTGTGACAATCGTCGTTGAAGGGGCGGGTAAAATTCTAGGGGGCGCCACAGACGATACTTGTTTATAATCTATGGTCGAGTACGGTAATGTCATTGGCGGAGATATGAAATTGCGAGGTGACTCTATGATTGTTTCTGGTATTCGATTCATTATCATGTTCTTTGGTTGGCGGCATTGGGAATAAGCGATCTGAAAAAAGAGGATATTTACTATAAGTACACAATCGTTTGTATAAAATACAAATATACGTAATTATATATAAATAAAGTTAAAAGTTATGTAGAAAAATTAAGATTGGTTTTAGTGGGCATTGTACAAATGAATATCATAACATTTTGTTAGTCTACGAACAACATACTTATTAATTTTTATATTGTCTGTAGACTCTATGAAATTATTACAAAAAAGTCACGAACTTTACTTGTATGACCTTTGCCCTTTTTATTCAGAACTCGTGAGAAAGACAATCGAAGTAAATCCTTAGTTTTCACAGTAAATCCGGAGAAAATTACTTTTTAAAATATTACCATAATACGATTTGGCGCGCAATATTCTGAGATATGGTAATACGAAATTTGAATATAATAACATCTTACATGTTTCAGTATAAGTCACTCTACTAAATACTGTCTTACTTTACTCTACTAGTTATTATTAATAGAAGTTTTTAGTCCTATCGTAGAAAACTAAAATAGTTTTTGAGTAAATTGTTAAATAAAATCATTTGACTCTTCAAAACTTAAATTTAATATTGAAATTGAAATAAAACACTTTTAACCGTTTTAGAACGCGAAATATATTATAGTGAACTTATTGTTTTTAACGACAGCACGACGTTTCGAATATTTTGCAACAGCCGTGGTCCCGCCAGGCCCTAGTTAAGATAAATCGTAAATAAGTATATATTCGAGTTTGTATAATACTACTGTTCGTCACTTAAGGAAATTATCCTTTTCAGAAAAAGTTGAAAACCCGTTATAATACTAAAACTACCCTAGCTAAACATACCTTCAAATTAAAAGCTAGTAAACTCAATGCTATCAGAAACCTCTTCATGTTGGCAACAACCTTTTTCGGATAGAATTCACCTGTTATAAATAAATATAAACTAAACGTTTATATTTAATTGATTTCTTATCGATCAATCGTGATCTATCTGATTTTGTAAATGTATTGTTAGAAGTTTGTTATCTGATACTGTCTATAGTTTACGCGAGTACACATTTAAATAAAACACTTTAACGGTTTAAAACTCGATATATTAGTGAAACTTATTTTTAACTTCGGCCCGACGCCACAACCTGCTACTGCTGAAATTAAATTTGTTGTCCGATGTCAAAAATTGTTAAGTAATCAAACTTACTTACGTTTTTGTTAATGTTCTAAGCTTGATATTACTCAAATTAAAAATATATTATTGCTTGAATAACAAGCAATCGTGATTTTACATTTTTTTTCATAACTAGCTACGCCTGCGACTTCGTCCGCGTGGAATAGTTACTTTGGGCAACAAAATTTGTTGTTACAAACCTCTGTCTGTCTTGCTAGTTTATCTTAAAATAATGCGTACTGTCGCGGACATTTTTTTAGATAATTTAAAGAGGGATCATTCTTTCATACATATGTTTTGGGAATCTTGAACTATTTTCGCGCCACATTTGGGAAAGATAAATTATTTTCCCCGCTTTTTCCACATTTCCCACTGTTTCTTTGCTTGTATTAGTCGTGATGTTTTGTAAGTATAAGCACTAACCAACGCATAAATAATTTTTCAATTCGAACTAGGGTTTCCTAAGATAACGCGTTCAAACAAAAAAAAAAACTCTTCCGCTTTATAATATTAGTATAGGTACTACAAAAGGTAATTTGCCGTAAAATGTAATAAACACATTGCAGTATACGCGAGTTGTTCGCATTCAAATAAAGGTTGTAATTAAGTACTGTCTGTAGTTTACGCGAGTAGTACACATTTAAATAAAACACTTTAACGGTTTAAAACGCGATATAATATGGGATAGACATTTCTGTGTCTGCCCGACATTATTTATTGTTGCAATGATATTCAAAACCAGGACCTCTCCTGATCGTGTCTAAAAACTATATTTTTACATCAAGTTACTCCATAATTACTCTTCTGGAGTTACAATACATTTTACTATTAAATTGTATTTTATTTTTTACAAGTTACACGCGAAGTGTTGCTAAATTTCCGATCATTGACAGATAGGCCGCGTATTAAACCAATCTGTTTCTCAAAACAATAATCATTTTATGCGTTAAACTCAATTGCTCATAATGATTATTAAATCTGTAATTTTTATTGTTTTGGTCACGTTCGTAAACGTAAGATTTTTATTGAAAAACTCTTTCGAAATTAAAAAGAACCTAATTCTATGTACATCAAACTTATATTTTATAAGTAATCAATTCCTTTGCCTTCAGACTTATTTTCCGTTGTTATATTCATGCAAACAAGTTTGGTCAATCTTCTGTGCGTCCCCAAATTAACACCTATTCCTTCTTTTCAATCTAATAAAATGTTATTATTTCTTTCAGCATCTCTCAGCGAGATCATACCGACGTCATAGACCTAGACTCGCAGAACGACCTCCTCAATATATCCGAACCCCAGCATTCCCCGAACCCATATTTCGTAGTTCAAAATGCTCGTGTCCAATCCCTGTCGAAAAATGTCCAAACGAGATAGTTGTTACAGATTACCCAAGTTTTATTCAAAACCTGCCCTTAATTTGTAGAAATGATCAGTTAATTATGCCACCACAAGCAATTGAACTGCCGTTTGGTCTGGGATATAGCTATGCTGCTGTACCATCTGTGGCTGAAGCATATAATGAGAGATCTTTTATTAACGGAATCGATATAGTAACGGAAGCCTTAATTCCGATTACGTCGGAATTTGCAAATGTAAAAATTGCAACTCCCTTTTGTTATGAATCTTTAGTTAAATCAGTAATACTATAATTTTTTCTATTATAATAAAATACTGAATGCAAATGAGATATTATTTTTGCGTTTTATTTTTAAGATGTCATCCAAAGCCACAATAGGTCGACAGGAAATCTTGTTTAGATGTTATATGGCTGGGATATTTCAGCTGTCATCAAGTAAATTCATGCTTTTCTCTATATTTTAAAAAAATACCTCTACTTCTAAACATTTTGTAGAATGTTTATACTGTTTTATTTATATTATATATCTTTAGATTTTTTTGAAGCATCAAACACAGTTTGATTTCCAAGAAGAATTATTATGGCTTAGTAACGTCTGAATTTCTTTTTACTTAACATAAGAATCGAGTTCATTAATAATCGACTACAATGTCAAGGATTCTGACGTTTATCGGAAATAATTTGACAAGTGTCGATGTCAACCAATATTATTAGTTATTACTGTCAATTGTCATAATTGTCAGTAAATCTGGTATTAAATGCGAATTCGCGGTTCTATTTAATAATATAAAAACTGTAATAAAAATATACAATCACAATGGTCGAAGCTCAGAAATATAGAATCGAACAGGAAATGACCAATTTGGTCAATGAACTCGACAAAAGTCATTTAAGGAAAATGCAAGTAAGTGTTCTGGTTAGGTTATCTTATCATATTCTTATGCAACAAACTTTTTAGAATTTATGCAAAAGTATGCATTCCCACACGCTTCTTAATATAACATCAGAGCCTAATATTAATATAGTTAACAAAAATAATTATCCAATAAGTTTTTAACTGAAATTAGAAATAATGAAATGCTACTAAATGAAACATAATTTATTCACTGTCTGCTATATAGTATAATAGCTCCTAATTTACATATACGCAGAGCACATACTAATATACAACAAAAGTCAAATAATTGTCACTTAACAATCTAATAATCTCATTAGATTTAAAAATGATGATGGATGTTCTGTTTTATTACTATTACTATACACTACCACTTACAAAACCTAGGGTATAGAAAAAGAAAACAAATCTTCCCGCTACTAAAGTCCACTTAAGAATGCCATCATACCTATAAACTCCAGTTCTTATGAACCGACTCTGGTTTTATTCACTATAATGTATTTGTTATTCATTAAACCTAATATTTTTAGGGTGACATGCACAGATGTGCGGCCCGGTGCTGTGATGATCCAAACTCATCCTTAGAAAGAGTACACGGTTGTATAGAGAATTGCACTACATCACTTAACCAAGCCAATACCTATGTACAGGTAAGATTATGCTATTTTTCTTCTGTTGTATTAGGGCTGGTTGACTAAAATTGATGTGATAATGACAACTTAAGAAGTGAGATACAAGAGCTATGTTCTGTCCCAACCCCAAATGTGTTGCCCATAGTATGTATTGATAATTTAGTACTTAGATCATATTATAAAATAGGTATGGTCAAAATGCATGAACAAGTCTTATAAAAATTGTATATATCATAGACAATAAATAAAAGATTTCCTCTGTGGTTTCCAGAATGAAATCAATGTTCTTCAAAATAGGTTGCAGCGCTGCGTGATGGATTGTAATGATTCTGCTCGCGACAGGCTTGGACCAGATCCCAGCCAAGAAACGGTAACTAAGTTTACTTTTCTTAGAAGATGGATTTTTTTTTAGAAAAAAAGGCAGACATTTTACACACTCTTGGTTAAATGACAGTATCTTAACTATTGAGACATGGAGACATCTTGACAGGTAATGGAAGTGTAATATCCAACACCCAAATCAGTTGACAGCGCATCTTGTGTAGATGTTATATGGCTCGGGTATTTCGCCTTCCATCAAGTGAACATGGGGTTTGCTTGTCTGTTAAAACAATTATTGAACCCTGAATCTGTGAGACATAAAAATGTCTCTGTCTTGTATATTCCTATGAATTTACACCTTATTATTTATTACAGATCGACAAGTGCACGATAGATTTTGAGAAGTGCGCAGTCAAGTGTGTGGACAAGCACATAGGTTTGATTCCCAGCATGATGAAAACTATGAAGAAAGTATTGGCTAGTGGAAAACCGCCGCCGGCGCAGAATGCTTAAACTTGTACCATTTATGAAAATCTTGTTTTGGTAACTGTCCACTACCTTTACCATTTCACTAATGAGAAAAACAAATTTTGTTTATTGGTAAAATAACTTTTTTGAACGGTATGCCTGAGTAGCCAGTCAGCTTTTAAAACTAAGCATATATTAAGTGGGGGACAACTTAACTTGATGTGTCTACTGCCAAGGACGACCCATGGGGGTTTGGCTCGGACCAACATACTTGATGTGAGCTTAAAACTGGATTTGCCTATCCAGGTGATGGGTACCCCAAATAATTTCTACGTCTGTAATATTCACCAGCATGGTGAAGAACTATTATGTGCAAGATTATATCAAAAAGTTTTTGTGTAGCTGTTAATTATTAAGTAACTTATACGATAGAAATATATTTAAAGAAAATGTGGACAGTTACAATACGGTTTTATGTAATATATATTGCCAAAACTTGTTCAGATTGTATTTAAAAATGCATTTATATGTTTTGTACAAAACAGAAAACAGTATCCCATCACAAATAAATCTTCAGCATTTCATTTATGATGTTCCTTTATGCTATACAGTATATCTGATACATAAGATTATTGTGTATATTAGTTACCTTCCCCAGAACGGCTTAACCAATTTCCATGAGATTTTATCTGCATTTTTAGTTGGACTGAGAATCTGCTCTTATCCAGTTTTCATATCCTTATATGAAAAGGGTTGTTACTGCTGACACTTCAACGGTTTAAAACGCGATATATTTTAGTAAAAACGGGGGGGAACACCCGTGGCCACGGCTGCTGCAAATCATCCGAAACGTCAGGCCGTAGTTACAATTTTTTTAAATAAAATTAACTAATATATTTCTCGTTTTAAACCGTTTAAATGTTAACTACAACTTTTGCTAGCTGTCTAGTTGACATCGAATATATTTTTATAATTCTTTTCTTGTTTCGTCATTTCAAATATGTCTGTGCAAAAAGTTTAAATTAATCAAACATACTGAAGAAAAAAATATATTATATCTAGTTAAATATTGATGCCATAACAAAACATAAAGTGTTATTGTATATTTCGTATTATATTTAGTTTAGAATTACATATATGGTTTATCAATAAATATATTTTGATGTTTTATTTTAATCGCCTTTGACTTGTTGCTTTCTATTGCATTAAGCAAGAAGTTTCGAATTCCTGAAAAAATAAAAAAATATAAAAGTCAAAGCCAAAGATGCTTATAAATGTATTATTATAAGGTTATATATGAAAGGCTCACATGGTGCGCAAAACAAGACGCGCTGTTGTGTAAAATACACAACAGCGCGTCTTGTTAGCGCGGCTTTGGATATTCGGAAACCGAAACGCGATTAAACTTCCCCCCTTTTTCGTCGTTCGTTGGATCGTGAATCTGTAAATTTCGTTATTCCGAAGTCCACAATGGTTCAAATAAATTGGAATCGATGGGAAATGAACCTACGACCGCTTTATAGCCATACCACAAGACTAACATAATCGCGTAGATAGAAATACTATAACGATTTAAAACGCGATATATTTTAGTTAAATTTGTTTGAAAGTTATTTTTAACTACGGCTCGACGTTTCGGATGCTTTGCAGCAGCCGTGGTCACGGGGTTGTCTCTGACGTAAAAGTAAAAAACTGCTACGCTAGCGCCACCTGTTCCGTCGAAGTTGGTACTTGGCGAAACTGGCCGGGTCCTTGCAGAATTGAATCACAGTGTCTTAAATTTTGCCTAAATAAATATATACACAGACACTGTCTGTGTATATATTTATTTCTTAACATTCAATTATTGCCATCGTAAACAATGGACTTTTATGTCTACTAGGAACTAGTTCCAAAAATATCTTACTTAACGCACTTAATAACCTATATAAAGACGCCGTTTTGAAATTAACCTTTCAAAACGTAATTATTTTTAAGGGAACATGTATTTCTTAACACTTATTTTATTGCTGTGTGGATATGTGAGTTTTTAATATTATATTATAAAACACGTACTTACTTTTACACAAGATATAGTTTTGAAATATTAGATTGTAGAGAAAGTTTCACTTGTATAGGGCGACCTTTGGGAAAAAGTCAGTGATGTACAGAGCGAAAAATCTAGGCATATCCCCACTTGTTTAGATATAATCGATATGGAAATATCTCTGCTCCTTATTTAACATAAAGATATAGAATTATACAGAAAATTTCAGAGCATAACATACACCTTTACGTCAGTAGTAGTCCGAAAAATATTCAATCATTTGCCTTTTTTGTCAGCTAACTAATGTGTAATACTTAGATTATCTTCATACATACATACATAATAAGTAATATTATAAGTGCTTTAAAAAAGTGCTCCTTAACATATCTCTTATTTGGACAAAATTCGAATATTGGCTGGCTACATACAGAATAAATGAATGTCGATCAATACAATTTCTTAAATTACCTTTCAGGTCCAAGGAATTATTTTAGGACCACAGATCATAGAAAACGGATGTCAAACGCCGTGCAATTATGTCAGAACAGTTCCCGAATTAACTAACGCTTGTGAATGCCAAGCAATCCAGGATGTCACTGAAAGTCTTATTCTTCCATTTTATGGCAGTACTTCGGATATGCCACGTGGAAGCTCATATCCGTCTTTCGGATATCCGGGTTTTTACTCGTACGGATATGAATGCATTGGGATTCCGCCGCTGCCGCCCTCTATAGGTTGTTCTGGAAAATATTTGAGACAGATCACATTGCAACCACCTTTTTTGTAACCTCTTCGTGATATATACAATATACCTACTATAAAATTAATTATATTATAGCGAATATGTCTAAGAAAATCGAGATTAATTACTATCCACTACTTTAAATGAATAATGTGGGTAGTTAAGCATTTATTTTAAATTAAAATATTTTAAATCAAATTTTTAAAGATTATATAATCATTAACATCGATTTATTGATTACTTATTAACGGATAATAGTATTTTCCTTAAGAATACGACTTAGTTGCATTTTATATCAGCTTAATAAATTATGTAGATGAAAATAACAACATGAAATACATACTGTCTATAGTTTACGCGAGTAGTACACATTTAAATAAAACACTTTAACGGTTTAAAACGCGATATATTAGTTAAACTTTTTTGCAGCCGTGTCTCCCCGTGGCCACCATCCGAAACGTCGGGCCGAAGTTAAAAATCATTTCCAAATAAGTTTAACTAATATATCGCGTTTTAAACCGTTAAAGTGTTTTATTTAAACATGAAATATGCTTAAAAGAGTGCGTATAACAATACTCAAACTTAATTATCTATTGCTATTTTAAATAAAATTAATCAGATATTTTAAGGACTTTTATTTAATAAATACCTATTCTATTAGCATGTCAACTAGAAATACATCGCGGTTATAAAGTTGGAGGAGGTATAGGAATTTTCCTCAAAAAGTGGTTTCTAGTTTGAGATGGAATTACTGGTGGCAGTAAGCTACTGGTAGGTGGGGCCCACGCCGACACAGGGGAAGCTGAGGGCAGAAAAGGACTCAATGGTGATGAGCACGGTTCTTTAACTGGCACCGGAAATGGTACAGGCACGTGAATGACTTCCGGCGTCTTCTGGCATGGTATGTTGGCAACATTCGGTGCTATTCTTGGCACCACTTCAACTTTTTGCTGAGTAGGCTGTATTTGACTTAACGGTGTTGCCACTTTCCGTATTCCGTTAACGGGCAACTCTTCTAGCGCCGGTCGTTTGCCCATTTGCATCATTTGTAGGGCCTGTTCTGTATTGCCAGGTGATAGAATGTTTTGTAGGGCGGACATGACTGCCCTTTTATTTGGGGCTCGCTGTGGTACACGGGCAGTAGATTGTTGTATTATAATTAATGTAAGTGAAAGTAGTAGAAGCTTCATTTTTTCCTGAAAAAAGAAAATACTAAAGTTCAATACTAACCACATAATAAATATTTATGTAATACATTATATATTTTAATATATTATTGTGAATTTATTTAATAACGATAATCACACCATATTTATTAGTCGTTTACTAACCGTATTTATTAATAATTTTTGAGGAATTTATTTATTTATACAAAGTTTATTCAAATGTAAAAATACCATTTGAATAAAACGCTTTAACGGTCGAAAACGCGATATATATTAGTTAAAATTATTTTAACTACGACCTGACGTTTCTGATATTTTGCTGTAGCCATGGTCACGGAGAGACTGGCTACATAGCATTCCAAACGTCGGGCCGTAGTTAAAATAATTTTCAAATAAGTTTAAATTATATACATCGTGTTTTAAACCGTTAAAGTGTTTGATTTAAATGTGTACTGCTCGCGTAAAAACAGACAATATAGATTTATCATAATTATTTTTTATCGTTATTGCTTACCTTTCTGAATGAAACAATTTGTCATAAGCTCCTTTTTTTAACAGACCAAAGCATTTTATAAATTATTATAATGTAATAATTATCGCGAAATATTGAAACAATAGATCAAATTTCAATCGATTGTAGATATAACGATATTTATTGTGACACTGTTTTATTATCTGTGTATGCAATGTTTATTTTAGGAAGTCTTAAAACAAAGGACGAATTTTTTTTGTAATAAAAAAAATTACTACAATACTGCCACAATCATATTTATTTATTTTATGCTGTAAAAATTGTTTTTTTACTCTTTCATGAGATGCAAATTATATCTTATTTACTAAGAAAAATATAGATGCTGCAAACGTATTAATTCATAATTATTTTACACATCAAATCATAAATAAACTATTGTTTCTAAGATTTATTAAAATTTTATTAAACTACAAAAATCGAACTATCTTTTACATAACATTCTGTTATGTAAACCTAGTTTGATAGATAAAAAACATGTACTTATAGAGTAGACCTAGTTTTGCGGCCTTTAAAATAAAAATGTTGGTTCTATTACTAATTTTACCTATTCTATCTTGTGTAAGTAATTGTATCAATATATTTTACGTTTTAAACATCTTATAATATAGCTCCAACATTACACCACTACTGGTGAAAGATCTCGCAAAATCTCAAAGCACTACACTTACATAAAATACTTTTATCGGTTTAAAACGCGAAGAATATTTGTTAACTAATATGTAATCTATATTAGGGCAAAACGTTTTCGATGTTTTGCAGCAGCCGTGAACACTACTCACAATCACAAAGTTAATATTTCGCGTTATAAACTGTTAAAAAAAGATTGATAATATTACGTTTATATTCGATTGTTTTTAAAGAGCTTGATGTACTATCTATTTACTTAAAATAGATTATTTTTTTTACGTGAAGTGTGACGACACGTGAACAAGTGTTAATGTAGAAATAATATTGCGCGAGAGGTCCTTGTAGGTTGAAAAAAATTTGACGATGACCTGCAAAAAACGGTAGCCCAATTGTTTAGACGTTAGAGTAACAGGACGGTTGCTGTAGATGCCGGTTCAAGGCCAGCATTCAATTAGCGCCCATTTGAAAAATTCCTATTTTTATATTTGTTTGTTTTTACATAAAGAATATTATTGTAATGAATATTTTATTTAAACCTATGTTTTTATATATTTTTCCTTCAGGTCAGTTCACAATGCTTAGGACAACGGCCCCTATGTAACTGTCAGCAAGATGTACCCTGCGCGCCTTCGCTATCATGTCTCCAGCCATCTCTAACTTCATGCGGTTTGATCACGGAAGTCCCAATGCCCACGGAGGCCATTTTGGAAATACCCTTCATCAATTCGATGTTGCCAGCTGCGTCTCCAATTTCGGCTTACGCTAATCCATTTTCGCCTTTATTCCCCTCGGTCTCGCCGTGTGATTGCGGCAGCCATTTTCTGAAGAAAATTCCTATTCCGCCGCCGTTTATATGAAATTATAATTTATATATACTCGATGGCAATCCAAGGACATAAAATATAAAATAAATAAACAAAATAAACGGATAATCGGCTTTAATTTTTGACAGGCTTATTTATTGCTAATATTGTTTTTTTTTTTTAGTTTTTAGACATTTATTCAAGAATGTACACATTCACTTATTACTAAGTTAACTAAATATTACATTGAAATTTGGACAGCATTCTTATTAAATGCAACTATAAAAAGGAGGTAGTTATGAACGGTACATCTAAGTATTATTATATGTAATATGTAATTGCTGATAAGCATCGGGTCGTTGGGCCGATGCCTATTTGATGTCTAATTTACTTAAATATGATGGACTTCGTCTGGAAAATCAGGATATAACAGTGTTAGGAATATTAAAATTCTCTTCAGTCCACGAATAACCTTCTACAGATGAAAAATCCGTCTTTAATTATATTTTAGTTTTAGTCTGATTTCGGAATATCCAAAGCGAAATAGGTCGACAACACATTTTGTTATATAGCTGGAGTAACCATCAGGTGAACCCCACGCTTGTCTGTCTTACTGCGTCATGATAAATAAATACTGTCTATAGTTTACGCGAGTAGTGGACATTTAAATAAAATACTTTAACGGTTTAAAACGGGATATATTAGTTAAACTTATTTGAAAATGATTTTTAACTTCGGCCCGACGTTTCGGATGCTTTGCAGCAGCCATGGTCACGGGGAGACTAAAGATGGAGGATGTCTCTGACGTCAAAGTAAAAAATTGCTACGCTAGCGCCATCTGTTCCGTCGAAGTTGGTATTTGGCGAAACTGGCCGGGTCCTTACAGAATTGATCTCCTTTTTTTTGGGATCAGAGCTTGTAAAGACAGAGACATGCTCCATCTTTAGTCTCTGTTGCAAAGCATGCGAAGCGGCCAAGTTAAATTTTTCAAAAGGTTATCTAATATATCGCATTTTAAACGGTTAAATTGTTTTATTTAAACAAGAAAAATAAACTATTGTTAAATATTTCTTAAACACTTGTTTTAATTATTACATTAGGAGAATCATACGTGCGTAAGTATAAAGTCTAAATATGCAATGTGACAAAAAAATTGCTAAGCAACAACTTAACATTGACTTACTGACCCTCTTCTGTCTGTTGATGTAGAGAAATTACGATAAAACGGGTATAAACGTGACCTATTGTTTATTCTTCCTGCTTTAAGAGTGTATGGGTCTCACGTATATCTAGCGCTAAGTAATTGTACGTTCGATTCCTGGAACAGCTGTGTTACAATATATTTTCAGGACAGAGAAAGCTACATTAAATAAAAAATGCTAATTATTAAAAAAAACTATAATTCTCCTAAAAGTCTTAACGAATTATACGATACTATAGTTTGTAGTTTACGCCACTTGTACACATTTAAATATAACACTTTTAACGGTTTAAAACGGGCACTATAAAAGGAAGAATCCAAAACGTCGGGTAGTTAAAATAAACTTTAATTAGTTAACCAATATAGTTCGCGTTTAAAACCGTTTAATGATTTTCATTTGGATATTATACTAGTATAGTTATTGCTTAAAATTATAATTATATATAGTAATTAATAATCTTTTAAAAGAGAATTAGAAATTAACAAACAATATGTAATCAAGAGATTGTGTAATTTATTCCAACCACATAAGTGATTTTCTCTTAAATAAATTATGTAAGCGATCTTAACAAGATAATGGTTGTAATAACAGATAATATAAAGTACTTAAGCAAAACATAATAACTTTGCAATCCAATAATATTTCTTTAACATAAGACAATGTCTGGGCGTATTTTTATCTGTTTAATCGTTTTAATAATACAAGTAAGTTTACCCATCCAGCTAGTATTACTACGTGGAAATAACTTGGATATATGAATTATTTTCTTATATTTTCAGAACGTTACGGCGCAATACAGACCATCGGAATTACAGCCACAGACTATATCGACATTACAGAACCAAAATGTACATAACCTACGGCAAATCGGAATGTTGCCATCGCCACGTATGAAATTAGTGTCACAACGCCATCGATATGTAATAAAAAAGGCGCCAAAAAAGAAAATAACAAAACGGCAAATGTTAGCTGATTTATTCAAACAGTCGGCAATTAAAAATATTCACGATGCCACCAGTTTGTGTAATAGAGATAAAAAATCTATTAATTTCTATAAGGATATGTTTGAAGAAAAGCCTGCGAGATTGACGAACGATGTTGCCAGTGGGATTTATAATTTAAATTATTTTTAGTTCCCACATTTGATAGTTTTTAATAATTTATTAATTCATTGTTAATAAATATATTTAGCTTTATACTGGTTGTATTATTTACTGTGAGATTTAATTTTTTAAGTAAAAAGTATATTTTAATATTTTTATATTTGAATTATATTTGAACAAACCGATTTCTTATAATTATTCTATGCTAACTGTTGACAAGTAACCCGATTTTTTTTAAGTATTAGAATTGTGTAATACTGTATACATTTTAGTAATAAATATCTCAGTCACTATCTAAAATCTAATAATTTTGAGAAATATTAGATTTTATAAAGATAAAACACGTCCAAGATTACATATAAGTTACGTATTCTTATACACCTTACATCATTAATAATTTTACGTAACGTAAAATGTTGTCTAATATACCGATTTTATTTGTGACACAAACTTTTCTTTTAAAGGTGATTTTCTTATATTTTTTATCAAATAGCTAATTTGTTTTTAGACTTTTAATTCTTTTTTTTTTTCAGGGAATACTAGCACAATTTCAACCTTTTGGGGCGGCTCGGAATCTCGCAGACTTATCTCACAGAAACTTAGCTGGACAGAACAGGCCATGGATTCCGCCGTGCATTTCACTTAACCAAGGCACACCATATAATGCAATGCCGGAAAATTCCATATCTTTTCCATCAGCACCAGGCAATAGTTTTCCATTTACCACAATACCTGCTAACAGCATGGCTATCAATCCAAGTCATAGTTTACCATTTACCGGAATTTCTGGAAACGCCATGTTACCTTTACCAATCCACAGACTATCACTTCCACAGATGATAAACAGTGGACACTCTATAAATCAACCTCTGTTACAGAATATAAATCCTTTTCATTATAGATCTAATGTCTATGATAGTAATATGATGAACTTGAACCCATGGTTTCCAAGAACTGTCAATTTTTACGGTCCGTTATTGAATACTTATCAAGTTTTGACGTTGAATAATCTTTTGGGAAACATTCCATACAGTAGTATTGGATTTATTGACGAACAAACACACTTGGCTGGGTTTACTATACCTTCTACTCTTACTATTATAAAAAATCCACACATTAACGATCTATCTATGAACGATAATAGATCGGGCATATTGAACAACTTACCGATTCCTAGATCGTCTGTATTAGATTTTATATCTAATGTAAGACAGGATCCTTGGATGTCTCGTATGTAATGGTTATCGGTCTCATAGAGTTTATTTTGAGGTTATAAATCAAATTTATTTGAAGGCTTTTTAATCTTTAAGTTTTGTAACGTCTTACAAGTTTATTGCGAAGTTACAAACCGCAAGCTTTGTTTATTATATTTCTAATAAGTTGTTTATCTATTTCTTTACCCGTGTTATTAATATACATTTGTTTTAAACTTTGTTGTTTCAATTGAATTATACATGTTCAACAATCTGTTTAAGTTATATTTATATTATAAAATCTCGTTTCCCATATATGACTTACTTACGTACTTTTGTGGCCTGCCCGAGGAAAAGATCCTTTTTTTCCGAATAGGAACCCATTTCTTTTCATTGTTGTTAAGTAATACGCCATCTAGGCGGTATGTAAGCAAGTAATTAGTATATAATATGTAAATAGTAATAAAATAATACTAATATCAATAATTTATTCTTAAAACGTAACAATTTAACTAAAGTACTGGCTGGCACATTTCGACACGACATCCATAACCTGGTTGCCGAACGACTCGGCCACAACCGCTGTGCCACTGGATGGTACGTTACCATCCACCGCGATCATGCCATACACGGGAAAACATCCAGACACCTTAATAGTGCCACCGATCGGTAATTCTCCCGCCATGTTAACATCTCCGTACTGTAAAGACGGTACAACTTCAGATATTATCGGCGAAACTTGGATATTATTTATGGCTGGATTCTGTACTGGTGTTGCTTGTAAATTATTAGCATAGTTCATTGAATTTAATTCGTTCGTTAGAATCGAATTTCTGTTCGCATTCAATGCGATTTCGTTGAGTGCTTCGCTAGCGATTACGGCGTTATTGTAGTTATTTTGTATGTATCCGTTTGTTAAAGCACTGTTGGCGATGAGGTTTGCTTCGTTCAAGCCGTTAGCATATGCTGAAAAACTGGCTGGCATGTGTCCGGTTCCGGGTGGCATGGCAATAGTGTCCTAAAAAAGAAACGTTTATTTAACATTGATATAAGGTAACCGAATAATCTCGACTTAGATTCTAGTCGTAAATGCACAATATTTACAGGTTCGATTTCCAACTGACTTAGATTTTTAAAACGAAATTAATCTGTAATAAATCCATACTACGAAACAACGCCCCTAATATAGTAAATTCTCAAAAGCACAGAAGTTATAGAACTACGACCCGACACGATTAAGTAATCAATATTTTGTTTTAAACCGTTAAAAGTTTTTATTTAACTGTGTGCAACCCGCGTGAACTAAGACCTACAGACAAGACTTACACATTTTACTTAAGTTAGATCTTTATTTCTCGAGTTTATTTAAATAAAACACTTTAACGGTTTAAAACGCGATATAATATGTATCGCGATATAATATATAGATATAAACCGTTAAAGTGTTTTATTTAAACTGTGTACTACTCGCGTAAACTATAGACATATTCTCGAGTTTAAATTATTACAATTAAAAACATACTCACTCGTAACAAAACCGCTTGAAGGCAGAATAAAATTAGACGATGCATGTTTTAAACTATTTTTAAAAATGAAGCCGTTCAAAATACGTATTTTATTTAATACTTTTCGTTATCTAATAATAGATAATTTTGTAATATATGCTAGCAATGTTACATGAACACAATGCCAAGCAATTTTAATGCAATTTCCATAGATAATGTAATTTATGTCATATTTTTTATCTGTGCCCTATAAGCACAATAGCTGTGGATTACACATTTTAGTAGCATACGCTGGGAATCACGCTGATTTAGAAAGGAAGAAAGAAAACAATATTTAATGCCACAAAATAGTACGTTTAGTGGTAAGAGCTTCGGAAACACGTTCGTCAGGTCACAAATTCAATTCCCAGTTGTTCAGGCACCTTATTTATCTTTGTGTTAAATATATAATATTAATATAGTTATAATAATGAAATAAAAGCTTTGGGTAAATTTTGAAAAAATGCCTCAGGCGTTACTCTCTCCGCGACGTAAAGGCGAAATTATTTTTGGTTTTAGATAATTTTGTGCCCAGAGAGAGCAAAATCAACATGTTGCAAAATTTAAAAAAAATGTTAATAATTATAACAAAGGCAGGACTCAAACCTACGACAAGTAAGGTGGATATATTTCCAATATATAAGGTACCGAGAGACCGCATCAGTAGCCTAATGGTTAAAAAAGGTTGCCTAGCATTGCGTTAAACGCGAGAAGTCATAATCCCAGAGAGGTAGTAGATTGATTGTTTCGGTCGAGCAGGGCACAGAAGTCGGATCAACGCTTGTAAAGGAATCAATCACTGAAACGGACCCGGCATTTAACACAATAATATATAGATGGCGTTAGCGTATCTCAATAAATGTCAAAATATTTTCAAATATAATTTTTTTATATATAATATAAACTACCTACTACTTTCCTGTAAATAAACCAATCAGTGGACACAGGAATGTGATCGCCCCATACCCCACAAGGGGCAACGAGATTTTACAATTTTTGCCTATTAGTGGTAGTAGTTAACTTAAAATAATAATTGACATTAACATGTTATTGGTCATAAAAAATTTAAATGATGATCTACAAAATTTACAAAGAGACGACGACGAGAAACTTGGCTAAGTGTAAATACAGCCCGCCCATAATGTTCCGTACCATAGACTAAGTAATGTAATTTTAGCGTAAACTTTTGTTTTATCCTAAAATCTGAAAGAATAACTTACTTATAAATTATATACTTATTAGCTGTGCCCACGTTTTCGTCCGCGTAGAATTAACTATTCTATTTTGAGCATTATTATTTACTTTTGTAAACCTCCTCATCTTATAAATTATAACTGTCTTTGTTATAACTGCCCACGACGTCGACCGCGTTCACGTTGTTCCTGCGAGTTATAAGTTAAAATAGACGAATTCCATCGCGGAAATTGAGGGAGGAATCATTCTTGCATTCATATTTTTAGACTAGCTGTGCCTGCGACTTCGTCCACGTGGAATAGTATCTTTGGGTAGAATTTTTCAATTATTTATGCTGTTTATTTTATACATTTAAACACACAGTATTTACACTGTAAATAGCTTATTAAGGTATACATAATAAGTATATCTATGTAGTAAATTTTTATATGCTTATTTGAGTTATATAGTTACCTTTGCATTTATAATATTAGTAAGTTGTATAAAAATGAATTACGATACATCCACACAACTTTTCATACCTCATTTTACCCTTTACTACCTTTTTTTCGTACAGCAAAAGGTTTTACAATGCAAAGGCAGTCGATCTGTGTTGTAACTACTACTTTGTCGCAACACTCCCACCTCACATCACTCCCACTCCCATTCTCACTTCCACTCTCCCAAAAAGTTAAAGAAGAAAGTGTTATAGTTATAGCTTACGAATTTCCATACAAATTTTCATCCCCCTTTTCAACCCTTAACATCCCTTTTTTGGCATTAAAAAGTAGCCTATTCATTTCTTAGAATATCTGTGTACCAAATTTCATTTAAATCATGTCAGCACTTTCGGCGGACTGACAGACAAAGTTACTTTCGCATTTATAATATTAATAGTGATTTCTTGAACTGTTTTTGCAGTATATAGATGAAAGAATAATAATTTTTCCAGCTTTACCACAATTCTCTCTGATTCATCGCTCCTATTGGTTACAACCACATGTATGCCTTCCTCGATTTATGGTCCAACCAACACAACATTGGAAAAAAAATTATGAAAATTAAACTGTGTACCTCTCGTAATTATTGTTAAGACCTAGCGACAGGCAGATAAACAGAATTCTATCTGTTAAACTGTTTTAGTAATAAGGTTCCGTTTTTAATGCACAAGGAACCCTAAAAATCAATTCTCAAAATATTCGCCATTATCACTCTTCTATCAAATACAAAGAACCTTATCGGTTCCCTTTTAAATTATGTCACATTTTAACAATAACATTATGTAAGCGTTATATACTTAAGTATCAGCGAATCTTAACGAGGCCACAATTTTTATTTTGTTGAAATTAAAACACGTTATTGAAGATGTTTACGACAATAGCCTTATGTGTTTCTGCGTTTTATATTCAGGTAAATTGCAGATATAAAAGTACTTAATAAAAATAAAATACATCCATAAAATTTTGGATACATTTAATTAAGAAGGCGAGAATAAATAACTTTTTTGCTTTGTCTAATATAGCGGCGTATTTATTTTTATTTGGTGGGGGGGTTTTAAATTTTTTTTCCCCCCGGGGGGGGGGGGGTTTTTTTTTCCGGGGGGTTTTTTTTTTTTTCTTCCCCCCCCCCCCCCCCCGCCCCTTTTTTTTTTTTTTCGGGGGGGGGCCCCCCCCCCCCCCCCCCCCCCCCCCCCCCCGGGCCCCTTTTTTCCCCCCTTGCCCGGGGGGGGGGGGGTTTTGGGGGGGGGGGGGTTTTTTTTTTTTTTTTTTTTTTTTTTTTTTTTTTTTTTTTTTTTTCCCCCCCCCCCCCCCCCCCCCCCCCCCCTCTTTTCTCCTCTTTTTTTTTTTTTTTCCCCCCCCTTTTTTTTTTTTTTTTTTTTTTTTTTTTTTTTTTTTTTTTTTTTTTTTTTTTTTTTTTTTTTTTTTTTTTTTTTTTTTTTTTTTTTTTTTTTTTTTTTTTTCTTTAGACTATAGATAAGATAGGTCAATTATATAAGCAAACTTTTCTATTCTAGACAATATCATGCCAAGTCATGCGTAATCCACTAAACGGCATCATAGCTCCAGGTCTAGAAGTGGCTTATGGAAATCCAATGACGAACATCGCTTACAAAACGGAATACGCCAATCCTTGGACTTACGAAAACTATGGACTCAACTTAGCAACACTGGCTGCTTCAAATGGCTGCGGTTTCACTGTTCAAAGCAGTTCGCCAATTGTACCAAATGGCGTGTCGATCTTATCTGAAAACATGGTGATCGAGGGTCCACTGGCTGTCAACGGCCAAATGCCGTTCCTGGGAACAATTGGCTTGGAAGGAGCGTTACCAGCTGCCGGTGCTGGCGTTGTATCTTATGGCTGTGGTAATGGCAATGTTGGTATCACCAATGAGGGATACAACATGGCAGGCGCGTACGGCTTGGCGCCAAAAATGGCAAACTTGGCACCCGCCATGACTGGTCTAAATATGGCGGGAATTAATACCGCCATGTATGGTGTTGCCGGTTATTAGAGGTTTTATTAGAAATTAAAAATCGATTAATTATGAATTGAAAACATTTACGACACGGGCAAGACTTGAACGCATTAAGCGTTCCGTGAAAAATATTAAAAGTTTCGAAAATGATTTTTTAAGCTGCAAAGCATAAGACATTGAATTCAACCTTAACAAGCAGTTGTTAAGGTAGAAATTACATGTGCGAGACGTACATGTACCCATAGGTTGAAAAAATTCGACGATAACGTGTAGGTAGCCCAAATAGCAGATTCAAGTCCTGCCCGTGTTCGTAAACTTTTACAATGTATAATCGATTTTTAATTTATATGATCCCATCATGTGCGAGAACATGTGAAAAGTATTAAGTTTGTATTGTATTATATATTTTAAGTGAAATAAATTATAATTTGAACACACTCCTTTTTTTAGTCCTTCACAATAAAACACTTTAACGGTTTAAAACGTAAAACCGTGGTCACGGGGAGACTCGTTCGTCTCCCTGTACCACGGCTGCCAAACCAAATATTTTCGAATAAGTTAACTAATATATCGCGTTTTAAACCGTAAAGTGTTTTATTTAAATGTCTACTACTCCCAAACTATAGACGGTATTTTTCATATCTGTTTACAGCATAAATAACACTCGTTTTGAAATTTAATCTCGCGTTTAGGCGTTGAACACGTGCAGTATTGAAATGTCACACTGCATCCTTTGAATGTTAATTGCTCAAGTATTTCTTGTAGTTTGCCCGAATCGTACACATTCAAAACACTTTTAAAGGTTTTAATTACGAAATTTACGTTTTGTTTTGTACATACTGTTTCTCACCTAAGAGCATATTTTTATTTGTAGGTTCACACACTATTGTTTAGTTTAAGTAACATTGTTATATTAATTTTACTTATTACAAGGGACCGCTCTGTTTAATTTCTAAAATATATATAATCTACAATTGATCTATTAAGCATTCGAAAACTGCGGGATCGTAGTAATAAAAATAATTAATATAAAATTTCAATATTAAACCAATAAATCAAGATTTCTATTAAACTTGTATTGTTGTTTTTATATATTTCAATAATGCATTTTTAGTTTAAAAACGTAATAATAAAACTTATTTCTATGAATTTTACCTCCTCGTCTCCCCGGGCCCCGGGGTCCCCCAAAACCCCCCAAAAGTAGCGAATGGAAAAGTTTCGTAGGTGTTACTAATTTGTCTTGTTTAGACATGTTATAATAAATTATTTTAAATTTATATTACTCGCTAACTAGGAACGTAACATGTAAGGAATATAGTTTTTAAGTGAGTACTAAGTCAAAGTTCTAAAGTTAAAATGACAACCCGTTAGCGCAATTTTTGCGGCAAAAGAGGAAGAGAGGAACTTAATGCGTTTTATATTTGAAAACTTTATTATGTCACTATAAGAATTAAGAATCTTAAAGCGTTAAGGTTGAAATTGCATTGAGAGAGAGAGTTGTAGGTATCAATGCGTTGATACAATGGACTAGGACTCGGCTCAATTCGTTAGAATAGCAGCAGTTATTTTTTTTCTGTATGTATAAAAAAGTATCTTTCATTATAACAATAAGAAACATGCGCTTTAAAGAGACAATAAAAAGAACATCTATTTTACGTCTAAAAACATTTATTCAACTAAAAAACAAATAAACTAAACAAATTCTAATAAATTGGCGCATTCGCTCCAGCCGGGTAAGGATACCCGTTGGCATATGCGTTCGTGTTAGCATACGCATTGGCTTTCGCGTATGCGTTAGCATTCGCATATGCGTTGGCATTCGCATATGCGTTAGCATTCGCATATGCATTAGCATTAGCATTGGCATTCGCATACGCTGCATCGTTAATCCCTTCGTTGGTGATACCCACATTGCCGTTTCCACAGCCATAAGCGACTGCACCTTGACCAGCGGCTGGTAGGGGACCTTCCAAGGCGACAACTCCAAGAAACGGCAGCTGCCCAGACACAGCCAACGGACCCTCAACAGCCATATTGTCAGACTGAACTGTAATTCCAGTGGGGGCGATAGGGGATGAGCTAATCACACGTAAGCCCCCACCATTCGACGCAGCGAGGTCAGCTAATGTCAAACCGTAAGTGAGTCCAGGAATACCAATTCCAACTGGAACTTCCTCCATGACTACGGGGCTAGCATATGCGTTCCCGTAACAGCTCGGTGCGTATCCGTTGCTGTATGCATTTGCATATGCGGGGTATGCGTTGGCGTATGCCATGCTGTTCCCAGCTAATGCGGCTGCATCGGCCGCTGCTGCTGTATTTGCAACTGCATTTGCTGCTATGACGTTTCCAAGGTTCGCAGTGTTGTACACTCCTATGCTTTGGCCGGCGATACTCTGCAGAATAAAAGTTATCTTATAAAATTCAACAGTTCGTTGGCCTTTCAGGATTTCATAACTTTATTGTGAAATAAGGGAAAAAGGTACTTTTAAACAGTATTAATAACAAGTAATATTTTATATATTCTTAAAAAAACTGCCTACAAAAGAAAAAAATATTAACAAACTAATTTATTTAATACAAGTAAAACAGCTTAAGCCAATTAAAACTTTTATAAATATGAATTTATAAGGTATTTTATATAATACTGTCTATAGTTTACGCGAGTAGTACATATTTAAATAAAACACTTTAACGGTTTAAAGCCAATAGTTTATTTAGAAACGATTTTAGACCCGTGGTCGAGTTTGAATAATGGGATGGGACTTACACATCTCGTGCCACTTGTGACCACAGTAGCTGGACCGCATAGAGACTTAAGTGCTACGAGGGATATTACCATTGAAATTCACATACCTGAATTAACATCGCCGACAGCAGAACAAGACCCTTGGAAAACATCATTACGTGAAAAATTGAAAATACAATGGTCCCTTACCACAGACTTCATCGTTTTATACACAGTTTTATAAACATTTATCAATTTTTACAATAGCTTATCTGTCTTACACGAATTTTGCATAATCTGTTGCACAAATCATGTGAAACAGTCGTGTCGAAATTGTTTCAGTGCAAGCAGATTTGAATAAATCGGTCAGTATTATTAAAACTTAGGTAATAATGTGACATAATATTTCTAAGAAATAAAATAGTGTTACGGCTTGTGAACACTAAATTATTTAATTTAAATGAAAAGTAATTTTCTTTAGCTCACTGACTATCGTATACAACCATACTAATATAAGGCTGAAGAGTTTGGTTGAACGCGCTAATCACAGGAGCTGCGGTTTCGAATTGATTTTTTTTTTATTTATCTGTGACTAATACGAACGAAGAGACAGCGGAAAATTGTGGAAAAAACGCGAAAAATTATTCAACTTTGTGAGATTTCGATGCTTACGCTGGGAAAACAGTTCACGATACCCAATAAATATATCAAACATCTTATTCCGCTTTACATCTTTAAAGATTAACTTGCAATAACGACGGGACGTGTCCGGTGTCGTGCTTTAATTTATAAAGATCTCGTTTGAAAACTTATATTTTTCACATGTTTTTGCACATGAAGGGCCTTATTATTTTAAAATGAAATAAATTTGAAAATTTTTTCCCCGGGGGGGGGGGGGCGCGGGGGGCGCGGGCGTTCTGGGGGGGGGTTTCGCGCGACGGCGCGCGGTCTTCATTTTTTTGAAAAACCAATTTGGATTTAAAATAAGAATTCTACGTAGACGAAGTCGCTGACACAGTTAGTCGTTTATAAAAATATGGATATAGATAGACTACCTACTAATTATTTCACATATAAAAATAATTATCCAGGGTTATTTCAAATATTTGCAAGATACCAAAAAAGTACTAAAGTTAGCTACGGACTATATACATATATGAAACTTAATTTGGACGGACCTATTGACACATTGACGATAGTACTAATGGATGTCAAAAAAATTGGGGGTTCAAATTCCAGTAAAAAAAGTAATGTTTTGTTGAAGTTTGATCAAGTTCTAGCCCGTAAATAAAATCGATCAACGGACACAGATATATGTTCACTACCCGTACCCCCCCACCCAGGAAAACGCAATTTCAGACATTCAGTTGTCAAATTCCTACTTCTGTTACTATTTATGTTGATAATTATATAAATATATGTTATTTTCCTCCTTAGTTTAGGCTTAACCATCCATACCTACATTAAAAAAACAGAGAGTAGTGTAAATGCAATAAAAAACCCTTTAACGGTTTAAGACGCAAAATGTACTACTGTAGATCTCCAATAATATGCCGATTATTACCTTTTCTTGTCATTAAAGAATCACGAAAAAAATTTGTTCTAAAAAGTCCAACGCGCTATTATTCTTCCCCCGAGAAAATGTTGTCAAATTATTGTCTGTATTTAAGGCTGACTATTGTACCTGTCAATAAAACTTTTAACGGTTTAAGCTATGCATTAATTATTTTATTGTAGCCTTAGCTTGGCAGGTAAAAGTCGGTTATAAGTTAATTATTCTAATACAGTCTATACGTTAAGCAAGTAGTAAACATTCAAAACGACTTATTTAAGTAATTAAAAACTTTGTTACTAGATGAAGAATCCATTTTAGATTGAAAAAAATACACCAGGCTTGCCGGTACCCACAGCGCTCCGCCCTCTCACAAATTGAGTTTCCGTGTACGCGTCGTGTCAATTGGCTTGAGCAGCAGCACGAAACGCTGTGAATGCCGGTTCATGTCCCGGTCGAGTCATGTTTTTTTCCACAAAACAGATTTTAAAATTATAATGCCTTAAATTATTTTATTAGATTAGTTTAAACGTGTCAAGCGCGACACAGGTTGCTCATATATCTGTTTTAATTGTGAAATCATTTTAACGGTTTATATTCAATAAGTTCAAGAGAAAGAAAAACTTATTTGAGAAATGGTATTAGGCGTCACTACAAAAGTAAATTTAGATTAATCTTTGCGGTAACATTGGTCAATCTATACTTATATATAAAGCTGAAGAGTTTACTTGTTTGAACGCGTACTCTCAGAACTACTGTTTCGAATTAAAAAAATATTTTTGTATTAGAGCATATTGAAGGAAGGCTATAGTTTATTATGACATAGCACTTTGGCTTTAATAGGATCGAAGAAACAGCGGGAAATGTCGAAAAAACTATATTATGTCTATCTTTTAAAATTAACTTGCAAGAACAACGAGTCGCGAACGACGCGTGGGGAACAGCTCAAATTTATAGAGTAGAATAGGCGGTTTGTAAAAACAAAAATTGATATCCAAAATAATTATTCTACGCGTACGAACTCGTGTGACGTAGCTAGTTCGTTTTAAATCGTATGTCACTTTTTAAGAACTATCCGACTTATAACTAAATTAAGTATAGCGAAATCCCGTATCACCCCGTGGGGCATGGGCCGAACGTGTTTCTGTGTCTGTCGGCATTGTTCGGTTCTTTTACAGGCAAGCTCATCAAACTCCTGCGCCCTCTCCGTTTTATTATCCACAGATTTTGAATTATTTCCCGAGATTTTGAACATAGTTGAGTAAGTGAAGCGCAATTAATAATTAACTTTGTTTAAATAAAACACTTTAACGGTTTAAAACGCGATATATAACCGTTAATGTGTTCTATTTAAATGTGTACTACTCGCGCAAACTAGTCTATAGTTTACGCGAGTAGTACACATTTAAATATTAGTATATAATTAAATTTTGTGTTTCGTGTATAATTATCGTACTGTACTTATGTTTGTGTTAATTAAAACATAACAATAATAATACAAAGTTGATATCACAATTCGTTTATTAAAATATTACAATATGTAGTTCATTTAGAATCTGCCACATCCGCAACCGCGGTTATAAGCGAACGCTGGGTTAGCGTAACCTGCACCAAAAGGGGCAGCGGCAGCGAGGGCGGGGGCAGCGGCGTAAGCTGGGGCAGCGGCGATACCTGGGGCGTACGCGCCGTACGGGGAGTAAGCACCGATATCCTCGTTCAAGATGGCGACGTTACCGTTGCCGCAACCGTAAGCAACACCACCAGATCCAGCAGTTGGCAACGCACCTTCCAGAGCAACAGCACCGAGGAAGGGAATCTCACCACTGACAGCCAACGGTCCTTCGATGGCGTTCTCCGATATCAAGGATACACCGTTGGGGGAGATCGGCGAGGAGCTGGTGATGGCGAGGCCACCGCCGTTGGATGCCGCCATGGATGCTGGGCCGAGTCCGCCGTTCATGGCGAATGGGTATCTGGAGTCGATAGCTGCTGTCTCGTATTCTGCGGCGCGCATTCTCGCTGCTGAGTTCCAGGGTCCGGCCCAGTCGTTGCAGGGTGAAGCCCAGTCGTTGTAGGCTTCGTATGGGGCTGCCCCCCAAGCGGCTTCGGCGTAAGGGGCGGCGCCCCAAGCATATCCGTCAGCTAAACCATTGTAAGCGCCGATGCATTGGCTGCTTATAGCCTGGAGAAAATGGAAACATTGTTGATTTACTACTTAGAAGGAACATAATCATTCGAAAATTTAAATCGTGTTTTATGTTTTTCTATGTACCACTTATAAGAATGACGTCATATACACATTTTAATAAAACACTTAAACGGTTTACAACGTTAAAAAATATATCGCGTTTCATAGTCTCCCCGTGACCATGGCTGTTGCAAAGCATCCAAGACGTCTGGCCGCAGTTAAAATAATTTTCAAATGAGTTTACCTAATATATTTTGCGTTTTAAACCGTTAAACTTTCAATTATTGTTTCGTTTTCCTTAGTTGACAGTTGACTTGATATAATATCAATCAATATATTGTACCTATCGTAAAGGAATAAGAATGAAACTTCGTCACAAAGTATTTTCATGAAATAAACTGTTTTTAACGGTTTAAAAGGCGATGCATATATTGTTTAATTTTTAACTATGACTGGAGTAATTTTCATTTAAATTTATACAATTTATTTCTCTTTACAATTTATCAGCTAAAATTTTTCTAGAATATTAGGATTTATAATTCTTACCTGAATAAGTAAGGCTTGGGCGCAGAACAGAATAGCTTTGAAAGACATGTTTGTTTTTTTTTGTTCGAATGAATGACTAATACAGTAAGATACCCCTTTTATATGTGTCATTGGTATAATGCAATTTCATGGCGCAATACGAAATAATGTGAATTAATTTTAATTATTTAATTGTGACATCTGTCGATAAACCTTATTGGGTTATTGTGCTATAAAACGTGTCACATTTTCTTTTGGAAATCATTCTGTAGACACAATTCCAATACAGACATGTCGACCCTCGCTATTCTTCTCTTCTGCGTCCAAGCTTGCTTGGTACAGGTAAGAACATACTTTGTCTTTAAGGTCAACTTTGAAATAAAAAAAAAAAACTTTTCAAACTTCTAACTGGCTCGTTGGTAGCAATGTATGGCTTATAATCAACGGGTCGTGGGTTCGAACCAACTGGGGTCCTAAAATATGTTTTTATTTTTCTAGAACTTGTATTGTATCTTTAAAAAAATGCAATAAGGTTTTAAGTAAAAAACGCTAAAAGCGATAAAAACAGATTTTTTTTTCTAGATAAATTGTAAAAGTAGATTGGTAGGGTAGATTTTGACTCAATAAATAGTATGATATTTCTTCAGTATGTGTGTGTAAAATCTCATTCCTGCCCCATTAACAACCATAATTGTAAATAAAGTTTTAAATCAATTATTCCTATTGATAGAACGCTTTCGGATGGATCGCCGAAGCACCTTGCGCCGCTGGCCCTGCCTGGGGCCCCGCTATTGCCCCCGCCCCATACGCCCCAGCTCCATTTGCCCCAGCTCCATTTGCCCCAGCTCCATTCGCCCCAAGTCCTTACGCTCCAGCTGCATACGAAGCCGGCGCATACGGCGGTGAAGGTATCGGTGATGTAGCAGTCGCCGGTGAGATGCCAGTCGCTGGTACCACCATGGTAGCCGGTCAGGTCCCAATCCTCGGAGCTGTGCGCTTCGCTGGTGATCTGCCAGCTGGTGGTGTCGTCTCCATCGCCGGTAGCTGCGGTTGTGGCAGATCTCCTTACATGTACTGAAAAGGAATGAAGGCAAATTAATAAAATGCTGACTATATTTTGTTGTTTACAATTGAAATCACATCTTAAACGATTAATACACCTATAATAAAACTTTTTTTTACGCAAAGACATGTTTGTGAAATTTCATAGAAACATAGTAACTATATCCATAGCAATTCTGTTCATTTGTTACGAGATATACTCACATAATTTCAACATTAATATTAGCAATTCATAAACGAAATTTTGTACTTTGATGTGGAAACACAATATTGAATAGAATATTCAAAGACCATATTTCACTTAATACCGGCTTACATGTCTAATAATAAAACAATACTATCAAATAACTACATACAATCAAAAACGTAATAATATTTTTTAAAAAGGTTTACCGTCTTGTCTGTAGTTTACAGGAGTTGTAAACATTGTTTTAACACACATTAACGGTTTAAAACGAGAAATGTATTTATTAAACTATTTACATTATACACAGGGAGACCGTGACCACGGCTGCTGCAAAGCATTAATTTTTATGATGATTTAGCATTTAGTACCTTCAATTGTATTATTGTAATCTCTGAGCGAGTTACTTTTACCATCAGAACATTTCTGTGACTTCATCAACCTTATACAAATTAGAAACGTATACAATTAAGTTTGCTTGAACCTTTATATAAAATACATTCTAAACGAGTCAACTAATACATTTCACGTTTTAAACCGTTAAAAGTGTTTTGTTAAAGTTTTAAGAGTTTCTCTAAGAATATAGCATATTCATATTATTAAATGTATGCTACTCGCTAAAACTAGAGACAACATCTAAAAAACAAAATCAATCAAACGATCCCTTTAGGCATTCAGCGTTCGTATGAAAATTACACAAAAATAATATGTAGGTATTAACCATCAGAAACTACAGCACCGGTAGCGAAAAATTTGAAAGTGTTTGCTAGCATCGGGTTAAACGCGAGAGATTCTGGTTTCGAATCCTGGGTAAACTGCTCACCTGTTAAAAAACCAATCAGTGACACAGACAGAAAACTTATGCGCCACATACCTCACGGAGGAAATAGGATTTCAAACTTAAACTAAGTATTCAAATAAAACACTTTAACGGTTTAAAACGCGATATATTAGTTAAACTTATTTGAAAATGATTTTTAACTTCGGCCCGACGTTTCGGATGCTTTGCAGCAGTCGTGGTCACGGGGAGACTAAAAATGGAGGATGTCTCTGACGTCAAAGTGTTAAAAAAGTTAAAAATCATTTTTAACTAATATATCGCGTTTTAAACCGTTAAAGTGTTTTATTTAAATGTGTACTACTCGCGTAAACTATAGACAGTATTTAAACTAAGTAGTTAAGAGTATTAATTAATAGCTTGAAGTTACGGTATAATGAAAAAAATTAAATGTTAAGAATGCAGATCTTTATTATAACCTTTAAAAAATTGTTACAGAAGCCAGCTCTACATACAATACACTACTTGAAAATCTGAAAATAAACATTCATTCATTTCAAATTAGACAATTCAGCAGCCGCACCAACCCGACGTGGACCCTGGTCTTCCAATCCCGTTGTAACTTGAAGCACCATAACCACTGCTCCCCTCACTTAGAATAGCGACGTTTCCATTCCCACAATTGTACCCCACGGTACCATATCCGTAACTTGGTACTGCCGCTTCGAAAGCAACTGCACTTAAGAACGGTAGCTGTCCATATACAGAAACTGGCCCCTCAATGACATTCTCCGATGTGATAGCAAGATTTCCTGGAGTCATTGGCGAGGAGCTGGTTACTGAAAGACCGCAAGTGTTCGATGCGGATAAAGAAGTAAGGTCTAGACCGTTTTGGTATTGGTAAGAGCCGCCATAGTTGGGAACTCCTGCGCAGGGAGGACTGATAATTCCAGCCCAGTTGTTTCCACCATTGCAGGCGCACTGGCTGGTTATAAGCTGAAAAAGAGATAATTTTTACCACAGATAGAGAAGCCGTTACGTTTTTTGTATGACAGAGTGATAAAGGACAGACTTGTATGAGGATCCCTTGATGGTAGGTGGAATAACCCAGCCATGCAACATCTCAACAAGATGCGCCGTCGACCTGTTTCGGATTTGTATGTTCAGAAATCTACAGATTGTAACCGAAACGTGATTAAACTTCATAGATTTTTCATGGGTGGTTCGTGACCCAGATGGAATTAAACCTATTTAACATCCAGATTTCCAAACGAGGTCAAACATTTAAATAAAACACTTTAACGGTTTAAAACGCGATATATTAGTTAAACTTATTTGAAAATGATTTTTAACTTCGGCCCGACGTTTCGGATGCTTTGCAGCAGTCGTGGTCACGGGGAGACTAAAAATGGAGGATGTCTCTGACGTCAAAGTGTTAAAAAAGTTAAAAATCATTTTTAACTAATATATCGCGTTTTAAACCGTTAAAGTGTTTTATTTAAATGTGTACTACTCGCGTAAACTATAGACAGTATTTAAACTAAGTAGTTAAGAGTATTAATTAATAGCTTGAAGTTACGGTATAATGAAAAAAATTAAATGTTAAGAATGCAGATCTTTATTATAACCTTTAAAAAATTGTTACAGAAGCCAGCTCTACATACAATACACTACTTGAAAATCTGAAAATAAACATTCATTCATTTCAAATTAGACAATTCAGCAGCCGCACCAACCCGACGTGGACCCTGGTCTTCCAATCCCGTTGTAACTTGAAGCACCATAACCACTGCTCCCCTCACTTAGAATAGCGACGTTTCCATTCCCACAATTGTACCCCACGGTACCATATCCGTAACTTGGTACTGCCGCTTCGAAAGCAACTGCACTTAAGAACGGTAGCTGTCCATATACAGAAACTGGCCCCTCAATGACATTCTCCGATGTGATAGCAAGATTTCCTGGAGTCATTGGCGAGGAGCTGGTTACTGAAAGACCGCAAGTGTTCGATGCGGATAAAGAAGTAAGGTCTAGACCGTTTTGGTATTGGTAAGAGCCGCCATAGTTGGGAACTCCTGCGCAGGGAGGACTGATAATTCCAGCCCAGTTGTTTCCACCATTGCAGGCGCACTGGCTGGTTATAAGCTGAAAAAGAGATAATTTTTACCACAGATAGAGAAGCCGTTACGTTTTTTGTATGACAGAGTGATAAAGGACAGACTTGTATGAGGATCCCTTGATGGTAGGTGGAATAACCCAGCCATGCAACATCTCAACAAGATGCGCCGTCGACCTGTTTCGGATTTGTATGTTCAGAAATCTACAGATTGTAACCGAAACGTGATTAAACTTCATAGATTTTTCATGGGTGGTTCGTGACCCAGATGGAATTAAACCTATTTAACATCCAGATTTCCAAACGAGGTCAAACATTTAAATAAAACACTTTAACGGTTTAAAACGCGATATATTAGTTAAACTTATTTGAAAATGATTTTTAACTTTTTTTAACACTTTGACGTCAGAGACATCCTCCATATTTAGTCTCCCCGTGACCACGGCTGCTGCAAAGCATCCGAAACGTCGGGCCGAAGTTAAAAATCATTTTTCAAATAAGTTTAACTAATATATCGCGTTTTAAACCGTTAAAGTGTTTTATTTAAATGTGTACTACTCGCGTAAACTATAGACAGAGGTCAAACATGTTTCAGAAAAATTCTAAATTGCGTAGAAAAAGTTCGATATTCGACCAACGAAATCTGTCTGTTAATCTGGTTTCAGTCTGTGGATGTCTGGATATCCAAAGCTGAAATAGGGAGACAGTGCATCGACATATTATATGGCTTTATTTCATATTATACGGGTATTTCAACCACCATGAAGAGAACCTCGTGCTTCTTTTATAAATACTATTAAATGATTACCTGAACAAGAACAGCTTGGATCAAAACAATGATTTTGTACATGGTTAATTGAATGATGATTTGAATCGGTTTGAATTTAATATGCTTTAGACAACTTCAACTATTTATAACGCGAATACTTTGTGTGGCGACATACTGAACGTGTCATTAGTTGCAAATTTTTACATTTGGTAATTCAATAGGCGTGTTGCAATATTCTTATCCTGTGGCTCAGTGGTGTAGCCCTTGCGTTTACAAATATATTTATAGTACCAGTAATTTGCATGGAGACAAGTATTTTTACGTTGCGTTATTGCATTTTTCAAAAATATATATATAATTGACTTAGTTACCATTTATTTTGACCAGGCCTCGACGTTTGATTATATTCCTCGTTTTAAACCGTTAAAAGTGTTTCTTTTAATAAGTACTACTCGCGTTAATTAAAGACTTAAAAAAATATGATTATTGTTTAATTTAGAAGAGATGTTATGTCTTGTTTTGTTTGGTCCCACCGCTAAACGGGTTTTCTCTCATATGAAAACAACGGCCTGAAATCTCTAGTGCGAGTTGATGCATTTAAACAACTACCTCTGAGTTCCAAAAATTTTTTAATAAATTTTTTAATTTATCTGAAACATTACTTCGTCTGGAAATCTTTATATTCAACGAGTGGCAAGAATATCTAAAAGTCCATCTGGGTCACGACCCATAGAATGAAGCTGTGAAGTTTAATCGCACCTTGATTTCAGTCTGTGGATTTTCGAATATGTAATGCAAAAATGATTCACCTACAATCAATAAAACCCCACGCTTGTCTGTACTCCTCTATCACTGTGTCATACAAAAAACGTAACGGCTTTTTTATCTATGGTAACCATTATGTTTTTTTTCAGTTTATAATCAGCCAGTGCGTTCGGAAACATTGCTAGGAGTATCGAAAAGTCCGGGTCACGAACAACCGACCACAGATGTAAAAGCCGTGAGGTGTTACCATACGATTACGAACACATTTCTGTGTCCGTTCTACTCGGTTCTTTTACAGACAAGAAATTGAATAGAATTCTGTGTCTTGCCCGACCGAAACAATGTATTGTTTTCCCGGGATTCGAACCCAGGACCTCTTAACGTAATACTTGGCAACATGTTTAACCATTTAGCTTCATAAACGATTTTAATTAGCGGTTTTTAATTAAGGGAATAATTTCAAAATAACTAAGATTTGAGTTAATATCTATCAATAAAACATTTTGCAAACTTCTGCACGTTTTATTGCAAATAGTTAGATAGAGGTTTGCAAAAAAATATTATAAATACAGCAAAGAATTCTTAGAACCATACAACGAAGGCATTTGATCCACTATGTACAACGCTATAACTTTTCTAGTTCTTCACGCACTGTTGTGGCAGGTAAGAAATAATTTAAAAGTTATACTGTTAATCTAATAATAATATTTTCAATAATAATACAACACAAGACTTACATAATTACTGAAGTGCTATTAAATGTTAAATAAAACACTTTTAACGGTTTATAACGCGATTGATATTAGTTACATTTATTTGGAAAAGGTTTTAACTACGGCCCGACGTCATTGTCTACTACTCCCGTAAACTACAGAACGTATTTAAATAATGATTCTTTTAACTAAAACCTTTTTAACGGTTAAAAGCGCGCAATATATTAGTTAACATAATGATATTATTATTATTTACATTTGTAAATAAGTTAACCAATATAACGTTTATACCAGTACACTTCTCTGTAGACTAAAGTGTGAGTGAGTGTATAAAGTGTTTTATTTAACTTTGTATGCGAAAAATAATTATTGTAGTAAAACCACTGAAAGAAAACTAACAGGGATTCTATTATGTTTAAATTATTACTATTTCTTTTTAGCACGCCTACACTTATTGTGCGGGATCCAGACCCAGTCCTCGGTATCCAAGCCCTACTAACCCAACGTTTCCGCAAAGACCATGCGCTTCTAGCTCCAGTGGACCGGAAGTGGCCGATGGGTTAACATCATCAGGAGTTGGAACCGTCTCAGTCTACGGCGATATGCCAGTATCAGGTGCAACACAACTCCAAGGCCAGGTACCAGTGATGGGTGTCGCCAGGTTTTCTGGCAGCGTGCCAGCCTATGGCACTGTCACCATATGTGGTAGCTGTAGTTGTGGGTGCGATTAGGAAATGTAATAGATTTAGATGAAGCACTTTAACGGTTTAAAACTCGATATACTTAAACTTGCTTTAACTACGGCCCGATGTTTCGGATGCTTTGCAGCAGCCGTGGTCACAGGGAGGGTCTTTCCGTTAAAGTGTTTTATTTAATTTTAATATATACTACTCACGGTAGATATAGACAGTATCTAATAGATTTTACAATATGTTAAATCTATTCCACAACTATATGTAACATATAGTTGTGGAAGGTAAGGTTTATATATTATGACGTAACATTCTACTAAAATGGCCCTTTCTCTCGGAATATGGATACTTTGTTTAGAATTAGGTACTTTACAAATATGATTTCAATAATATAGCTTGCAAAAAAATGTTGTTTTGTTTACCTTTACTAATATTAGAAAACTGGAGAGTTCGTTTGTTTAAACGCGCAAATTTTAGGAGCTATTAGTTCGAATTTTGTGTTAGTTGGAGCATTTATCGAGGGAGGCCATAAAACATCTCATTGCAATTTATAAGAAACAGTGGGAAATGTGGAGAAATCGAGGAAACTTTAAAGGTTTCGTGCGCTAAACGAATAACGGTTAAAGATACCCAAAAAATATGTATGGAATAATGATTCTTCTTTAAAGGATCTAAAATCCAGTATATGTCTATCATTTAAGACTAACATGCAAGAACGACGGGACGCGGGCCACGTCGTGGGTAACAGCTATAATGTAGAAAGATGAGGAGAATTAAAAAAAATGATGCATAAAATAACTATTCTATGCGGACGAAGGCGTTGTCACAGTTTCTGCCATTTTTCCACACTCAACAATTCGTGACTTAAGATCATTAATAAAAAACAATGATCTATCGCATGATATTTATTCATTCAATTAGTCTTCGATACACACTCAGTAACGAGCACATCCACAACCACGTCTCATGCCATCATATCCATAACCCCAAGCTTCATAACCGTAGGGTTCGTAACCATAAGCTGGAGCGTATCCGTATCCGGCCTGTTCTTCGCTCAAAATGGCGACATTGCCATTACCGCAACCGAAGCTAACCGCACCCGAACCGGCTGTCGGCAGAGCGCCTTCCAAAGCAACGGTTCCGAGGAACGGCAACTGCCCAGAAACAGCCAAAGGTCCTTCGATGGCGTTTTCGGATATTATGGTTACTCCGTTGGGGGGGATGGGAGAGGAGCTGGCTACAGGAAGGGAGCTACAGTACGACGCTGCAGGGGCGTTTCCGTAGCCTAATGGGATCTCGTAGGGGGCAAATGGAGCGCATGGACTGGAGTAAGGGCTCGCCAGACGGTCGGCTGTGTATCTCTCGGTGGAGTAGATGTCAGCAGCATAACGGTCAGCAGCAAAAGCATCAGCCACGAATGCTGCATTCATGGGGTTGTAGCCACGTCCGCAACCGCAGTTAGCAGAGATACTCTGGAAGGTAAATAGGTAAAGGTGAAATTCCCAACAGGTGACCAATATAATCTTATTAGGGAATTAAACTGAAGACATATTAATTACATACATTTTTTACGTCTTGATGCAGGGGTTTGTTCATAATACTTACTTAGTATATAATTTTTATTTGCACTTTAAAAATTTATATTACGATCTGAATATATTTCAATGTGATTATACTTTCTCCTATTTATAGGAGAAAGTCGTGTTTTAATCCTCAAAATCTAAGTACTTATCTATAAGATTCTGTTTCCGATAACTAATAATAAAATAGCTTTGTTCGTAAGTACCAACCCCGGTAAAAGCTCTAATCACTAACATAAAATAAAATAAATCGGTGAAACATTCACAAAAATATGTCCGCCCTATACCTCGAATAGGGAAATCTTAATATCTGTTAACTTGCAGCTTATAATACTGAACGATTTACCTGCATAAGCAGAACTTGCGCAAGAGTGTACAAAACGATTTTGGCCGCCATTTTGATGTCTAGTCAGCGAATTGCAACTGGATGCACCGTCAAAACAAACGCATTCTTTTATATGTATGGTTATCAATATTTTTTCGTTGCTAAAGATATTTTGCAATGCTTAATTGTTCCAGTATTGGATTTGTATTGTAATTGTGTCATGTTGAGTTGGTTGTTATGTGAAATTGACGATATCATTAGTAATTGGCACGTAATATTCTTGTTCGCGACCTTCTAACCGACTTCGAAAAAATACCTTCAATCCAATTCATATATAGGTATAGAATATTTTTTTACAAGAATGTTATAATTAACAAAATTGTAATACTCTGTAATAAGATTTTATCAAATTCTTATCTAAGGGAAACATTATTATAATAAGAAACATATAAATTATATTTATAAACCATCAATTCCTTTTTCTAATTCGACTAGCTGATCTGGCAATCTTAGTTTTGTTGTTTGCAAGATTCATATGTTTATACAACTGTAACAAATAATTGTTACAGTTCTTAATGCATTCATTTTGACCCAATTTGATTATGATAAAAACAGATCTTGCCACTTAAAAGATACGCATATACTGACAATTTGAAGTTTGAGGTTGATAGATGAATGTCACTTATAAAGAATTCCTACATATATACTATGTATAAAGCTGAAGAGTTTGTTTTAAAGCGCTGAGATGAGCACGAGCTACTGGTTCGATTTTTTTTTGTTGTGGTACACACGAGGAAACAGCGAGATATATGAAAAAAACTGGGTTCAGTTCAGTTTATTTAAGAATGATTCCTCTATAAATGATCTGAAAATTTCTTCAATAGTATATGTATCTTTTACGATAAATTTGCAAGAACTACGGGATGCGACGGACGTCGTGGATGGCTAAAATCAATAAAGATCCTGAGGTGGCTTGCAAAAACAAATTTGAATGCCAAAAATTCTAAGCGGACGAAGCCGCTGACACAGCTAGTATAAAAACAATGAACGGATGAGTTCACAACGAAATGACACTCGCTCGAAGTTATGCGAAACAGAATGTGTCAATACAGTTTAGGGTAACCGTAATTATTAGAAAAAGTCACAGCTAAATAGTTCAGCCCCTACACGTGTTAATTATTGCAGGGCGCCGCATACCGAAGCTATTTTATTTAGGCTGGATATACACGAGGTATGATAGGGGACAGCCATTTATATTTATTTATTTATATATTTTTTATTGCACAAAAAATAAAAATATTACAAATCAAACCTATATACTAGAATGGAGAGCAACGGGCGGCCTTATCGCTAACAAGCGATCTCTTCCAGGCAACCTAATGTTATGAAATGTTAAAAAATGAGATGTGCAAGGTAGGCGAAACAAATTAATACAAACAATAAATAATCATTAACAAAAAAAAAAACATAGAACTTAAAATAAAAACATTCAGATCTAAAAAGGAATAATTTAACATTTAATATGTACACTAATAAGAGTAGACTCTTTTTTATTATCATTATGCTAGCGAGTTCAATCGAAGTCTATCCTTTTCTTATTTAAAGGAAGAATAAGAAGAAGGGCGCCGACTTTTAAAATAAAAGAAATACACGGTTTTGTTTATTTATCACTTAAGACGAATTTTAGATTTAAAATGGTCTAAAGGTATGACGGTTCAAAGAAGTGTCAAATATTCCTTCTTCGATAAGAGAGGAGCCAACACATAGATCGCTATAAGGCTTCTAATACTTGTGAGTTTGTAATACCAAAAATACTCGCGTACAAACGGCCTTACCAATCAACATACCTTAGTTAAATATGCGGAAATACTGCCTAGACAACCTGTCCGTACTTATTTTATCGAAGTTTGGGATTTTAGGGGTCTCCTACAATATTCAAAATGATTTCTTTGAGTTTTATCAAACAATTAGTTTTTTCGTCGAAATTCGAAATCGTGCTTAACGCAATACAAGAAATAGAAATTAAACTACTTAATGAATTTAATTTACTTTTCTAATGATACAAATCAGAGTTAGTTACTATCAAGTCATTTTAAAATAAAAATTAAATCGATTGAGCATAATTCACATTTTTAAATATAAATGATATATTACGTTAAATCAAATTTCCCTAATCTAATCACTAGCTGAAGAGATTGTTTGTTTGTTTGAACGCGGTAATCTCAGGAACTACAGGTTCGAATTGAAAAATTCTTTTTGTGTTGGTTAAAGCATTTATCGAGGAACGCCCTGTGACTAATACAAGCGAAGATACAGCGAGATATGTGAAGAAAATTGGGAAAATTATTCATCATTATGGGTTTCCGAAGCGTACGCTGCAAAAACGGTTCAAGATACCCAAAAAATGTGTATCAAAAGATGATTCCTCTTTAAATGATCTGATGAAAAAAATGGCAACGCTATATGTCTATCTCTTAAGATTATCGTGCAAGAACGACGGGAAGGGACGCGATCGTGGGTAACTTGAGTTTATAAAGTTTAGAACGGGGCTTGCAAAAAAAGAATTTGGGTGTCCAAAATAATGAATCTCGCGGACGAAGTCGCTGACACAGCTAGTGTCATATATAGATTAAGCCCGACACACGCTTCACCATTTCGAAAGCGGCGCGCATCAACAAAAAATATAGAAAAAAGTTAGCGCCATAGATACAGTCTAATTATGACAAAATATGCCGGTTATTTGAAGGGGCAACACCGTTTTTTCATCTTGTGATTTATAATTGTCGCGCCAACGTGATTTAAACGTATTTTAATTAAGTCAAGTCGGATAATGTTTCGTAATGAAGTTATTGGACTATAAATCTGTCTAGTTTTTCTGGTTTAATAATATAACATCTCAACGATGCGCTGTCGATTCGGAAATCCACAGACTGCAACCGAAACATGATTTAACTTCAAGGTTTTTCATCTGTCCTATAAATTAAGTACGTAATATAAATGACACATATTGTTTTGACTTTCTTATTCTATTATGAACTTTTTGTTTTTTTTTTGGCACCAACCTAGTGTGTGCTAAATTTGCCAGGAAATAAGTACTTCTTTTGATACCATGATTTTTCTTCTTGCCAGTGATAAAAGAAAAACACTAATAAAATATAACGTCTCTACTTTTTTTTATCTCATCTATATCTTTGTTGAAATGCATAAGCGGAAATAAGTTATAATCAAAGATGTTGTAACTACAATAAATATAGAAACGAATTAAGTATAGGCTTATGATAAATAGCATGATCTTTGTTTTTCATAATAAAAAGCATAAATGATTTTGGCCAAAAATAATGGCTTATAAATGCTAAATTTATTAACTTAAGCTTATAATCGCTAAAAATGTAGTTCAAGAAGATATTGACGCAAAACGTAGGTCTAATAGAGTACCGTTCTAACGCTCTGGAGGTCTAGTGGTTCGATCTTCAGTACTATATAAAAATATTAATAAGATATAGTGTATACTCCGATACTTCGTGATATGCGTGAAAAAATTCGACATCGCGTGATACAGCACTTGAGGTGCTCGTAGGTAGGTTTGGCTCGTGATCCAGCTGTGGGAAATGTAAAAAGGAACAAACGTCATTGCACAAACTCTTTTCTACTAAGATTTAAAAAATGACAGCCTAACATAAACCTCTAGAAGACGTACCCACAAGACCGAGCCAGTCCATCTTAATTACACAATCACTCACTCCACCATTTGAAGCTTTTAAAGCGACGCATCCAATTAAACTAACTAACTAAATAATTATCGCAATTAATGAGCTACCTCATAAGTCAATCCTTAAATAAATTCAACTCTTGCGCACGCCACGCCCATCGGCATCCGATTGGTCTAATCCTAATTATATCTTCGGGTACTTCGGTGCCAAGACTATTTGCATCTTTTAAGTGTTGTCAATCGAAAAACATCTTTATAATGAAGATGTAGGGTTGAAAGTAATTGAGCTGTGCGCTAAATGTAGCATACAAAATTGTCATCTAGATATACACCCATTAGTTGAAGCTTTCCATCTTAATTTCACATGGAATCGGTGCCAGATGTCTTGTAGATACACAAAAAAATGTTCTATTAGGATAGTAATAAGGTTTAAAATATGTATTTTTGGAATATAAAAGTAGCCAGTTAACATTTCAAATGCTTCAGTATAGCGAAGTGACAAAAACGAGTCGTTAGCTCTCAAATTAGTTAAAATTATTGCCTCTCCCGAAATTGTTGTAAATCCGACGCAGAATCAGTTGCTTGTAGATGCTACTGACTGTAGACTGTGGATACTAGACAGTGATAAAATCGGTGAAGTGCGAACAATGGATAGTGAGAAAATGGATGTGGATAAGACGGAAAAGGAGAAACCGGAAGGAAAACTACCATTTTCAATAGATAGTCTGTTAGCTGATAAATTCGAATCGGCTTCCTCGATGGATTATTTCCAAGATTTAAAGGACCAAGTTAATATCGATTCAGATGACGCAAGCTGTGCTTCGGAGCAGTTGGACGTGGAAACGTCAATTAATGATGCGCAGGAGTTTGCTGATGCTAGATCTACGGAAATGCAACAATCAGGTTTGAATTTATCATTGAAATTATAATACTTTGTAATACATAGGATAAAATTGATTTTATTAATATATATAGTGTGTAATTCATAAATTCGGATTTATTATTTAAATTGTTTGAATGGGAATCGATGGTAACATTGTTTAAGCTTTAATTTTAACAAGAATTTACTAAACATAACGTAACTGAATGTAACTTTTACAATAAACATGCATTAAATACATAAATATTCTATCTAAAATACATTTAACGAAAACATCACGTATACTGCAGTCGGTCTGTTCGTGACCACAACATTGGGATGTTCACAAAAACACACTGCATTTTGAGAAAAAGGACATATTCTTTTAAAATACTGTCTATAGTTTAGGAGTAGTACACATTTCAATAAAACACTTTAACGGTTTAAAACGCGATATATTTTAATTAAATTAGTTTGAGAATTATTTTTAACTACGAGCCGACGTCTCGTCGTGTAATTTGTTTTATTTAAATAAATAAGTACATCAATAACTACATAGACTTTTTTAATAACAACGATGCTTTCTTTTACAAACCAATTTTCAAAGAAGCGTATCACGAACACATACCTTCAAAAATAGTACTAGTGTATAATGCGTTTGTTGCTTGTTTGTTTGTTTGTTTGAACGCGCTAATCTACTGGTTCTAATTGAACAATTCTCGTGCTAAATACTGTCTATAGCTTACGCGAGTAGTACACATTTAAATAAAACACTTTAACGGTTTAAAACGCGACATATTAGTTAAACTTATTTTGTGACATTGATCTACACTCGGCGCCAAAACCGTCAGTTAAATTATGCATATTTATCAAAATTAACTCAAGATTAGGTTAATAAAAATATGTATTAGATAACTAGTATATATATCTCTGTTTATCGTTATACTTATATACTTATTTTTTTAAAGGTGTAATAATGAAGCCACTCCGTTTAGTAAGCATATTATTGTGTATTAATACACGTAGTTGAATATAAATTATTTATACCATAACTCACGTATTCGCCTTCACCATTTCTGTATATAAGCTTTACCTTTTAATTAATTTAAATAATATATAATTAAGTATTAATTTTTCAAAGCAAACCACATGTTACTGAGATGCGTGTTTGTGTGTTTGTTTAAACAATATTCCAGTTTTATGATATATTGAATATAATATAAATATTTATAATACGAATAAATAGTTTATACATTCATCCAGACGGACACGTCTGATCAACTTCTTATCTGTAATTAAAATTGATCTCAAACGAACAGAATTGTGTTCCCAGTTCCACAAGAGGGAAACGGGATATTTTTGCATTTACTATAAAACTTCAATCATGATATATTGTAAATCAATTAAATTAAGCCTGCAACTAACTGGTGGCAGCGACGAAAGATATAAATTAATTATTAAACGGATAAAATACTATGTAATTAAAACACTTCACTTATTTTAAAATTATTCTAATTACAGCCCGACGCTTAGCCTTTGTAAATATGTTAACTAGTATACTCTGCGTTTTTGCGGGGAATTGTATTCGTATGTATAATTGCTAGTGGGGATTTCAAATTTATCGATAAATAAATTGAAGAAATTATACAATTTATATTGTCTCAAAAGGCGTATAATTGTCTGAACGATTTCTTTAATGACAAGACTGACTGGCAGTAATATGTTCATAAATTCACAATGTATTAGTTTATAAGACATATTTAAAAAAGCCGAACTGAGTTTCTTGGGTGTTCTTCTCAGTTATGTTGCTCTTTTGAACACTCTGTAGAATCACGAGGAACAGACAGACAAACAAAATATTTTTGACGAAACTAAATTATTTTTTTTAATTTTAATCAGAATAAAGTAGGTATGTTTTATTTTATTTATTTAAAACGTTTAAAAGTGTCTTATTTAAATGTGCACTACTAGTGGAAACTACAGACAATACTTGAAATAGTATATGTGAAACTTAAAACGCTATAATCTATCTTCATATGTAGTTAAAAATGTCATAGCTTCTCGCCTTTACGCCCAATTAAACCTTATGCCATGAACTTATCACGCGGCTTGTTTTAGCGCCACAATAATTAGTAACATTCTTTAAATGACGCCTAAAAATTATATAAAATGTCGTTTAACAAAAAACAACAGACAACAACCTCTAAATTTCAATTATTATACGATACGTACTTCCATTTGGTTAATAATAAAGATATTGATGAATTTGTTTCAAAATTATGAATTGTGATGCCTAGTGATAGTCACAACCCAGGTAGGATGGGATGCATGAACTTTACTTAATAAGAAGACAAAAAAGATATACAATAGCACATAAACCGATGAATTGTCAGCCCTTGGTACTTTAAACACATCTAGCTAAATATTTCAGAAACTAGGGAGTAAAAGACAACGTATATTTATTAACAGATTATAAATTCTTTACACCCTCTACAGAGTGATAAAGATCGCAATATTTTTCTATCATTGCCTGCAAATTGACATTTACTGAAAAAAACATCGCGCTAATTTATTTATTATCTATCGCGCGGTAAATTATTGCCCATTTGGCTCCGTGCGTCTCAAATTAGCTGATTCAATTGGTTCCAGTAAAAACTAAATAACACGACGCAGGCGCACAAACAACACGATGATGTCTCATTCTCTAAATTTATTTTGAAAAGATAAATCTCTTCGCCTCCCGTCTCTTGTTAGCTAAATCTCTCTCCCCCGTAATTATTCACTGTTAAAAAATAAAGATGAAGCGAAACTGTCTCGCATTTGAAATTTAGTAAGCGGTCGGGGCTCATTAAAAAGCTGTAAATATATAAAAAAGCGGATGAGACGTCTCCGAACGCGATCTCGTGTGTCAAAATACTGGTGACATCTTTATTATTTAATTTCTCAACGCAACACAGACGATAATGAGCTTTATTCGTTAGAGTATAGATTAAAAATAGAATCATATTTATAGTCTGTATCGGTGTTTTGGCGCGAAATAGGATTAGCCCGATGACAGGTGACGATGTATCGACATTAATTGTTTTACCCGTGTCGCAGCGTTTACCGGAACATGTACCGGCCATGTTTTGTTTCTAAAACGGATGACGTTAATTTTATCCCACTAATTAATTTACTTGATACAATATTGAAACAGATGTGATGTATTGTGGCTTATGTTCTGTGTTCTTGAATGACGTTGGAATGCGTTTAGACGTTTAATTGCCTGCACACACTTGTCTGAGAAATTGTATTTCTCTTTAAATTCTCCTCACTATTTATGGCTAAATACTCGTAACATATATTAAGAGCTTTCTGTATTGTAGAGTCCTTTGTGAAACAGATAATTTAAATGAGAATAAAGCTAAGCTTATTAGGCAATAATTTTGTGTCTATATGAAGTAGTTAAGTATATATTATGTACTTTGCTTTATCTGTTTCACTCGTCGCTGTTTCCCTGGGCTTTGTACCTCGTCAATTCCTGAGCTATGAAGGCGGTCGGCGGAAATTATAATATACCTACACTAAACATGCATTTTACACAATAATTACGTAAGTAGTTTGTTAAAGCCATTAATAATAACTCATACATATGATTACCATAAAGTAGCCACGGCTAACCTAGAACAATTTGACGTTTATTTTGGCGCGCTCATTAGCGCGGGAAACGATTCAAGATGGCGTCGAGTGACACGTTGATAAATTGCCACTAATTATTTTGAGACGAGAGTGTTTATTGAGGATGGCTGTCAGGCGACGATGTCTGGCGTCCGCTTAGGTTACAATTATTGTATGCAACTTCCGTATTAGTTAATGAGTTAATTACCAATGACGATTTCAATAAGCATTCTGGCGCTAACTTCAGTAGGTTCCATCTTTCTATGAGCGAACCACTTGTAGACAACGTAATTTGACATACGAACTACATAAACCGATTTTTTACAAAACAACATTTGTTTTTAATTATCTTAAAATAATAATTAATACTGACTCATATTTATAATATCACTTTAGGTTCTTGCAGTTCAAGAGGCAAGCGAGCGAGAACAGCTTTTAGCGCGCAGCAAATAAAAAGCTTAGAAGCGGAATTTGAGAAGAACAGATATTTATCTGTGGCAGCGAGGGGTCGGTTAGCAAGGCAATTAAGACTTACTGAAACGCAGGTAAGTTTGACAGACAGGTATGAATTCAAGAAAGTATGTAAATTATATTAAAATAACAGAATTTAATGGTTTAAAATTCTCATAACATGCAAATATTCCACTTGTCGAATCATAGGTTAGGTTAACTTTATAGTATTCTACGTTTTAAGTCGTTTGTTTTATTTAATTAGTGATTTTCCCCTAAACTTCTCCGATTAATATAGTTTGCAGTCTCGGTAATCGAACCTAAGACTTTCCGCAAGAAGCCCAGCTGGGTAACAAATGCAGTTTAATTATAATGAACACATTACTTTTTTACAGATAAAAATTTGGTTTCAAAACCGACGAACGAAATGGAAACGGAAGTACACTAATGACGTGGAACTTTTCGCTCAGCAGTATTACAGTAGTTTGGGCATCGTCACGCCACGACCTATGTTCGTAGGCGACAGACTATGGATCTTCAACTATCCAAACAGACTACCACAATGGAAGTCCCTAAACGTCTCAAATATTAATGCACATGGCCACCTAATTGATAGAAACCTCTTTCGTAACGCGCCAAACCTTGTTCCAAACGACAGATTTTCAAATAACGATCGCCTGTCAACTGTCAAGGTTCCCGCGCAAAATCGTCTGCTTCCGGTGCCTAGTGTTTATTCCAATATAGCACAAAGGAGTCTAGATATTTATAAAAATGGCATTTTAAATCATTCAAATCAAGATTCAAATGTCGATCACTTAAGAAGACTGGAAGAAAATTTTAGTATTTAAGTTAGCGTTATGTAATATAAGATATGTTAGATTATGTATATACATACATATTTATCGACATTAAATGTATTATTAGTGTAACATAGTTTTTTTATTTTTTATTTTATTATATTAAAATCCACAATACTTTTTTGATTTCAAGTGATGTGTAAAACGTGAGCCTATTTCGTATAGGTTTCAACAAAAATTATACCAAATATGCACTACCAAATAAGAGCTTTGCAATTAATTTATTCACTGCATCTTAGATGTAACGGTTACCGCAACCGCAGCTACCTGCAATGGTAACCACACCACCAGCTGGCAGGTCACCAGCGAATCGCACAGCTCCGAGGATTGGGACCTGACCGGCTACCATCGTGGTACCAGCGACTGGCATCTCTCCAGCGACTGCTACGTCACCGACACCTTCACCGCCATACGCCGCTGGTTCTATAGCTGGGGCGTAAGGAGCGGGGGCAAACGGAGCAGGAGCAAATGGAGCTGGGGCAAATGGAGCAGGAGCAAATGGAGCTGGGGCAAATGGAGCTGGTGCGAAAGGAGCGTTCCACATGGCCGGGCTACGAGCCATTTCGTATTCAGCGGTTCTCTCGGCAGCATAGGCGTATTCAGCCGCCATTTCCCTCTCAATTGCTCTTGGGCCGTAGTTGTAGGAGGCTGGTGAGTCGCCGCCGTACCAACCCGCTAATTCAGCTGATGCTGCGGTAAGTCCAGCTCCGCATGAGTTACCAAGACCGAATCCATTGCCATATAAAGCCGGACCGATGAGAGTGCTCAAAGCGTTCTGGAATCAATTAAGACGTGTACAAATTATTACATACAAGCCTAATCTAAAAACCACAATGTATTGAGAGAATATAAAAACAGATTTATGCGTCAGTATGTTCCCTCTATCTAATAACGAAAAATAACAACTTAATCTCTACAATACAAGCTTCTTTATCTTTAAATAAAACCCTTTCAGCGGTTTTAAATTTGAAAGCTATCGGTAAATATTTAAAAATACGACTCGATGTCTTGCATGATTTGTGGGATAGATCCGTGGTTGATGATATGTCATGCGTAAAAGAAATATTATTTTTCAGTTTTACAAAGATAATATAAGTTGTCTCGGAAGAATCGTGTAGAAATGTAAATTAAACACTGTCTATAGTTTACGCGAGTTGTACACATTTGAATAAAATACTTTAACGGTGTCTTCCCGTGACCACGGCTGCTGCGAAGCATCCGAAACGTCGGGCCGAACTTAAAAATCATTTTCAAATAAATTTAACTAATACATCGCGTTTTAAACCGTTAAAGTGATTTATTTATTATTATCATTTGATTTATCCAGCCCCACCACAATTTCATAATAAAAAAAAATGATTACTATTAAAATCAATTAGTATACAGAAGGGATATTGTTGCTTAGAACAGTGTTATTCATAGTATCTCAATAGGTTATCTTGTTCTATTTTAATTTAACTGTTTCTTTTGTCTTTCTTGCCTAATTTCGAAAACTTACCTGAATAAGACACGCTTGGATGCAGAGTAAAAAGAATGTTAGGGAAGACATGTTTGTGTGTTGTGTGTGTAATGATTTGTTAATAATATTACAACGTTTATATACCATTTTGACACGCACTATGTTTTAGGGTTCCTTGTTTAAAGCGATAATACATACGTTTGTATCTGTTGATATTTACACTAGCTGTGCCCACGACTTCGCCCGTGTGGAAGAGTTGTTTGGGCGTCATAGACAATTTTGATCCCTATTAATTATTCTTACTCAACAACGCATTTATTTGGTTAAATATTAAAATAAAATAGTGCATTATTATATTTTAAATTTAATTATCATAGAAACGGTTTTTTTGACATTATAAAAATAAACTTAACAACAGACATTTCGCGGACATTTTTATATATTATAAAGAGAAATTAACGTTTCATATATTACATTCATTATATTCCTTATATTCCGCGATTTAAACCGTTAAAATTATAAATCTTAAACTATTAATATTTTATTTACCTTAACAAGTTAAATAGTAATTATTAGATTTTTTTCATGCAAGTACGTAAATATTATACTTATAATTGTATCCAGTAGAACAGGACAGACTATTTCGGTTTAAATAATTTATATTCTCGAAGAATATACACATTCACTCAGCAAGAAACTAATATGCTTACTTTAAATGTGCTAACGTGCATTACAGAAGAATAAAATTAATAAATGTTTAATTAGAAAGAATTATTACGGAACCCTTACAATAATAATCGGAAATTATATAGGCCGTTATATTTCCAAACGTCCGATTATTGAAGAATCCCTTATTTGGAATATATAGGTATTTTAACTATTACGAAAGCTCTTTATCAAATTTAGTCGGAACTTATGTTGGTCAATTGTGATAAAATTTTGGTATAAATATGGACCAATACGATTTTTCTACATACACTTGAAACAATTGTATTATTCAAAATGGTTGCTAAGGCACTTTTGGTAATCTGCGCTCAGGCATTCTTGATCCAGGTAAAACGACTGTATTTAATTATAATAATATATATTCTTCATGTTCAAAGGAAAATAGACATACATGAGTTCATTTGACGGAAGGTAAAATACGCCAGTCATATTATAAGTAAACAAGATCGTTCTCGCCTTTTTTTGACTTTGGACATTCAGAAATTTACAGATTAAAACCTCCTACCTTTTCTCACAACTCATTTTATATCCAGGTTTTCTAGACTCGAACCCACGACCCGATGATTATTTCGCAGAGAGCATAAGACCAACAAGCACGTCCAATTATGAATCTTCGAAATATGTTTCTTAAATTATAATAACTTCTTTATTTACAGAGCATATCCAGCTTATACGCTCCATTCGGACCCTACAATGCCGCATACGGACCAGCGAGCGCCCTGAACGCCCCATGGGGTGCTGCCCTCGCCAGCCCCTACGGACCAGGTCTTGACACTCCCTACGCCCCCTTCAACGCTGTAGCCTCCGCTGCTGCTTCTAACGGTGGACCTCTACCCGTTGCCAGCTCGTCTCCAGTCCCCGCTAACGGAGTGTCAGTACTCTCCGAGAACAGAATCCAAGGGCCATTGGCTGTGGCCGGGGAACTGCCGTTCTTGGGAACAGTTGCCCTGGAAGGACCCCTGCCAACCTACGGTTCTGGTGCCGTCAACTTCGGAGCCGGAAACGGAAACGTCGCCATCACCAGGGAGGAAGCCCCGGCCTACGGCTACGGACGTTACGGCGCTTGGGCTTGAGGACTTTGAAACTTCGAATTGAGAATTTCTTTCGACGCATGTATTAAATTATTTGTGCATATATTTTTTTGTTTGGTCTTTGTTACCTTTTGTCATCTTTTAGTTCGTCATTCGTTTTGTTTGACATCAAAACGTTTTTCAATGAAAACAAGAAGTTTTCGACCGTAAATTTAATTGAGAAAGTACCATTTTCGTGATCAAATATGATCATTATTAAAATTTCATTAAGCTATATCAATAGTTTAAAAATAAACACCAATATACCTTTAACAGTTAATTACAAGATTGACTAAACAAGTAACTAATTAATATTAGTAAAGAAGGGTTCCCAAACTCGAAATACAATTTTTGGATACCATAGCACAGTATATAGATAAAAGATACACTTCCATATGACAACTCTTTGAAAGAAATCTCGTCTGTATGTAGACTACCTATATCCTTCCAACATCATATAACACCGAATCGTGAGATTACTATACTAATATTTCAAAAATGAAGAGTTTTTTTTGTTTGTTTGAACGCGTTAATCTCGGGAACTAGTCAGGAAAAATTCCTATTTTGTTAGATAGATCATTTATCGAAGAAGGCTATAAAACATCAAATTATATTTAATCTTCTCTTTCCGTTGCGTGCCGCGCATACGGTTCAAGATACACAAAAAAATTGTATGAGAGAAATTTTATTTTTTAAATATGTAAAAAAATTCTATAGTATATCTATATTCTAAAATTAACTCACAAGGACCGCTTTTTTGTCATATATCAAAAGAACATTTGCCAGGTCAGCTAGTGTAACAAAGTTTAATAAACTTCCTTTTTACATAATAGAACTCCTCACGCGGGGCATGTGACAGACACATTAATATGTCTGTATCACTAACAAGACTTACGTGCACGTAGAAGCAGATATATATGCTGTGACTGAAATAGATTGTTCTTCGGCAGGATTTGAACTCATGCCCTCTCGCGCCTAACGCAATCACACTTAATGCGTTTTCTATTAAACTAAGGTCGATAATAAATAAGTGCATTATTAGACATAAAACAAAAAGATTGATAACTATCTTACTGTTACAATCTTGTGTATGAATGAGTACAGCGAAGAATAACATAGTAAGTTGTATATTTGGTACGCGAATTGACGCGTTTAAAACACGTTTAATGGTTAAAAACGCTACCATAATGAATACTATAATTATATTACGGCGTTTCAAAGGTTTAATGATATTATAATTCACGTTTTAAACCGTTTAAAACTAAGTATTGTCTGTTTTTAGTCAAGTGGTCGTCATTTAAATAAGACACTTCTAACGCTTCAAAACGCAAAATATTTTAGTTAACTACGACCTTACGTAGTTATATTTAATTAAAACCTAAGTAAGTTTATTCGTTTATTTCGCGTTTTAAAGTGTTTTATTTAATAACAACAGCTTAATGTAGATAATATACAGTACTAGTAATAACCATTAATTTGAGTAATGAAACATATAGACACATATTTTGAAACGTAATTACCAATAAATGAGCAATATTTGTTAACAAATCAAAACATTTCCCAAATCGACGCGTATTACGCGTTGGAATTTTGATGTAGCCATCGGTAATGCGTTTAGCATTGCGTTACAAGAACCGAAACGGACACAGATATGTGTCTGCCCCATGCCTCACAAAGTATAAACGGCACCGGTCATAACTAAAGTTTCTAAAAATATATAATAAATATAAAAAAGTAATCGTTGAAAATTTTTTATTTAAATGTGTAGTTACTCGCATAAACTACACACAATATCTAAGGCGTTTATTGGAGTTAAATTCCTAAACTTTCGTGATATTTTCCCAAAATATGTCCGGATTAACAAACATTTTCGTTTCTAGTTTGTATCTAAGAGAAACCCAATTTTACAATTATAGTGTCAGTAGTCTTCTACAACACATACGTTGTTCTATGTTAATCTATACTAATATATAAAGCTGAAGAGTTTGTTTGTTTGAACGCGCTAAGCTCAGGAACTACGGGTTCGAATTGAAAAAGTCCGTTTTGTTATTGCTTAGGAAACATCGCGCTGTGAAGAATAGAAGCAAAAATACAGCGGGAAATGTGAACAAAACGGGGGAAATTTTTCATCCTGTGGATTTCAGCTAAGATACCTAAAAATGTTAGGAAAGAATGATTCCTCTTTTAATGATCTAAAAAAAGTCGACGGTCATATGTCTATCTCTTAAGATTAACTTGCAAGAACGACGGGAAGGGACGCGATCGACGTCGTGGCTAACAGCTTTACTTTATAAAGATACAAAAACTAATTTGGATGCCCAAAATAACGATTCTCGCGGAGGAAGTCGCTGGCACAGCTAGTTAAATATAGTTTTTATTTAAATTACTAATGGAGTACCGAGTTTGCGTCGCGTTTTTCAATTTATTATGTCTTCAAATAATTTTATTATAAGTAGGTATTTAATTTTACTATAAAGATATTATGGAGTAGCAATTTGTAACATAGAGGCTGCTAGATAGAAGTACAATTAAATAAACAAGCGAGACGTCTTCTCATAAAATATATATTTCTGTGATTAACCGTGTTCCAAAATATCCGTTCTAGTAGGCGTATGCGTTTCTGCCGCAACCGCAGCTACCAGCAATGGAGACGACGCCACCAGCTGGCAGATCACCGGCGAAGCGCACAGCTCCGAGGATTGGGACCTGACCGGCTACCATTGTGGTACCAGCGACTGGCATCTCACCAGCGACTGCTACATCACCGATGCCCTCACCACCGTACGCTGCAGGCTCCAGAGCTGGGGCAAAAGGTGCTGGGGCGAAAGGAGCAGGAGCAAATGGAGCAGGAGCGAATGGAGCTGGAGCGAATGGAGCTGGAGCGAAAGGAGCGGGGGCAAAGGGAGCAGGGGCGAAGGCCGCTGGGCCGTAACCGAGGGGTCCGGCTGCGAATGCTGGTTCAGCAATCCAGCAGAAGACATTCTGTGAGAAAAGAACAATAATTTAGATATGTGTTTGTATAGTGTTTTACGCTGAGCTTAAATATTTCTAGGCTATAAAACGTTTTAAACATTACAATTTGTACATTAGAATTTAATTTAATACTGTCTAGTTTACGCGAGTAGTACACATTTATATAAAACACTTTAACGGTTTAAAACGCGATATATTAGTTAAACTTATTTGAAAATGATTTTTAACTTCGGCCCGACGTTTCGGATGCTTTGCAGCAGCCGTGGTCATCAGAGGAGGACAGCAAGCATGGGGTTCACTTAGTGGAACACTTTAGTCATATCCCAGTTGAACTAGATACGCTATCAACTTATTTTGGCTTTGAATATATGGAAATGAATTTTAAGAGAAATTATACATTTATTTGGGAAACACACTTAGTAGAAATGCTACCCTATTTAATTAAGCTACATTGCTACAAAGGACTAATGAGTTGTTCGTATTTAATGACTTACCTGGACCAAGCAAGCCTGAAGGCAGACCAAGAATAGGGCAAAGGCAGACATGATGATGTGCTTTCGAAACGAATGTCAAATTGTTCAAATTCTCCAGCTTTTATACTGAGCCTAAAGAATATTACGAAATTTATTGAAATGTTGCGATAACACGTTTAATTAGGTTACATTTTGTGGGAGTCTCGGAAAAGTGATAAGCTCCTCGGAAACAATAATACGTGGTAAATTCCGAATTTTCAAAACCAAAAAAAACCGACAGTACATCTTATTAGATGTTACAGGGATATTTTAAGTAACCGTGCCTGTCTGTTCTGTCAGACAATAGTTAATAACAAATATATTTTAAGTCTGTAGCTTACACGAGTAGGACATTGTGATTAAAACACTTTTAACGGTTTAAAACGCGATATACATTAGTTTTTTTCCATCCGTAACGTCGGGCTGTAGTTACATTTATAAAAGTATTAGTTAAATTTTCAAACCGTTAAATGTGTTTAGATTTATTTATTTTGGTTGTTCTTTGTAGCGCCTAATGGGCAATGAGTTTTATGAACAAAATGTATTAATACTTTAAGTTTGGGGTCACTTAGTAACCATGGCAACCACATCACATTCCAATGTAATCGTAATAAGAAACATTTTAAGATAAAAAACATTATTTTTATTTATAATTTTCTATTACAATTAGCTTATTTAAATAAAAAAATGTCTGTTGCTTATGCAAACAGTACATGTTTAAACAAAACACTTGTAACGATTTTCTACGTTAATTATAAACAAACACTTTTTAAAGTGTTTTAAACTGCCACGTACAAACATATCGTTAAAACAAGAACTGTATAGAGTGTGTTTTAAGCCGTTAAACGTGTTTTGTTTAGTGGACTTTTTGATTACATGTTACGGTTCAATCGGTTAGAGCAGCAGCAAATTTCGATCAAAATAGGTTTTTCATTGCAATATATTTTAAAAACCTTGCTTTTAATTTAAAAATATATGTATTCTACTCCTAACTCTACCACAGAAATTCTATAATATAGTAGTATAGTATATGATTATATATTTTATAATAATCATAATATACTGTCTGTAGTTTACACGAGCAATACACATTTAAACAAAACACTTTCAACGGTTTAAAACGCGAAATATGTAACTTAATCTTATTTACAAATTCATTGCCAAGCATCTGAAACGTGGGGCGTTGTTAAAATATTTTTTAAATCATTCTTCAGTCATTATTATTATTTTATTCCTTTTATCAAATATAATAAAGTAATATTGGAATAATTTGAAATAGTTTTTATTATGACACAGTGACACAGAAAAATAATCAACCTATTACCTAACTTAGCTATTGTTTTGAAAGGCTTTCACTAATTGTTTTGTATAAATACGGAGGGAAATTCACACTCGACCACTTTCACATTCTTTTCGAGGAAAAAACAAGAAAATTAAAAAAACAAAAATGTCGTCCAAGACAGTTTTAGCTCTGTGCGCCCAAGCTCTATTGATGCAAGTAAGTTATTTAAGACGTTACTTTGACGGACTCGTTGGTGTAAAGGTAGCTAATGTATGGCTAATAATAAATGGGTCGTGGGTTCGAAAACTACCGGGTCCAACATTTTACTAACTTTCTTTTAAACATTGGAATTCCCTTCGGGCCACAGATGAAAAAACCGTGAATCGCGATTCGATTTCAGTCTGTGGATTGTCGAATATCGAAAGCCGACAACGCTTAGATGCTCTATGGCTGGGGTTTACATCAAACGACTTACCATGGGCTTGTCTTCCTATACGATAAAAAATAATTAACAAGATATAAAAGCAATTATTAATTTGATTTCCTTATAAGCTTTTAGGGAGATCCCTTTAAATTGTCACCACAAATGTCGGAACTAATCTAAAGAAGACATAATTTTACAACTAATTGGGTTTGTCGTGGGTTTGCATGATGCAAGGGATGCATATGCATGCTGTATCTTCAATAATGTTTGATTAGTTTTGAGCTACTGTATCTCGTTTGTAAACATCGGCATTCTAATCAGCGTTGTATAACATTCTTAAACAATAACAGAAGCATTATGCACGTAGAATTTGAGAAATAAAATTTTTTTTATTATTTACTTATGCTTTCAAACGGTCGTCAACTTGTAAAAATGGTCTAGGTACACGAGGATTTACTGAAGTTATCTCAATATAATAATCTTGAATAATCGTACGCCATTATTAACGAAAACGGAAAATCTTATAGAATAAAAAATCTATTAAAAGTTTGAAACGCGATTTATAATTAATATATTTTAGTTTATTATAATATATTATATTACATTTTAAACCGTTAAAAGTGTTTCATTTAAATGTTTACTACTTGTGTAAAGGTACCAACAGTGATTTAATGGTCTATTAATTTTTAGTGCATCACGGCCTACGTTTACGGGGAAAATCCTTATGAAAGAGCAGCGTACGCTGAAGCTTGGGGACCCTATGCTCCATCAGCCGGCTACAGCCCGGCTACCCTGGCCGCGTCCAACTGCGGCGGTTTATTCGTCAGCAGCTCCTCCCCAATCTCACCCAGTGGAGTCACAATGATCTCCGAGAACGCCATCGAAGGTCCCCTAGCTGTCGGCGGTCAGATACCGTTCCTCGGCGCTGTAGCGGTAGAAGGCGCCTTACCAACCGCTGGTGCTGGAGGCGTCGCTTACGGCTGTGGGAACGGAAATGTCGCTATCTTAGCTGAAGATCTAGCTGGGTACAGACCTGGTCCAGGACCCTATGGGTACGGGCCGTACGGTTGTTAATATAAATAAATAAATAAGTTTTTAAAGATACTTAAGATTTTTTGTTCTTATTCCTTGGTCATAAATTTAATTGAATATGTATTTAGCCTTCTTTAACTGATGGCTATGTGTGACGTGGAGAGTGCGGTAAATTGCTCTACATCAAACAAAAAAGTTAATATCTGCTCTGCCATATTTTCCGCCATTTTTATATATTATATTTATTATTTTGTATATTTTGATTTTTAAGTTAAACTGTTTATTTCAGAAATTTACTAATTCTCTAGTTTTACACGAGTACACATTAAAATAAAACTTTCAACGGTTTAAACCGCGAAGTATATGAGTGAAATTTGTTTTAAATTTAACTACGGCCCGATGTGGTCACGGGGGTATACTTATATACATATAATCAATTTTTTTTACTCTTTTTAGTAGATCATGTGAAATCGTAGCATACCTGGTTTTTTTATATAACAAAATATTTTTCTTTGTATTACTCTAAGTGATATGATGTATAATGTTTGAAATACATTTAAGTCACAAAGCACATTAATTTCATAATAATTAAATAAACTTGTATTAAACGCCGACAACATAGTAAGAAGTTTCTTATCGTACAAATCTTGTAGGCTTTTACACATAAGTTAAGTATTAAAGATAACACGTCATGTTGAAAGACAATTTCTACAGAAAATCGATAAAAATTCGTTTCGTAAATATTTTCGTATAAAAGTAAAACGGAACGGGAGAAAATCATCAATTTATCATGATTGTCGTGAACAAGATGTTTTCAATAATCCCTTTGTTCGTCGCATCCGTATTCGTCCAGGTAAAATTTAAAATACGTTAAACCATCTAATAAAACATTTAACAGATACAAACTTCGGGCCATTGTTAAAAATCCATTGTCTAATATATTTCGCGTTATAAACGGTTAAAAGTGTTCTGTTAATGTAATCAATTTGCGTACCTAACCTTTAAATGTACCTTTTAAAGCAATTTAAATAAGAATTAAAATAATTGAAATAATCATTTTTTCAAACTCGTGACATCTTTGTATACACAAATTTGAATATTACTGTTTTTATGTGAAAAAGTAACAAACAAACATAAACCTTAAATATAAATGAGTTAGATGTTAACGGTTTATATTTCTTTCAGACGATTGACGCGCAATATCTTGGCAACGCGTTTGCAAACCCTGGATTCAGTCAGCCATTGAGAAATCCTGGCTACCCTGCTAATCCAGGTTTTAACCAAGCTGCCGAAAATGCAGCACTAAACATGGCTTATGGTAACTTGGCTAACGGCATGGCAATGAACCCCGCGTTCGCTAGCATGGCTGGTTACAACCAAGAGTTGGGCTCCTTTAACGGTGGTGGTCTGATAGTGACCAGCTCTTCGCCAATCGCACCAAGTGGCATGACGGTGCAATCGGAGAACTTGGTTGTCGAAGGTCCACTAGCGGTTACTGGGCAGTTGCCATTCTTGGGGGTCGTCGAGGTGGAGGGGCCATTAGCGGCTACTGGTCAAGGGGCTGTGGCTTTTGGCTGCGGGAATGGAAATGTCGGTATCGTTGGGGAAAACTTAAACGCACCGGAACCCTATGCTAATCTAAGAGCTGGTTATAATCTGGCAAGTCAAGGTAACATGCTAGGGCGTCTGCCAGGCAACGGTCTAGGATTGTATTAGAACTGTTATTGAAATTAAATTATTGTCTTTATATGGTGGTATTCTTTACTTTCTTTACATACTAAGTTTAGCTTTGACAATTAATGGGTAATAAAATAATGTTATGCTTAAATAATGTCTATAGTTTACGCGAGTAGTACACAAATAAAACACTTTAACGGTTTAAAACGCAATATATTAGTTAACTAATTTGAATGTATTTCCGTGACCACGGCTGCTGCAAAGCATCCGAAACGTCGTTCGGGCCAAAGTTAAAAATCATTTTCACAAGTTTAACTAATATATCGCGTTTTAAACCGTTGAAGTGTTTTATTTTACTAAGCTTTGGAATACTTATACAGATCTTTATAGATTTACTTTTTATAAAAGAGTAGGACACACGAGCTTGGGGTTATCTTAATGATAGATGAAATACCTTCGATATAATATCTAAGTCGGCCAAATTTTGGTTCTGGACGTTCGGAAATCCACAGACTGAAATCGAAACGCAATTAAGCTTAACGGGTTTTTCATCTGCGGTCAGTAGTTCGTGGTCGGACAGAATTTAGATATAACTGCCAGCCACTTAAATTTTAAGCGCACTTTAAAAACCTATCCACTAACTAGATTGGAAAATAAGGATATAAAAAAGGCTAATCATAGGTCATGGTTAAGGACAAATATGTACCCTAACCGACCGACTATTTTGACCCGGGATTCATATCTCTTAAGTTTAATTAGTGAGCTAAGCAGCCGGCCACGTGTATTATATAAAATTGTTTTGATATTTACAATTATATTTAGTGAATAAAAAACTTTAATATTTTTCACATGTTATTGCACATGAAGGCACTATCTTAAAAATCGAAAATAAATTGTTTCTTTTTCGCGCGAAAGCTGCATGTATCAATAAGGAGAAAAAACGACGATGAGGTGTAGGACAGTAGCTTAATTGGTAGAGCAACAGCACCGAACGCTGACGATGCCGGTTCAAGTCCTGCCCGAGTCGAAAATTTTTTCAATTAATTTTCGATTTTCAAAATAAAAAATTGCTTTTCTCTCAGAGAAAACTAACTCAAAGTGGTGAGATTTTTATAAAGTTAATCGTTCTTCTTAATATATTTTATAATTAAACGTCATAATCAAACGAATAAATATAATTCACTGTTCTTTATTTCCATAGGAATTGTGGCACGTTTTAAGCAGGCTTAGTTTCTTAGATCCTAGTACATGTAGGGAGATCTTCCGCATCCGCAGCTACCGGCGATGGAGACGACACCACCAGCTGGCAGGTCACCGGCGAAGCGCACAGCTCCGAGGATTGGGACCTGACCGGCTACCATGGTGGTACCAGCGACTGGCATCTCACCGGCGACTGCTACATCACCGATACCCTCACCACCGTACGCGGCGGGTTCTAGAGCGGGAGCGAATGAAGCGGGGGCATATGGACCTGGGGCGAAAGGTGCTGGGGCGAATGAGGCAGGGGCGAATGGTGCAGCGGCGGGGCCCCAAGCTGGGTTAGCGAGAGGTCCATATGCTGGCTCGGCGATCCACGCGAAAGCGTTCTGTAATAAACAATGATACTATTAAAATACTACTCATTCGTGTTCTATTACCTAAGTATTGAATTGTGTGGCTGAAGTAGTCAACCAGCTTTAATAAAGACGAGATAGACACAACTGGACACAAGTCTCTCGCGTTGTAGAGGGTTTAACGAATATTTTTACAACTACCCCCACTAAAATATTGGTAATTACCGTAAGTGATGGCTTTACACCCCCTAGAACTTATCTTAGGAAACATTCTTGATAGTGATCAGTAATATTTCACCTGATCCAGGATTTCGTTATTTGTAAGATAGTAATAAAAGATGGAACAACGAGATTTTATTAATTAATAATTACAAATTAATTTGGTATTAAAAAAGTGAATTATCCCGATTTAACAAGTACCCCAATTTGTCCCACCTAAATGGGGTATGGGGCAATTCCAATTTCATGTTTCAATTACCTATTCTATATACAGACAGACGATTAAACTTGTAGTATTTGGTCCAGTTGGGACGAAATTAATTGTGTCCCGGGATTAAAATCCAAGGAAATGCGACGGGCTTTTGGCGTTTGATTATTGGTGTTGAATGTCTTACCTGGATCAAGCAAGCTTGGAGGCAGAGAACTACTACAGTGAAGGTAGACATGTTTGTTTGTTCCGATGATTTCAGAATATGCACGCTGAAAACCCACCAGCCTTATATACTGAATGACCTATATTGTTTCGAACTATTGCGTTACTTTACGTGACAATAAAGTGCGTTACTTCGCTATGGGGCAATAATATGTTATCTTGCGTTTGGAATTGTATCTTAATATCCCTTCAACGTTTAAGAATTTCGTCTATATATCTATAGTTAAGTTGTATTTATTTTAACTTGTCTCATTTAGTTTAATTTAAACAGTGTAACGATACCTACATGGTGTTATAAATTTACGTATCGCTAAATATAAATAAGACCGCCTTTGTAGCTAAATGGTAAAATGTCTTGCCATTGCGTAAACCGCGAAAGGTCCTCATGCCCCACGGAGGAAAACGGCATTTGACTGTTTTGAATAATGATTCGTAGGAAAAATGGCCTAAATTTGTATAATTACACCTGTTTTAGAAGCTCAAGAGACTAGGCTATAAGGGACATTTATGTCTGTCTGACTAAACAGGGAACAATTGGTGACAATATTAGAGATAGACTTTGACGCGCTCGTTGGTCCGAGTCACGAACCACCGGCCACAGATGAAAACGCCGTAAAATTTAATCGCGTCTCGGCTTCAGTCTGTGGATTTCGGAATTTTCAAAGTCCAAAATAGGTTAACAAACGAATATTGTCAACCACATAATCATAAAAAACTTATCTCTAAATAAAAAAATATATAGAGTATATATTAAAAAAGGAGTGGCACGACCAGCTAACCAAACAAAATATTTAATAATTTTCGTGCTAAAATTTCTTAAACAACATAAAACCTTTTTGGTTTTCCAGTACCATTATTTTCCTTTACGTAAAGTTTTGTTAATACGTGAAAATGTAAAAGAAAATTATGTAATCCATGCATTGTTAGGCCTCTTTAGCAATATATTTTGAAAGCATTGCATTCTAGGAATTCCACTTTCTTGTTATACAATAATTTGATTAGTTGACTATAAAAACCGCGACCTACTTTTGAAACACATCAGACACAAACAACATCATTATGACCTCATCATCTGTTTCCGCCTTCTGCGCTGTTTTGCTTGTTCAGGTATATACATTCTGCACAGTTATTAATTTTTCTTCCATGTAAACTTTACTATGAAACTGTTAAAAACAGATTTTACTACAGTAATTTTCAAATACTAAAAATATAATGAAAAAAATTACACTCTGATTATTATTCTGCATCTTTTCCGAGTAACAGTTGACCAAAGAAAAGTATTTTAACTGTTTAGAACGCAAAATAAATCCGACTTCACGCTTCCTGAAAGGAATTCAAGACGGTGAAAACATAGATTTAAAAAATGCACTTGCAAATTTTAAAGTAAATATATATTCCGCGTTTCAAACCTGTAAAAAAGTTCCTACAATAAGATTTAGAAATAATATTTCGTAAAAAAAGTGGTTAGGACAATAATACTCTTGGTTTACATTTGATGCTACGAACAAACAAAAATATTATATTTTATCTCTTTAAAAATTCACAGGTGATATCTGGACAATACATCAACAACCCCGCCTGGAACCAGCCAGCTGCGTTTGGACCAGCATGGGGCAACCAATACGCCGCAGAAGCCTACAGTCCGGCCATGCTTGCTGCATCCAACGGCTGCGGTCTCGCTGTATCCAGTTCATCTCCCATTGCCCCATTCGGAGTTACCATGACATCAGAGAATGCTATCGAAGGACCATTGGCTGTAGCTGGACAGATACCTTTCCTTGGTGCTGTGGAAGTCGACGGCATGTTACCAACAGCGGGAGCTGGTGCCATTTCCTATGGCTGCGGCAACGGCCAGGTCGCCATATTAGCTGAAGATATGGCTGGGTACGGCGCGATTGCCCCAGGATACGCTGGCCCATACAACAGACCTGGCATGTACTATTAAGAAGATATAAAGAAGACCAGAAACGTGCCAAGAGAAACTTAGACCAATTTTTAACATTTTAGGTAACTAGAAAATTAGCCAATTTAGTGATATTAGCGTAAAAACTAAATCGTAATCGATCATTGGTTGTATCTACTGTGTTGTAATATCATGGGTCATGGGTTCGAGTTCTGGGTCCAGCAGGATCGTTACGCTTACTACAGCGTTTGGAGAAACTTGACATTAGGTCGATGGTAGGAATATCATAATTTCATCCGTGTCAAACACAGTCATACTGACAGACTGTGGTATTGCGAATGTCAAAAACCAAAACAGCTTTATAAACACTTCTTGGTCCATTGATATACAGAAGCGTAGTTCCTAGTCAAATTTTAAAAACTACTCAAATGCCCTACTTCCTTTAAAAGTGGTTAAATAGTTAAGTTGTCATTTAATATTATATTATAAGTGTAGTAAATTCCTCAATTTTGATAGTTTAATAGTATCAAAATTCGTGATCCATTTTTGACTGAAAATTTTATAACATTGTGTGTTGGTGTGAAATAAATGAAAATACAAACTTTTCTAATAGTTTTATTATCTTGTGTATTATAATTTCATAAATAAAAAATATCTCTTAATGATCTATTATCACAATGATGTTTTGACGCATTAATTTTTAACTGTAACATACACGTCTGTTGCATAGCGTCCAAAACGTCAGGTCGTAGTTATAATTGAATAATTTCGCAATTACAATCTTTAATATGTAAATACTGTCTGTAGTTTACGTGAGTTGTACACATTTAAATAAAACACTTTAAATGCTTTGCAGCAACCGTGGTCACGGGGAGACTGTGAACACGGCTGCTGCAAAGCATCCGAAACGTCCAAAGTTTAACTAAAATATATCGCGTTTTAAGCCGTTAAAGTGTTTTATTTAAACTGTAATATGTGGTTTTTATATGTTACCTACTCGCGTAAACCACAGACTTAACTTTTCTTCTTATATTTCCTTTTCATGAATATTTAGTCCTCCTTAATTTTTAACATTTAATATGTGTTTATATGGTCTCCTACTGCGAGCGTGGTGCACAGATTACGCTTCGCTGGAAAGGGCCATGCTCGGAGTTCACCCTGCGTGATCGAATCAGGCATGAGGAGATCCGTAGGAGAACTAAAGTCACTGACATAGCCAATCGTATTGGCAAGCTGAAATGGCAATGGGCTGGGCACATCGCTTGTAAAACTGACGGCCGTTGGGGCAACAAGGTTCTGAAGTGGAGACGTACCGGACGTGAAAACCACGACCTCCGCCAGGTGGACCGACGAACTTGGTCAAGGTAGGAGGAAAACGTTGGATACAACTAGCTAACGACCGGTGGTACTGGAAGTCTATGGGAGAGGCCTATGTCCAGCAGACACTGAAGGGCTAAATTGAAATGTGTTTATAATGCGAAATGAATTTAGTAAGTTAAAAGAAAATTACTATAAAAACTGTCTGTAGTTTATGCGAGTAGTACACATTTAAATAAATAACTTTTACAGTTTAAACTGCGATATACAGTTAGACTTTGGTAATATTTTTACACACCCTCTGAATTCGTCTGTCCGCAAAGGATTGTTTTTTATATGTTTGTACGTCTGTGCTCATCACTCCGATAAGAATTTCGAAGAGTGGATAAAGAATTTCATCGTAAGAATCAGTTACAATTAATGTAAGCTGGTCGGTTAGTCATTTTGTACTTTTTTACGGATATTCGATTAAAAAATTAATCTACATCTGTCAATAAAAAATTCCCTTCAATAAATTATTTCCATATTAAAATTGGTATGCCATTTTAATATAGAAATGATATATTATAACTTTAGTATTAACACGTTCCAACGACAAACAGAAATCCTAACTTACGCTAACACAGTAACGCGTTACGTAACGATATTATCGATATAATGAAAACATGGTATAACTCTTTCTAAAACTTTATTGAACTAGAAATTTCGCTATTCTACGACAAACTGTCTAATAGTAGGGTCCGTACGCGTACTGCGGTGCACCGTAGGAGTACGCTGGGTAACCATAGCCCGCTAGATCCTCGGCCAAGATGGCGACCTGTCCATTTCCACTACCATAAGAGATAGCTCCAGCACCAGCTGTTGGCAGCATTCCTTCGACTCCAACCGCACCAAGGAATGGAATTTGTCCAGCTACAGCCAATGGACCTTCGTAAGCAGTCTCAGATATCATAGTCACACCAGCAGGGGCAATGGGAGACGAGCTGGAGACGGCCAGACCGCAAGCATTGGAAGCAGCCAGGCTTGCTGGGTTGTAAGCACCAGGACCGTATGTTGCATAGGCGTTTGGAGCGTAGAGGAGCGCACGGTGCGCTGGGAGCGTAGGAGTACCCCGGGTACGCTGGGTTCCAAGCTTCAGCATAAGCATTACCGATGTATTGGGCGGTGATGCTCTAGAAAGGAACGATTATATAGTTACAAAGTTCACTCTGTCACCATATAAGAAAAATACCACAAAACTGAATATAATTGATATTTAACATGGCAACATTTGGAGAAAAATGGCGGGAAATATGAACAATTATTATATTAAATTAACAATGTTGTTAAAATAGTTTTGGAAGTTACCAAAAGCCGTTTTCATTATTATCTTTGTTAAACTGAACTTAAGAACTAGCTGTCACATTAAGTTTTCGCAACGCACGCATAAGAAATCCGACAAAGAGGAATATTTTCCCACACAATTCCCCGATGTTTCCTCCTATTAGTCGCAGTGTGAGTGTGAGAGCTATAAAAAGCTTAAATTCTTCCTCGATAAATACTCTTAGCAACACAAAATCACTTCGAACCAGTAGTTCCTGAGATTATCGCGTTCAAACGAACAAACAAACAAACTCTGTAGCTTTATTATATTAGTACAGATATGTTAAATCTAATGAAAATAAACTCATTTTTTAAAAGTATATTGGTTTTACCTGCATCAAAAACGCTTGAGCGCACAACAATACAATTTTGAAAGACATGTTTGTTATTCAAAAATAAATTCGACTATGCTTTCTAGATATTTCTAGGCCTATTTTATACGCACAATAGTTCCGAAAATGGAGAAATTGTTCTACCTAGAAAGTAACGTGACAAAATATAATTACGCCATTTCGCGGAAGCGAAGAAGCATAGTGACACAATTATGATAAACATTATGTTTTCATTACATAATTGTTGCTAAGGCGTATTTTTATTAGGCGCTGACAATCAAGAAATTTATAAATCGATCGTTTTCCCATGATTATAAAATAATACAAGAGATAGCCACTCCATTACATTTCATTTTCCTTAATTAAAAGTCTTCTAAAGAATGTATTTATATAAAACCGCTGTTAAGCATCTAAGTTTGAATTGATTTTTTTTTATTGTGTTCTCACAAGAACCGTTATGATGGTAATCAAATTTAGGTCTATTCTACTATACTACTATGAAAAGAGTGCGTTTGCCATGTCAGCTAGTATAATAATATACTCTTACACTAGGACACACTAGGCACAGATCATGGGACTTTGTTTCATTAAAATCAGATGCTAGTGACAGAATGTATAGTAATAAAGGTTTATTATTGAACAAGGCATATTTAAACACGACAGAAAATTAATAATACCTAAACAGTATATAAACAAAGCATCGTTTAAAATAGTATAAATACAATTAGATTTATATAATTGAGAAAATTCTTTATGATAATATTTGTATTGTCTTATGTCGCTCTCACGCATAAAAAACTATATGCGATAGCTTGTATAGAATAAACAAATAAATGACGAATTATCAAAGCTTTGATTAATTTATTTAATTACAAATATCAACTGTTATAACAGACGGAATCCAATGCGACAGTCACTTATAGTTATGTCTGTAGATTACGCGAGTAGTACATTAAATAAAACACTATATCTATACTAATATATAAAGCTGAAGAGTTTGTTTATTTGTTTGAACGCGCTAATCTCAGGAACTACGGGTTCGAATTGAAAAATTTATTTATTTTTGTGTTGGTTAGAGCATTTATCGAGGAACGCAATAGGCTTTAAAACATCGTCCTGTGACTAGTACAAGCTAAGACACAGCGAGATATGTAAAGAGAATTGGAATTTTTTTTCATAATTATGGGTTTCCGAGGCGTACGCTGCAAAAACGGTTCAAGATACTCAAAAACTGTGTATCAAAGGATGATTCCTCTTTAAATGATCTGATGAAATCTCTTAAAATTGCAAGAACGACGCGAAGGGACGCGACCGACCTCGTGGGTAAAAACGAAGTCGCTGGCTCAGCTATTAAGAAATACAACTTATTCATTTTATATCACAATCAAAAACTGTAAGTCGCGTGGTGGTAGGAAATCAAAACGCAACAAGCTAAACTATGCGCATAATATACATTGCCAGTTAGAAAAAAACTACAATTATTTAAAGCTTTTGCACACGCCGCAAAGGGTTTATAACGTAGAATTTAAAACAGCTTTTTACGTGTATACACAAGCAAAGCAACTAATCTACTCAAACTATACTAAATATACCAATCGCTACTTACTTACTTACTTAGATACTGTCTATAGTTTACGCGAGTAGTACACATTTAAATAAAACACTTTAACGGTTTAAAACGCGATATAGTAGTTAAACTTATTTGAAAATGATTTTTAACTTCGGCCCGACGTTTCCCCGTGACCACGGCTGCTGCAAAGCATCCGAAACGTCGGGCCGAAGTTAAAAATCATTTTCAAATAAGTTTAACTACTATATCGCGTTTTAAACCGTTAAAGTATTTTATTTAAAAATACTTACTTACTTTCTTATTCAAAACGAAACATTAATATTCCATTCGACCTGAGAAGTAGCCTAACATTCCTAGAAAGTATCTTTCACTATTAGTCACGTGTTTTGTTGTGTAATTTTAAGCTATTACGATGATATGACGATCAATTACCTTACATGGCTTTATAATCACTTACCCAGAGAAGTATTTTAAACCAACTAAAATTGTAAATTCGTATCTACTTGCATATAATATTATGTAATGTCCAATATTGTGTTTAGTGAAAATGTATTTCTTGCGTAAATAAACGCCTTAAACCATTAAAATCAATTGCAAGCCTTTTTCTGAGATTTTATATCAAGCTACGAAAGTAAATCTGTCAAACTCCGGCCTGTTGTATTGAACATGCTCACACACACTCACACACACACGTTCATTGTGTTTCACAGATGAAACATCAATGAACTTTAATCGTGTTTCAGTTTCAATCTGTGAATTTCCGAATTTCCAAAGCCTGTAAATACATCGACAGCGCATCTAGTGTAGATGTTATACAGCTGGGGTAATAAACAAATAAAACTAAAACTGACAGGCGTTATTATAATTTTATGTGCTGTATAAGAAGCCCACAACTTGTTACGTAAGTCTTCGTCTAGATATTAATAATACTACTAGGGCACCGCCTCTGTAGCCAAATGGTTAAACGTATTGCCTAGCATTGCGTTGAGCGAGAGAGATCCTGGGTTCGAATTCCAGGGAAACAAAATTGTTTCGGTCGGACAGGGCACAGAAGTCTGATCAACTACTTGCCCGTTAAAAGAACAGATCGGTGAAACGGACAAAGGAATGTGTTCGCCCCATGCCCCACGAGGGGGAGACGGGAGTTTTTTTAGGGGACTGTTACGTCACGTGAAGCTTGACAGAGGAGGGGTTTATACGTGTATTTTTCGTCTAAGGCGCGAAAAGGGAAAATTTGTGTTACTGTAACATGACGTTGCTAGGCAACGAGCAAAGGACTGATATCGTTCATCATTTTTTTGGCAATCAAAAACAACTTGCAACCTAGCCTAGATAGTAGTAGGTAGTAGAATCCTTAACAAAATAGAAAAAGACAATAATTTATAGCTGTATTTAAAAACACAGAAATACACGTAATGTTGGAGGAAAAGGGGGGAGGGGTATATCGAGGCAGGAAGGATTATGAACGTTTCCTTTCAGATGCATTTATATTAAGCAGTTGTCCTTAAATGTTAGCATTGTAGTTAAAGCGAGTAGTACATATTTTAATAAAGCACCGGTAAAGGCTTAAAACACGAAATATGTTAGTTAATTAGTTTTGAACTATAACGAATTGTAGTAAAAGCTAAATTATATTCAGTTAGTTTCGTTGTAGAATTTCAATTCAATGATATATCACGCCTTTTAAATGGTTAAAGTATTTTTATTAAAATATTAATTTGTCGTTAACATATCTATTAAATTGCGTCGCTGATGTGTTTCTTCTGTTTGAAATTTCTATGCATCGGAATCAATGTTTAAAATAGCTATGCAGTAGATAAAATTCCTATACAAATTTAATTAATTCATTACTTTCACACTATTGAGACAAAGATAATAAAACCATAGAAATCATTCCTTAGCGATTTATTAATAATATCTAAACTCAGTACAGAATGGGTCCAGCTGCTCCACATCCACAGCTACCAGCAATAGAGACGACACCACCAGCTGGGAGGTCACCAGCGAAGCGCACAGCTCCGAGGATTGGGACCTGACCGGCTACCATCGTGGTACCAGCGACTGGCATCTCACCAGCAACTGCTACATCACCGATACCTTCACCACCATATGCCCCAGCGACACCAGCGTAGGGAGAAGCCAGAGGGTTTGCTAGACCCATGGCGGGGCCAGCAAAACCCCCCCCCCACGCGGACCGCCGGCCGGCACGGTCGCCCCTCTTTTTTTCCCTCGTTTTTAATTGGGGGGGGCCGCCCCCCCCCCCCCCCCCCCCCGGGGGGGACGGGCCCCCCCCCCCCACCCCCCCGGGGCCCCCCCCCCTTTTTTTTTTTTTTTTTTTTTTTTCCCCCCCCCCCCCCCCCCCCCTTTTTTTTAATTTTCCCCCCTTTTTTTTTTCCCCCCCTCCCCCCCCCCCCCCCCCCCCCCCCCCCCTTTTTTTCCCCCCCCCCTTTTTTTTTTTTTTTTTCCTTTTTTTTTTCCCCCCCCCCCCCCCCCCCCCCCCCCCCCCCTTTTTAGTTAAACCGTTAAACCGTTAAAGTAGTTTATTTTAAAAAAATATGTTGGACCCGATGGGCATCAAACCCACGGCGCGTTGATTATTAGAATTGCTACAATTACACCCATCGAAAATATATACTTAACGTCTTCTTAGAACTGTATTTGAGTATTTAGGTCTTGTCTTGACGTGTACTAAACTATCTCATAATTTTTCTAAAACAAGACTTGAAGATCTGGAATGCGTAAGAGTAACGTCATTCTTGTGGGAGAAACAGAATAGCTTCAGTGCACCCAATTTACTTATTATCTCTTTAGGGAGTTTGTCTGTCCCTTTCTGACATATAAAAAGTACTGCCTGGTTTCAAGTGATTGTTAGTCTTAGACTTTTTTAGTGCTTATTTTCAAAATGGCCAGTAAAATAGTTCGGCGATAATCTATATTGAAAACAACCCATATTCTGTCCCACATCATCCAACCCATATCATGTAGGATACACTTGGATCATCACAATAGTATGAATTATTTTATGTAGTTTTTTTTTGCCCAAGAGTAGTAAATGTAGGTTGTTTTATAAGTACATTTTTGTACCTGTCGCGGAAATTTTTTTTTATCATTTAAAAAATAATAATTCATTCGCATTCAGCCCTCAAACATGAATAACTTTCCCTGTTTTTTTCACACTTTAAAGCCTTCCTCGATAAATGAACAACAAACACAAAACAAGATATCCATTCGAACCAGCAGTTTCTGAGATTAGCACGTACAAACAAACAAACTGTTCAGCTTTATAATATAAGTTTAAATTTGTGCCGTCTTACCTGGATCAAGCAAACTTGAACACAAAGAAGCAAGAAAGCGAAGGAAGACATCTTTCTTCTATTTTTTCTACTACAATGAAAGTTGAGTGAAAATCTATCGTTTTTATATTGTAAAAGCAATTTCGTGTCATAATGTCACTTCGCAACTCTATTTTAATACGTGATATGTATGAATTACTTGATTGTAGATTAGGTATTTGTCGGAATTAAACAAATTTAGACTTTTTAGAGATGAAATGAAAATTGTTAAAGGTCAAACTTGCATAGCCCCAAACGGGGCAAAAATGCTTATAATAAACTAACTATGGCCGCGAATTCGTCCGCGTAGAATAGTTATTTTGGAAATCAAAATTTGTTTTTGCAAACCTCCTCTTTATCTTTATAAATTTTACCTGTTATCCACTCCGCTTCCTCTTCAGTTAGTCTTAAAAGATAGATATTCTATGGCAGACATTATTTTAGATTGTTTAAAGAGGAATTATTTCGTGCAATTTGGGGTAGGTTAATCTTTGCAGTGCACGCAACGTAAACCCAAACAGATAAATAATTTTTCCCCGGTTATATTTCTTTGCTCCTAATGATTACAGATGTTTTATAGCTTGAAACCATCCTCGATAAAGCCCTAACAAACACAAAATGAAGCGCATTGTAACAAAGAAACTCTTCGGCGAAAAATATTTGTATAGATGCAGCAGACGCCGAAAGAACCAAAGGGGGATTCATGATGTGAATGATGTTTCATTCATTCATGTGCTATTAAATATCATACAAAATAGATTACTTCAAGGTCGTTAAAGATAAATTAATTTAACCCAATTCAATCACCCAGAAGTCACGTAAGCTCTTCAACCGAAGCGCAGTCAAATTGTTATCTCGTTCATATAAATACTTCGAGTGGTGTGTTGTAATATCATTCCAAGTTTTAGAAGAAACAAAATGGCGGCCAAGCTTACAATTGTCGTCCTTACCGTCTTTTTGGTTCAGGTATTTTTTCAACTTAAACGTTTTAGTTATTAGGAAATAATCTTGGCGGTGCGTTGAGTCGAAATAAATAAATCTGTGTTTATAGATTTTTTAAAGAAAAAGTCTTGTAACATCCCGGAGGTCGAAGAAGGAACTTTTATATAAATACTTTAACGGCTGAAAACGCGAATATAATTTAATGCTTTTCCTGTTGTGGTCACGGGGAGACGGGACGGGAGACGACACCTTATAGATTAGTATTCGTAATTAGATAATTCGTGATTTAAGATGTGAAAACTTTAATATTTTTTCATGATGGCGTTATATAAATTAAAAATCGACTTTAGACTGAAAAAAATACACATCAGTAGGATGTGTGGGACATGGTAGCTCAATTGAGCTACCATGTCCCATGTTCTAACCAATTGGTTAGAACAACCGTACGAGCACGCCTTCACGTCCTGCCCGTGTCGTAAAATTATTTCTCTCTAAAATCAATTATTTTTTAATTTTTTTTACGTCATTCAATCATTGCAGATGATCTCTGCCCAATGCATTCGACGTGCATCAGGACCTCTCCTCGGCTCCCCAATAACCGCTCCATTCGGAGCTGTTCCTTGGGGACAACCTTCTGCTCCTTGTTCACGTTTTGGCATGGGCATCAATAACTTCGCCGCGTCTCACGGTGGTATCTTGGAGGTGTTCTCATCATCTCCAATTCCAGCTACTGGTGTGTCTGTGTACTCCGAAAACGAGATTCAGGGACGGCTGGCTGTTTCTGGTGAACTTCCGTTCCTGGCTACCGTTGCCGTGGAAGGTCCTTTACCTACTTTTGGATCTGGAGCTGTTGCTTTTAACAGTGGCAATGGGGTTGCCGCCATTACTAGAGAAAACGCTTGTTGATTTGACTAAGTCTGTTATTTAACTCTTGATAAAATAAATTGATATAACATTCCTTAAAGAAGTTAAAGTGTTTTATTTAAATGTGTACTACTCGCGTAAACTACAGACAGTATTATACATACATTTCGGTATAGAGCGAATAATTTTGTAGCTTCTACGACATCGTGTGTGTGTGTTCTATGACAGTCATTGAACGGGCTTGCGGGTCCAATGGTAGCAATATGTAAATAACTAACGTCGTTGGTTCTACTCCCACTGACTCCATGTTCTATGCTTCTAAATAATTTTAAAGGGTTTTCTTTCATAATAATAAAACACTGCTCAGTCACATTAACTACAAATGCAGAGCTACTAAATTACTTTTTAAATCAAAGAATGTTAAATACTGTCTATAGTTTACGCGAGTAGTACACATTTAAATAAAATACCTTAACGGTTTAAAACGCTGCTTTGCAGCAGCCGTGGTCACGGGGAGACGGCTGCAGCAAAGCATCCGAAACGTCGGGCCGAAGTTAAAAATAATTTTCAAATCAGTTTAACTAATATATCGCGTTTTAAACCGTTAAAGTGTTTTATTTAAATCAAAGAATGTTAAAAAATCTCCGACGAAAAATAGTCGATAAATGGATGCATATCATTGTTTTTGGGCTGTTCGGCCGACATGAGCGAGAAGTTCTCGTGATTGCGAAACGTCGAGAATATCTTCTTGCTAACGTCAGCCGAACAGCCCGATAAACAATGGTATGCTGAACGTTGGCCGTGAAAGCCTAACACAATTTAAAAAATGGGTAGTAAGGGTTTCTAAGGAAATTCAGGCTAAAACCGAAAATTTTACGAAGTTTTGAGTTTCAGCTTGATTTTCGACCCTCCAAAGCCAAGTTCGCCGCGTCGTTAAAAACTAGAGATAGGCCGAGTACTCGATTGATACTCGATACTTTCGTACTCGGCGGGTTTTTTGATACTCGTACTCGGCCGAATAACTCGGTTATTTGATAACAAGTATACTTTAAGAAAAGCTAATTATTTATATTTTTAGGTAGATAAAATTAATTGGTAATTTAGGATAGCTTTGAAAATCTCAATTAATAAAATCAAAATTATATTAACGATTGAGTAGTAAAGAGACAAAATTACGAGAAGATGAACCGAGTTACTCGGCCGAGTACTGGGTTGAAAAAAATATTGAGCCGATTATAACTTGGTACTCGTTACTCGGCGCATCTCTATCTGTAAGTCTAAGGAGGACACAAATGTCCAATTGCGTAAACGCATTGAATTGTTTTGATGAGTCAATACAATTAGCAATATTTATCATTTAACTCTTTTCTGGCGAAAGGCATTGTAGTGATAATTATCACGTAAGCATGTTACAAAATTCAGATTACAGTAAACCGTATCTGCGTTATGTAACAAGAGATTTTATGATATGAAATAATTATATATGAAGGTAAAGAAAATAATTATTGCAGTATTTTTTATTTATACGAAGATGTGTCGCACCCTTTTCGTTTGTTTAGTTGCTTGCTTGATTCAGGTAAATTACAAATCATATTTCAGACAACAAATGTACCTATAACTAAACAATGCTTTAACAATTTGTCTGCGTTTAAGTAAGAAAGTACTTAAAAAACGACTAAATGCATCAAAGCATTTGCAAAACAAAGGATCCCAAACATCGGGCATAAAATAACGTAATTATGTTCAATTAATACATTTTGCGTTTTAAACCGTTAAAAGTTGTACTTACGTAAACTACTGACCATACGTAATGACAAATTGACTGATTCTTGCCAAACATAAAAAACGTTTGGCAAAAAGTAAAATAATTTGTAAATAAATTTAACTAATACATTATGCGTTTTAAACCGTTAAAATTAATTCTCGCGTAAACTATAGCCAATACTTCGTGACACATTTCTTTAAACTTAAAAAAAACGGTTGGCCGAAAATGCAACTAGCTGAAAATAAACTTCATTTCAGAATGGATACGGTCAAGCAATACGTCAAACAATGCCGAACTTAGGAATGAACAGTCTCTCAAACAACGCCCTTCTCGCCAACAACATGGCGCTTAGCAACGACATAGCAGCAAGTGGAATTTCTGCCCTTGGAAACGGCATCGCTGGCAATTCTATAGCAGCTAACGCCAACGCAATAAACGCTGCTACTGCAAACGCAGCAGCAATAAATGCCGCTAATTTAAACAACCTTTCTATAGGCGGTCTGCCTATATCTGGCGTTTCTCCGATCGGTTACGGTGATGTCGCTGTTGTTGGTGAGATGCCTGTTGGTGGCTCAACAGCTGTTGTTGGGAACGTACCTGTGATTGGCTATGTGACTTTCGAAGGGAACGTACCAGCTGGCGGGACAGTGACTCTCGCTAGTAACTGTGGCTGCAATGGCGCGCCTTTGTACTGAAAATTTAAATTCTTATTGTATATGATATTCTAATTTATTATAATAATGATATTTAAATAAAATTGGTACGATTTGGAAGATATGTTTTACTTTATTAATATTTGGGTTCTTAAATATGCTTATTTAAGTATTTAGAAGCAACAGCATTTTTATATTTAATCAAAGAGCACAGGCAAATGTTCCTAGAAATTTACATTGTTTGCCAAATCTAAAAATTAATTGTTTTTTTGTGTATAATACAGTATTTCTGTTTTCAAACACATTGTTTGGCAAATTTAAATTAATTGTTTTTTTTGTGTATAATACAGTATTTCTGTTTTTAAACAAATAAGTTTCACTTACGGTATTATTATTTTATACGATACTAGCTGTGCCAGCGACTTCGTCCGCGAGAATCGTTATTTTGGCCATACAAATTCGTTTTTGCAAATCCCTTCATCTTTATAAACGTAAGCTGTTACCCACAACGGCGGACACGTCCCTTCCCGTCGTTCTTGCAAGGTAATCTTAAAAGATAGACATATAGCGTTGCGATCATTTGAAGAGGAATCATTCTTTCATACATATTTTTTTTTGTATCTTGAACCGCTTTTGCAGCGTATGCCTCCAAAACCCACCATGATGAATAATTTTCCCAATTGTTTCACATGTTCTAACCAACACATATATTATTTTAATTCGAACCCGTAGTTCCTGAGATTAGCACGCTCAAACATTATTAGTATGCTTTCTACTCTTCTCTTTCTACTTTATCTCTTCTTACATTAGTATAGATAGCTGTTATCCACGACGTCGTCTGCGTCCCGTCGTTCTTGTGAGTGATTTTAATAGATAGACATGTACCGTTTCGGACATGATTATAGATCTTTTAAAGGCAAATCGTTCCTTTATACATATTCTTTAGGTATGTAGATTGTATAAAGGTTCATTGCGCCTACTAGCCGCAGCGTGAAGTTTTGTGGCATAAAGCCCTTTTGATAAGTGCTCTAACATAAAAACAATTTTGTAGAAGTTTCTGAGATTAGCGCCTTCGGAGAAACTCTCCAACTGTATAATATTAGTACAAATAATTTTCTTATCCAATATTTTATCATATAACATATAGTTTAGCAAATCATTGCTATGTTAATTCGTTGCACTGCACTTGCAACTGTATCTCTAAGTTGTTTTCTTATAAATAAAAAAATTGTCTGCGATAGGTAACACAAAGGACATTGCTAATTAATATAAAACAGAAGTTATAATTGTTTTACATTTAATATTCACTTATTTACATTTGACTAACAATAAATACTTAAACTAAGTTATTCAATAAGATCTCAAACAGTTTCCGGTCGCCTACAACTATAGTTGACAGACGCTGATCCATCTGTTGGAAGATTACCGTTGACAGCAACTGTACCGAATATAGGCATTTGACCAGTGACCGCCACTGTACCGCCGACTTCTAAAGCGTCAGACATCAGCTGTATTCCAAAGCCTGGGCTGTTAGGTGATCCACTAATAACGGTGAAGGCATGTGGCCCTCCATTGCCAAGATTGAATGTTGCCATATTTCCGTTTATACTGGCTAAATTACTCAACGCGTTTGTTCAATCCCAAATTGGGATTTTCGAGGTTAGTTTTTTCCGCATATACATTCCTGTTTAACCAATTTGATTGGAGAGCTCTGGTGTTTGCTATCTCAGCATTGTTGATCTGTGCGTTTGCATATTTGGCATTGGTTAACTCGGCGTTTGCAAACTGTGCATTTGCAAATTTAGCATTTGCTAATTCAGCATTAGCTAACTGTGCTTTGGCAATTTGAGAATTAGCAAATTTGGCGTTTGCTAACTCTGCATTGGTGATTTGAGCATTCGCCAGTCGTGCATTGGCTATTTCAGCGTTTGCTAGCTGTGTGTTCGCGAATTTAGCATTTTCAAGTTCAGCATTAGCCAATTCTGTATTAACAAGTTGAGCATTAGCTAAATTCAAGTTGGTATTAGAATTAAATAGATTATTAATATTACCATACGGTAAGGGTCTGGCTATCGATGCTCTGTTGTTCGCTAATACCGTATTTAAATTATTTTGAGGAATATTGTGTGCGTGCTGGCCTTGGATGACATTAGGGTGTGAATTTCTTGGATTGAACGAAAATACTTGCGCCGTTGATAACTAAAAAAAGACACAGATAATAACTTTTTCTGAATTACTTTGAAAAGCTTATCTCAATTTCTAAATATACACAAAATATACTCTTACCTGTATCAATGTTATACAAAAAGCAAATGTTAAAATCATGTTGAATTCCTCCACAATCAATGACTACGTTTTCAGAATTCTCTCGGTTTTTATACAACGATAATAAGCTTATCATGATATTTGAACGTGACATAACTTAGGCAATTATTTAAGATCTTGATTAATTTAACACGATAAGTGTTTTAAGAAATCAACAAACGGACCTCTGAATCTCGGTAATCAATTTAATGTAAGGGCGTAAAGCAACATAATGGCGTTTATATGTCCTTAATATAATCTCAAGTTTGTAAAAAATATGATAGTCCGTAGCGTACAGTTTTTTTTTTATTAAAATTTGTAGAATTTTGGGTTTGTCCGGCTGCTTTCATAGCTCAATAGTAAAATGCGTTGCCAAGTATTTTATAAAGCAGGAAATTCGTGAGTTCGAATCCCGGGAAAACAGTAATTGTTTTGGTCTGGCATGGCGCAAAAATCTGATCAACTAAGAGATCGTAAATAATCAATCAGTGCTTCGGACACAGTTCAGTAAGTCTTCACTACTTTCTGGGTATCGTACTCCAATGTAAAATAAAACAAATATCGTAACTTAATCTGTATATTGATACAAAACAGATAACCATAAAGCAATAAATATTTTTTAACAACACTTCGCATCTTAAGATATTTGAAGATTCTTTTGTATATACTTGAGAAACTCAAATGCATCCTAAGTTTAATGTATAAGAAAGATAAGAAGATACAGAACAAATAACACAGCTCCCGCTTTATAATATCCCTTATTTATATTATACTCCAATTGCAACCCTAATTTAAAAAAAACTTGTCGCTGATTTAAATAAAACACTTAAAACGGTTTAACTGGCCAAGCCCTTACAAATTACTAACGGCCCCGCCAGCTTCGCCATATACAAACTTCGATGGAAGAGATGGCGCTAGCGTAGCAGTTTTTTACTCTGACGTCAGACACACCCTCCATCTTTAGTGACCACGGCTGCTGCAAAGCATCCGAAACGTCGGGCCGATACTATCGCGTTTTAAACCGTTGTTTATTAAAACATGTAAACTACAGACAGTATTTAACTCATCACTGAGTTAAACAACACTAAGAATAATTAAAACAATATAAACTTTTAAATAATGCTCTTCATTTATTATTATTCCAATTATTACATTCGTTGTTCCAATATAAATTAAATTGCACACAAAATTGTTAGTCAAAACGAAACAAAGATGGCGTAACGCAAATGTCAGTGTCAAAATTCGAACGGAAGTGACGTCATACATTCGAATTACGCCTGCGTTTGTCAGTATCGTGAAATAGAGGAATGTAGGGATTTTCAAATCGATTCTTTTAAATCGATTGCTTAATAAAATGCGATTTTATAAGAGTTGACTAGAAAACGTCTTGAGTATAGAAGTTTTTATGTTAGCGTGGGCGTACCCAGGGGGTGAGGAGGGAGAACTTTTCCGAAACTAAAATAAAACAATTTTCAATGGCAATAACTTACTACGCAACTACTAAAAGATCATTGAAAATACGTTTAAAGGCATTTGTATGCTTACTGGACGTAAAAAATCATAACCAGAGCACCCAAGACAACCCTTTTTTAAGGCGAAAGCTGAGTACGTCCAGGTATATTAGTAATTGATGATTGGGTAAAACGTTAGTGACTTTAACTTTACAGCCTTCAATACAAGAGCGATATCGCAACGCTGGGTATAAAACGCTCCTTCTAAGCAGTTTCTGTCGGTCACATAAAACAATTATATTTCAATCGTACTCTTTAAGTGCTATTAACAAGATTGCATATTTCATAACGAGAGTGTAGTTAAGTAATAAGCCTGAAACTGTGTGAAGGTTGAAACGCCTTAAAACTGGTAAAATCAAGCTATATATATTTTTGTCTCTTTCTAACAAATTTCGTTTACATTGTAAATGAAACAGACAAAACACGATGTACGCTCAAACACATTCATTAAAATGCGAAATCACAAAGCTATGTTCTTTCTCTGTCACTCAAATGTCGTTTAGAATTTAAACAAAAGAGACAAAACATAAAACAATTTCTTCGACTCCACATCGATCAAAGAAAAATTCTTCTGTAAATGTTGTTTACAGGTTTTTCTCTATTTTTCCTTAATTCATTCATATATTAAATATTGACTATTTCGTATGATATAGCGTTTCAACCTTCTATTATATACGTCTAAAGCTAAATCTACATCTAAGAAGATTCAGAAGACCTTAAAAATTAAATATAAGTTAACAAATAAATAATAAGCCCCTAATGTGATTTTATGCGATTACATGAAATGCTGTTGATATTTGCAAGTACAGTATGTAATAGTACCGGGTTTGAATACCGGAAAGCATTTTATTTCCAAACTAAGAAATTTATAAAAGGTAACTCGAAGTATTTGGAACACGCGCGGTCTATTTTTGTATCAAATCGTTTTGTTATTAGAAATATCGTTTATAGTTAAATTCTTTAGTTTTAGACAAGGATAAGTCGTAAGATAAAGAAATTTATGTATCGTAACAGAAGACACGGATCTTGGCAGTCTGATTTTTTGCGATTAGAAAATTTGATATTACGTAGAAGTTGAACGTGGCAATTAGACAGTGCTGACATATAGAATCCGTGTTTTCTATACAGCCTACATAGTCGGAACAGAAAGTGTCTACGAGTTAACATGAGTAAATTAATAGTTAGTTCTTTTATAGTTTCATATTCATAAATATACATTAAATTGGCTTCTCTCATTAAATTTACTTAATATATTGTAATTATTTTTAATAGGTGTACAACAACTCGGTAGACACTTTCTGCATTAAACTCTACATTTATCTAGTGGTGATATAACTACAATATTATAGTGATTGAAAATAACTGAAATTTTTGATAGCTTTACAAGTCAGAGTATACAATAATAAAAAAAGACTGCTTACGGAAAGTTTAAGACCGATTTCCGAAAATCTATACCGAAAGCAGTCTTTTAAAGATATAGAAATGAACTTTTTAACTAGCAATTTATCTCCTTAAATACAAAAGGCACATAATTTTACAGTTAATAAAACTATCGAACATATACACAAAAAAAAAACAATAAATTAATAAAATTCGACCGATTACGCTAGAATCAAAACCTTTTTACATTTTTAAACATATGTGCATCAATTTTATAACCGATTCTCGAGAATTGATATTCGATTTTCACCAAAAGTTAGATATTTACTGTCTTCAAAAATATAGAAGAAGAATTGATAAACAAAACATAAGTTTGGTTCGCGAAAACGCGTTTTAATACTAGATCTTTTTCCCAATTCTTATTTTTTCTTGGCAGTTTAATTCGCTTTATTTTCTAACTGCTGGCTATAAACCTATTTATTGCTATTTAAATATAATTATTGCCATATTTTTCCCATAGCAACATTTCAGCATTTTGGCTTAAGAACCGTTTAACCCGGCGTAAATCCACACTTTCGATCATATCACTTGTAAACTCATCTTAGCAATCGAGATATCGATTCGTAATCGAGTAGCGCAATCGAATAAGTAATAATCGATCAGTCTTGTTTCTTGTCGGCTTCAGATTTCGGTTCCTCTTCCGTTGCGGAGGGGGGCCGATCCGATTCAACTTTTCCTGAAATTCAATATTTACAACATCACTTTTCGAAAATTTCTATTTATCATATTAGGGACAACAATATGGTTTTAAATGAAATAACGCTTACAGGTCACATCTTGCGCACGATACTGTCGATGTTAAGCAAAAAGTCGAGACCCCCCCGCACCCACACACCCCTCTTGTAATAACTGATACCTGCTTTTTGCGTTCTTCATAACAATCCGCGCTAACTTCCCAAGCCCAGCCAAAAAGTTTGGTGAGCACTATACTACTGTATGGCATGGGACGAATACACATTCGTATCTGTTTCAATTACATCTGTGCCCTTCCCGATCAAAATAATATATTCACCTCGTCTAGTTGAAGCTACTACGTAATATCGTCGCTAAAAGAAATTCTTTGATCAGAACAAAAATTTACATACCTATCTCCGCCGGGTAATCGTCTTTCTCTTCCTCGCTCTCCGTTCCAGAACTCGCCAGGGACGAGTCATCTCCACCACCTGGGACTTCTCGAAACAGGGAGATCAATTAGTGAATATGGCAGGATATTAAAGTTGTCAAACTAAATATAATGAATTTTTCTAACTTGGCAAAATACCACACTCATATGGCCGACTTCAAATCATAGAGAACTGTGATGTCCTTTTATAGAGTGAAGTGTTGCCATAGATGACACAGGAATAAATAATGAGGTCGTTTTGGACCATGTTAATTCGGATTCGGAAAAACCAGATTCTCGCTTTTAGGACAACAAACGACCTAAATATTTAAAATCATTTTTATGGCGTCATTTTTTATATTTTATTTCATTATTATTTAAATCGACGTTTGTAAAGCTTTTCAGATCGTGCATGAGTGGGACTTCTACCTTCTATTATCGTTGACTTTGCTTACATTCCATCCTTATGTAAATGTACATTCATTTGTAGGATTTTTATTAATTTTAGCATGATATTGTAGTTTTTACTAAGTGAATTTGATTGTTCATTTGTTTAATACAATCCAATGTCTCAAAGGGTGTGCTTAGAAAACAGCTCATGTAAATTGTATGATTGTCTACCAAATATGCCAAGTTAGAAAAAATACATTACACATTATTGGATATTTCGCTGACGAGGATCTGGTGATATGCTACAGTACTAACACCTAGACCGAAAGGGCAGTTACATCATTACATTGAATACGTTTCTTTTAATCTCACATGGGTGCAGCTATTGCATATGCTACAAGTTCTCTTACCGAGCGATATATTGTTCGTATAAGTGAGCGCTGGAGGGGAAGTCAGCGCAGGCGCAGCGGGCCGTTGCTTCCGCGCCGGATTCAATTTACCGCAATACGCGCACTTGTAAGACACATAGTCGAATTCCTCGATCATGGCCATACCTGGAAACCAGAAAATTTAGATTCAGTTTTTATAAATTCAGTATTTTCATATAAAAAGACAAATTTTAAATACAAAAAAAGATACGACTTCGAATTTCATGAAAGACCATAATCATGTCCTTATATTTTTGACTTATACTTATTGTATATATAAAACTCAATAAAACTAACTTCAATAAATACTAAGTAAAATGATTGACTCCAAAAGGTATAATGCTCGTTATAAATAGCGACGGGGATCTTTAGCGCTGAACGAATCTTGCGCAGAAGTCAAAAATAAGGTATCGAAAGGACGGAAGCGGATGCGGGGCGACTGAACGTCATGTGCGCTAGCATTGATAAATTCCCCAGTCGTGTTGTCTTTCTCGGACCAATACGACACTCGGCTTGCTTCTTGAGTACGGTCACTTTTTCAATCCATTGCACAGATGAACTATCCCCCTAGATTTACCCTAGATAGTCAAAGTAAAGTTATGACGTATTCTAATAAATAATACGGAGTTGAAACTCACCATTGTGTGAGAAGCACTCTGAACAAATTAACGCCATTCGATAGTTAGGTCCGTCTTTGAGCAAGTAGTCCACGACTTTATCCAACGCAGATTTGTTGGCATCCGGCAGAGGGCGCGGTAGTTGATCCGACTGGAAAAAAAACAAAAAAAGAAAACAAAGACTTTAATAAATACTGTCTATAGTTTACGCATTATACTATTCGTACGCTTATGGCCATTTTGTAATTTCACGCACAGATGATCGGGTTCCTCGCTGTTACATTAAAACAAGATGTCAATTTGTCTTAAGCTAACAGCGTATTTGTATAATGTCCGCCGTCAAGTCGATTAGTAGTTTATGCATTTGCTCCACGTAATTTTCCTCCAGAGCAATCCGTCCTTAACAGAACCAACGATAAGATCGCACGCCGCTTTAAAACCAAAACCCTCAGAACACTGTAGCTGTTGAGTTACTTCGTTCCACCTCTATTTTAAAGACTCCACCTGGGTTCCTTAGGTTTCCCCCAAACAGTCCACTACCTTAGTCCCTTATCATAGATCGTAATAGTATTTTTTTTTTTTAAATTAAAGTATCACTCACCCGTAACCGGGTCCCATTGAACACCGTCCCTGGAGTAATTGGAACAAGGTTCAGATTCCTGTTATTCGGGGTCGACGTGACCATCGCTACCTGCCTTTGCCTCAGCTGAGCTGGGGTAGCTGGAAACGAGAGGAAAATAATATTAATGAGACCCAAATAAATATAATCTGTAATTAAAAAAGTATGTCTATAATTAAAGTTATACATACTTTTCGGTAAGATTTAATGTTAGATATAGATTTTGTAGGTTTGATTACGTACTCTAGTTCGTCCTTTTACAATTTTTTTATGACACCGGCGGGTCTCGATCTTACAACCATAATAGCTACAATTAAACAAGGTGCGAGTCGACCTAGACTTTGGATATTCAGAAATCCACAGACTGTAACCGAAACGCAATCGACGGCAATTTTTCATCCGCGACGGTGACCCGGACGGAATTTCGATATCCCACCAATTTAACATCCAGAGGTCCAGACAAAGTCCAACAAGTTATAGAGTAATTAAAACTTTATAAGAAGCACATTAGACCCGGTGGGAATCGGACCCACGACCCGATTATTATTAATTTATAAGCCCTAATGCCATTACACCAAGGAATACGTGGAGTTAATTTGGTGAAAGCTGAAACACTTACATGAAAATATTTCTAAACTTATTTCAAATTTAAATAAAACACTTTAACGGTTTAAAACGCGATATATTAGTTAAACTTATTTGGAATGATTTTTAACTTCGGCCCGACGTTTCGGATGCTTTGCAGCAGCCGTGGTCACGGGGAGAGACTAAAGATGGAGGATGTCTCTGACGTCAAAGTAAAAAATTGCTACGCTAGCGCCATCTGTTCCGTCGAAGTTGGTATTTGGCGAAACGTCGGGCCGAAGTTAAAAATCATTTCCAAATAAGTTTAACTAATTTATCGCGTTTTAAACCGTTAAAGTGTTTTATTTAAATGTGTACTACTCGCGTAAAACTATAGACAGTATTTATCTCAAATTGTATTCTTCTATAAGTTGGCTAAGGGAAGCTTTATTTTTGCCCTTACTATTGTATAACATAGAACTTGAACAATCAGTAAAGTATGACATTTGGATTAGTATTTAGATTATCTGTGGATTGTCAGTATCTAAGTGTCAGTAAGCTATAACAAGTTTAATTGTTTAAGATTATTGGAGTAATCTTAAAAGAAATACAGGACTTTCAATTAATATTGTTGCTGTTTTCATAAAATTTGTTTCTTCCCCCTAAAGAACAAGAATCAATATTAGTTTGAGTGAGTTTATATTTATCTACGCTTGCGTTGAACTTCTTTCAATTGAATCATATCTAGACACTTAAAAAAAATTTTGTTACCGGACTTACAACGCGACATACATCAGTCAATTTATTTAATTACGGCCCGACGTTTCCGGATGCTTTGACATCCCTGGCCACAGGAGACAAACCAAGGCACCCAAAATGTCGTCCTTAATAAAAATTACTAACTGATTTATTTCGCGTTTTAAACCGCCTAAAGTTTTTCAATTAAATGCGTACTAGACGTGTACACTACTCACATTAGCTCTAGCTTGCTTTTAATATATGAAACAAATTCTATACCGTCCACTCGATGACTCGGTAGCTCAATTGGTAGAGCAACAGCACGGAACGCTGACGATGCCGGTTCAAGTACTGCCCGAGTCGAAATCTTTTTCAATATATTTTCGATTTTTAAATGAAATCGTTCACTTAGCCAACTTAATTGTACCGTAAAATAATTACAAGGAGTGCTGGGTGTCACCGATGGTGGAACAAACGGCTTCAAGGCTTTAGACTGCTCCTCCGGCGTTCCGTACTTGTCCAGTATTTCTTTCGCGACCTGCAATGTATACACTCGTATGACGCACATTATTTTACCCACAAATGACGTCAACGAATTTTAACATATTGTGCGTTGGCGCAGTGGATATAAAGCACTACTTTATTTATATATATAAAAAAATCTATTTTGGATTTTACGTTATTTGTTGACGAGTTAAAAAAATAAATAGTTATTCATGTAGTAAAGTGTGTCTATCAATAAATAATAACTATAATAACTACCAACCTACAATTTTATTTTAACTATCATTGGCTTTTAAACACTTTAACTGTTTTAAACGCGAAACATATTTTCAAACTCATTTTTATTTATATTAACTACGGCCCGACGTTTGGGATGCTTTGTTTTGTCGGCTCCCGCGCTCGTCGGCCATAGTTTAAATAAATTAATAATGAGTTAAGTAATCTATTTTGCGTTTTAATCTGTTAAAAATGTTTAATTTCATTAGAGTCCTTACCTAATTTCCCGTAAAGTATGCAAACGTTTTCCTTTAATACTTCATGATAAATAGGATGTTGTACCTTTTTATGATAGCGCTAAGGATACAATCATACATGTTGTAATTTACCTTATAAGTCTCAGTATTCATTACATCTTCTAGAATCTTCTTTTTCTCCTCGCGCATCTTGGACAACTTCGCCCTGTTCTTGTTCAGTGTCCAATTATAGTATGTGGATATTGCAGACCGGAGGAATATAACTCTGAAAGATTAGATGTGGCTAATCTTAGGTTGAGGTAAAACTAAAAACCAAGTTTCTCTAACTAAATAATCCGTGCCAAAGACTTCATAAGGAGTTGAGTAAAAAAAAAACCCAATAACCCCTCTTAAAAAAGCGACGTAGCGGGGAAATGTGAACAGCAAGGAAAATGAATCATCTTTGCTGGCCATCCGTTGCGAGCGCTGCGAAACGGATCAAGTTACCCTAAAAATATGGATAAAATAATGGTTCTTTACAAAGAAATTCTGTCTTTGAAGATTGACTTAAAATAACGGTCAATTTTTGATCAAGATATTTCATATGGCAAATATCCGATTGCCAGGTCAGCTTGTAAATAATTAAACCGTTAAAACACGTGTGCAATATTTATAAACAAAAATAACCTATTAGATACGAAGACTTAACTAAGTATTATGTTTCGTGTAACGCTAAGATTATTTTACAAAACAATGTAACGTCGTATGTACGTACATCAAGGTTATTGTTTCATCGTATTGGAATTGATTTAATTTAAAGATTTCATTAAAAAAATGGTAAAAGGCACGAAAGATTTCTTCTAGTTCTGGATTTAACGGTTTAAAATGCGATATATATTAGTTAAAGTTATTTGAAAATTATCTTAACTACAGCCCGTCGCTTCGGATGCTTTGCTTTGACGGATTCGTCATAGAGTAACATAATTTTTAGACTACAATTATTACAATGCAAGGGCGATAAACATAAGTGTTCACTTCAGCCGTAGCAGCTAGGAAGGTGCGCGGTCGGCGTATTTTGACTTTAGACATAGGTAATCCCTCATTTACGCAACAAAGTACGAGTATATAACAGTTCTGTTTTTAATTTGTGTGCAGAGTCGACTCGTGCAGGAACTATGATTTAATATCGAAGATTAACTAATGATATCACTAGGATATTTATAGTCCATTCAAAACAAGAATTCAAGGATAAATTAAAAATCCACCTTCATGACCACATTCACAGCATTCTATGCTGTTTCTCTATCAATTGAGCTTCAGTTATTTTATTGATATGAAAATAATACGGTTTTCAAGAATTAAAAGAAACAAAAATAATTAAAAACAAATTGTTATATCACATTAAAACGCGACAGAATATATGAGTTATGTTATTTTTGAAATGGCATTTCATACATGTTTTACAGCTGCCTCGGTCACGGGGAAACATATGAAGCGTCGGGTCTTTTATTTTTACTTTCAACCCAACGTTAAGCGCACGCCTTGCAGCATCCGTGATCACGAGAGAGCTGTCCAAGCGTCGGTTCGTAGTAGGGTTATATATTTCCCGTTTTACCGTTTTAATTACCAGTTAAACCACAGACTAATTTTTATCATTAACGTGGATTTCTTTGCAAACAAATCGTACTGTGATTGTTACGTTCAAAGTAGGTAAGAAAATGTTATGTCTAGACATAGTGAAAGTTATTGGAACAATTCTCGCTTTTACAGTAGAATCTAGATTGAGTCGTTTCTAAACCTAGGGCGGGTATGGCCTGGATTACATCTAGTTGCTTAATAGCCATTGTAAGTTCTATTCCTAAAGGGTTAAAAGTAATAATCCTTTATGTAATTAAGATATCAAGATTTATTAAAACGAGATGACCGCGTTCAAACAAAGTAACTCTTCAGCTTTATAATATATCTATACAATAGACCTGAGATTCAACAGCATCACATTTGTAACTTAAAATTAAGCCGTTTCGAGTCTATGAGTCTATAGTTACCAACCTAGACTGAAAATTTCATTAGAACCCGTAGGGAGTATACGCGCAAAGTTTAGTTAATAATATTTAATTCCAAGCCTTGCCCGTGATCGAGTAACACACATATGAGCTCTATTTTTTTAAGAATACAATTGAAATTCACTTACAATACTGGCAGCAAGAGCAGCGGCGATGCATACATGAGCGAATGCGCCCAGTACTGACTCTTGCCCGCGTATATGAAGTAGTAGAGCAGCGCGAACAGCACGTACAGTCCCACCGAGTTGACCATGATCATCCCGATGACCCGTTTGTGTGTCTGTTCCTTGTATTCGCCATCCTTTTCTATGCTTTTAATTTTCGTCTCCAGTTCCTCGAGGATGTCCTTCGTCGTTCTCTTGCGCTGGAGAAGAAAATTATTATAAGAGAACTGATTTTGCCGTATTTATAATGATCGATCTTTACTAGAACCGAAGATCGTGATACAACTTGTATTTCTGCCAATACTTACACACTTTTAACAGTTTAAAACGATAAATTTATTAGCTAACTTATTTACAATATCTTTTACGTTATTCCGACGTTTCGCTGCCGCTGTGGTGGTGAAGATGGAGGTTGTCCCTTATGTCAAAGTATAATGTGCTACGCTAGCGCCATCTATTTCCTAGTAAGCTACTGGTAGATTGATGGTCACCAATGTTGGGCCATAGTTGAAATAGGTCTATTTTTAATAAGTTACCATTTCGCGTTTCAAACCGCGTATAAAAGTGTGTTATTTAAACGATACTGTCATCGATTTATCTGTTAGATTTTTTTAATGTCCGAGGATGGAAAGAGTCAAGGATGGAGTTTCTGCTCTTGAAACGAAGATCCAAGAAACATGATTAAGATGGGGGTGTCGACCATTTTTAAATTTGGGCATTACATATTTGGAAATCCGCAACAGTGGTCTGTGACCTAGACGAAATTTTGATATCATTAACAGTCCAGAAGAAACATGTTGAGCCCTATAGGATCCGAACCTACTGTCCATTAGTGCACATACATTGCCATCACTGAACCATCAGCCCCGTCAGAGGGTAAGCAGAACTTGCCACTTTGACTGTGAAACTGTAAATATAATTGACCTTAAGCGAAATGTTATATATATATTATTTACGCTGTGAAGGTAAAAATGTTGCGTTCGTTTGTTTTTTATACACTAAAAGTTCAAAACAAACTCAAGGACTCCCAATGTCTTGCAAAATAATTTATTACAATTAAAATAATAATGATTCTTCAATTTAGCGCATATACATTTTATGAGTGACTTTCAAACGGCTCGAGGAATAAAAGGCCAAAATGTAGGCCAGCGTCAAATGAAAGTCAAAACGTAACGAACCGTAAACGTAGATATCATTTCAAATAATACGAGTTTCAGGTTTCGACTTGAGGTTTCTGGCTTAGAGATTTGTAATTTAGCTGAGACAATATAAGCTTAGTTTAAAGCGGTTTTTTTTATGATTGATGATGAGGAGGACAGACATGCAAAACGTTTACTTGCTGGAAGGTGAAATCTATAAAATGCTTATTTTGGCTTTGGATATTCGGAAATGTTGGTTTAATACTATTATGGTTGGTTTGTCTAATACTATATGTAACAGAAGTAAAAATTAAGGATTTGGTAGTTTGGTCTGCTATAATTCCTGTCCAAGGCATAAAATAATTACTTTTAACTTCAGATTAGTAAATTGCATTTTAATTTGCCAATTACCTAGGTAGTAATAATAAGATTCTGCAAGCAAACCGGAAGGTTTGAAGGGGACACGGGAAGAGTTGGATGACCCAAATCTCTGCAAGGAGGAAATGGGGAAATGGGTGAAATGGTCAGCAGACAACGTGGACTGATCACCCGTCCTGCCAAGGGTGTCCCCGATAGAAAATAATAATAATAATGTTGAAATTTAAAAATAATGTTTTTTTTTTCATTAAGTATATGTCAAAATGCCCTGAATGAACTTAATGAGTAATATTTCTACCCCCCTTCCTCCATTAAATGATATAATTTATGTTATTTTCTCTGGTGTTAATATATAGATACCTTCACTATTTTTTATTGACTGTATGTATGTTTTTACATTGTCCTTTCAAGCACCTTAAACATCAGGTGACAGTTTAACTAAACTTACTATTTAAATAAAACACTTTAACGGTTTAAAACGCGATATAAATCGTTAAAGTGTTTTATTTAAATTGTACCACTCGCGTAAACTATAGACAGTATTTAAACTTACTATTTTATTATATGATTCATTCAAGACAAAATAGTCTTGTGCATGCAAAGTAACTAATATTATAAAGAGGGCTGATTTGTATATGTGTTTGTTTGTAATTAATTAAACTTAAAAACTAGTGACGATTTCAATATTTCTTTTAACATTAGAAAGCTACATTCATGAGTAATTATTAATGATAGAATAAAGTAAATGTATGTTAAAGAACTCATCAATAAATACACAAATTGTTATATTAAAAAGCCTTTTCGAAACTTTAGGTGAGAAAGTTTGCTAAAGTAAACATATAACATATAGTATGTAAGATCTCTATATGAAAAGATTTTTATTTCTTTCCCATACTTTTATATTGATAAGTGCGTGTGAAAGTTATATGTTATAAGATAATACAGATTATTGTTAAACAAGATTATTTACATTCCTGTGAAACATTCTTCCATCAAATCAGATTAGAGTACAATAAACTTTGGACAGAATAATATATGCTTTGATAAGACATATTAAACATTCAATTTTATACAATATTTAGGGAAGCTTAAAAAAAGTATTTGTTTTGGAGTCTGAGACACATCTACGTATGTGTTTTAAATGTTTCGAGCAGTGTGTCATGCAATTTCAAAATAACAGTACTTAAATATATATATTTCACACAATACAATACTTACCGTTTTAAAACATACGTAAGTGACAAATACAACGTAAATTAAGGTCAGAATCGTCTTACAGAATTAATTAACATAAACTTCAGGAATTACTTGGACAATGGCATTATTATACGTCAATTATTGAATAATTGGTTTATAAACATTCCTTAATGTTATAATACATGTTGTTATATAAATAAATTGATACTTGTGTAATCTTTATAATAATAATAAATATTGCTGACTCATCTACCTAGCTATCAGTTCACATTCACTTTTTATTTATTTATAAGTATAATTTAAACCTGTGAATTGCCAAATATCCAAAACCTAAAAAGGCTATCAGCACATGTCTGTTGTCTCTATCGAAAAAAAAATAATAAAATTAGTCATCCTACATCACATTAGCTACCTCTGTACCTTACTTAGCTTAGGATTTCTACATATCTGTTTGTTATTGATCTAAGTTGCTATTAATTGATCAGACTTTTGTGCCTAGCTGATTAAAGCAATTTAATGTTAATTAGATTAGAATTAATGATCGTAGGTTTAAAACCCATTTCTAGCTCTTTAACGCTATTATTATATTCTTGCGGGGACACTAATAGAAGGCCAAGTGCTCAGTTATTGACCATTTTATCTATTTCCCCCTTCTACCTAGGCGGATGATCTTTGATGCTATGGCTTTGCAATATTTTATTCTGTAATCTACAAAACGTTCAATAATACCCTGAGGGATAATTAAATTAATTGTCGAGATTAAATGCTGCATTCAAGATAACTACAAAAAATAACAATAGGAAACCAAGCTTCAGCGTTCATGAACGCAAATTTTTTGAAAAATATTATAAAACCAATAGGAATCGAATATATAGTTAGATAACGCAGGATTAAGAATTTTGGGTTTTCATTAGGGTTTTTGATGAGCTAAACTTTAATTTATTTTCGTATTCAATAACCCTTCTTAGATTATCGTAATATCTAATAGGTCAAGCGGTACGTTTGAATTCGCGCCAAATAAACAGCATTATAGAAATAGTTTTTGGCTACGTTACAAAACATAAGGTAGGTAATAGTACAAATACTTACGCGAAATCTTGATATAATAAGACCCATATTTAACGCTTATAACGACGAAAAGAACCGCCACTGGCACTATATAGAACTGACTCGCAGTTCTACAAGAATCGCTTTTTTTCTCGAATTATAATACTCTATTTTTATAACCTACAAAGTTTGAAAGCCGAAAGATACGAAGGCATCTTGGGTAGGTTTTAAACTTCTAAGGTAGCACTTATTCTAGTTGTTCGATTATTTTTGTTAAAATTAAATACTTCAAGAAACGGCCGTAACTCGAAGCCGAAACAAATACGACGCGATTACAAATTAAAATTTGATAGTAGTTATTAGTGACGTAAGCGTAAATCTTTGATCTGTCATCAACGACTCGATCATCTATAACAGGATGCTGAACAATCGATTCTTACAAGTAATGTCTCTAGTAGAATCATAGCATAAATTTACTTGTACACCAATAACTTTTTAAAGCATTTTTCGTATTATGTTTAACTTATTTTCATATCGTCGGAAGAAACAGCGCTGTGTTTTTGTTAATCATATTTCGTAGAGACATCGATTGTAAATTGAATCGATACACTTTATAGTTTTAAAGACAACCCCAGACTTTGACATTACTTTGAATACTGACATTTTTTAGTTATTTGTCAGTGATGTGTTAATGAGATCTGTCAGAAATTTTTAAGTATAATCTATGTTATTTTGAAAGAAATATATAATATTATGAATCATGACTATTCAATTTGCATTTAATAACCCATTGGTTAAGAAAACCTTTCGGTATAAAAAATACTTTGTTTGTTACACATTATTATTGTTGAAGATTGAAATAGCTACAGTAAATGCCTAGTAAATTGGAAATATAATTAAAAAAAACAACTGATACATTGTAATATGTAATTTAATGTTACATGGTTATATATAATATTAGAAATACATTTATATATTTAACAGTGTTGCCAATTATCATTGTTTATTTCCCTAAAACAATCCAAATTTCGAACACTTCGATTCTCTTTGCCAATCTGTCTACCATCAGAGTCCACACATCTGCAAAGCCCTCTATGACACTGTATTCTCCTAAAATTGCCGTTCCTGCAACATATCGGTCGCGATGTCGAAGAACTCATAAGCGATGCGGTTACGGCGCATTCTGTAATAAATAAAAAGAAATTAATAATTTACTCCGCTAGATGCGGTAACTGCAATTTTACGAGTTGAGGTATTTCGATTTTTGTAGTCTAAAAATGTTAATCAAATCTTGTCTCAATGATAATGCAATCCGGCAAATATTATACGCGTAGACTTCGATACTTATAATAAATAGTTAAGGCATTTGTCAACTTATTTATTTTTTTTTTAAATTTCTTTTTTTTTTTAAAAAAAAACCACCAAAAAAAACCCAAAAAAAGGGAAAAACCTTTTGGTTAACTTTTAAAAAAAAGGGGGCCCTCCCCCCAACACGGCCCCCCCCCCCCCCCCCCCGGAGGGGGGGAAAAAAAAAAAAATTTGGGGGGGGGGGGGGGGGGAAAAAAAAAAAAAAAAACCCCCCCCCCCGAAAAAAAACCCCCCCCGGGGGGGGGAAAACCCCCCCCCCCCCCCCCCCCCCCCCCCCCCCCCCTTTAAAAGGGGAAAAAAAAACCCCCCCCCCCCCCCCACAAAAGGGGGGGGGGGGGGGGGGTTTTTGGGGGGGGGGGGGGGGGGGGGCCGGGCGGGGGGGCCGCGGGGGGGGGGGGGGGGGGGGGGGGGGGGGGGGGGGGGGTGAAGGGGGGAGGGGGAAAAACCCCGCGCGCGGGGGGGGGGGGGGGGGGGGGGGGGGGGAGGAAAATCCCTTTTTTTTGGGGGGGGGGGGGGGGGGGGGGGGGGGGGGGGGGGGGGGGGGGGGGGGGGGGGGGGGGGGGGGGGGGGGGGGGGGGGGGGGCCCCCCCCCCCCCCCCCCCCCCCCCCCCCGCCGGGGTCGGGGGGGGGCCCCCGACCCCCCGGCCCCCCCCCCCCCCCCCCCCCCCCCCCCCCCCCCGCGGGGGTGGGGTGGGTTTTTTTTTTTTTTTTTTTGGTGGGGGGGGGGGGGGGGGGGGGGGGAGTGAAACTTACTGCAGTCCATAGAATTATACTCCGTGGTACCAGGGTCAGCGATGTAGGTCCCAATTCGTTGCAAACGCTCATTTACACATATTTTACTGAAATAAATAATTTAGCAATTAGTAGGAAGGTAATTCCTTCATTAGTATGGTAATCAACAATCTCAGTCATATTATTTTTCTGGTTCTGTATAAGTAAATTTTTACTGGCTTTGATAAAAAAAAGAAAGAATGAGTAGTATAAATTAGAATTATTCACTCATAACAAAAGCTTGAAATTTACAAATGTAAAAATCAATGAACATAGCTGTAGTAATAAAAAATAGAAGACTATTGTTTGTTGGTCGTAGCTTCAACAACCGGCTGTAAAGTCGATTCTTTAATAAAAGTAGGATTTTTTTTTCAGAGTACTTTCCTATCGCGACATTTTTTTACTGCATTATTTAATGCACTTTAATATACAAAATAATCGAAAATTACCTCCCATTAACCAATCTTCCTATTCTGCCAGTGCTGCCATCTGGCAAACACTCCATTCCATCGAACGTGTTAAAATAGTCCATTATAAATCCTCCTCTGAGCCCACCTTCAATTATTTTCTTCTTCTGCTCAATATTCTTGTAGCATGGAGTCATCATGTTATATGGGGGGTCGCCCTCTGACAGTTGAGGGAATAGGTCCAACTCTTTATCATCTATAAGGGAATAAGAAATTAACAGCTGAAACTTATTTATAGCTGTATCGGTATTTAAATACAGCGATGTGCTGCAGTTATGTTGCGAAGATGAAATCTACATTACAAAAATTCCCGTTGAATTTTAATTTAAAACCGCTCCCATCAATCCTAGGTAGCTGTACAAGGAAAGGGTGCTGGCTTACTGTAGGTACTCTATTTTGCACATAGCTACACCATTCCCGATAACGCATATCCCCCCTCTCCCCAGACCCCAGGCATCTACAGCACGCTTCCACAGCATGCATCCTTCCATATAAAAAAAAATATCATACTTCTCACTTTCCACCAGTTTTAGTCTATTTTCACCAATGAATAAGATTGGTGAATACCAAAGCATTCACAGCACTCAGAGGGTAGTTTCACATAAAATTATTAACTTACAACAACTCAACCGCGTAATAGGCTGTCTCGTCAAATTGATCTCCTCTGAACCGGTTCTTCGACCCGTAATCCTATTCACGCAAAAACATCTATTATCTAAACATTGCACAGGGTTGAAATTCCCGTCCCCTGTGCAGGCTGGCCCTGCTACAGGATACGGGACGTTTCGATCGATTAAGCTTTTCACTTTGTCATTGAAGCGAGAACAACCTGAAAACATTTTATAAAACTTAATCTAAAAACTTTATATATTTTTATTGCTCATGATGGCACTATATAATTTAAAATTGAGCTACCGAGTCCATTGGTAGAGCAACAGCACTGAACGCTGACGATGTCGGTTCAAGTCCTACCCGAGTCGATTTTTTTCCAATTGATTTTCGATTTTTAAGCTTAGTCTACTAATAGTTGACTACCAAGACAATGGATAAACATGATTCATTTAGAATGAGAGGGGAAATACATTGTTTCGGTTGGTAAGAGCACAAAACTCCGATCAAGTACTTACCTGTAAATAAAATCAATCATGGAAACGATATATGTTCGCCCCATACCCCATAGTTTTACTTATGAGGCTCTGAGACTTTGTCTACAAATAGATAGTAGTGGAATTACATATTTTTTAGAAATAAAGTTCTCGTTTGAGGAGATAACGTCAGATTGGCGGTGTAACGCGTTACATAGTAACAAAGCTGTTTCCCATGAGGAGTTTGTTTAATAAAGAAATATTTGACGGGTGGGGATCCACCCTATGACCCGCAAATTTCCTAAATTGTTACAACAGGGGTTAGTTACAAAAGGAACTATTACAATTTCCTCGTTATAGTTCCCTAAAAATAATAACAATTACACACCACATGGCATATTCTGCAACGGTCCCGTATACAAGACTTCTCCAAACAGCCTCTTCCCTTCAACTGATTGGCAGAAACAACTGAAAGAAGAAGAAAACACATTGTCTGTAGTTTACGCTAATAATACACATTTAAATAAAACACTTTTTAAGGGTTGACCTGTGACCATAGCTAACATAGTTAAAATAGATTGTAAATATATATACTGATACCTTTTGCGTTTTAAACCGTTAAGAAGTGTTTTATTCAACTACAAAGAAAGTACAGTCGTCCTGGGGACGTAAGCATATGGGAGTTGTGGCCTGTGGGTAATTACATCTGTTTGTCAATATTTGACTATATTCGGACAGTTATCATTATAAAGAGTTACTGTTATATGAAGTGAATATTAATATTTTTTTTTTAACAATTTTTGATCTTTTTTATGGGTTTGGGCGGGAAAAAAGATTCTAAAAATTAACTAGCACTTCAAGTTTCAAGATTGTGAACTTGTCTAAGCGCAACAATTAGACTGTTTTCGATGCAACTTACGGCCGGAGATTGATTAAGATTTATGATATTTTACTGGCTAAGGAAATAATAATTTAATGTTTAAATGCTTTTGCTCCTAAGTAAGGTAAATATGTTTGTGCAATAAAGAGTTTTTATTTTGATTTCTTACGTCTGCGAAGGGACGCATTCGAACGCCGCATACTTTCCTTTTTCATCACAAAATGGCCGCCTCTCGAACGCGCCAATTTCGTTCCGACCAAACCGAGTGTCATATTGATCTTGGGCGTCATGACAGGGTGTTTTCACTGAAATTTAGAGAAAAGTGCTTGAGAGGAAATGTTGTTAGCAGTTAGACAGTTTTTTGTAGATATATAATGGAAAATTGAGATGACCACAGATAAAAATAAACTTATATTAAGCAATGTCTTTTAGAATTAAAGTCTGAATGCAATTTTAATGTAGGTATTGCTGTTTGGTATGGAAATAAAGCAAAATTAATTTTAATACGTATTCATATTCGATTCGATTCGACGTAAATTCAATTTATAACCGATTTTAAGTTGTAGACCGATTTAGGCACGAGTTGCACCAAGTGTTTAGGTTTGTATTTGTTGTCATAAATGTTATAGCGTCCTTACTTCTTACACATGTTCTAGTAGAGTTGCTACAGGTAAGTCCGTGGCCACATCTCCCGATGGTAATCCCATCTCCTGGACCTCCCAAACTGCATTCATCATTACGCCCTGAAAAATAATAAGGTAATCTTATTTACAAACAACATTATCTATTTAGACTTCTATACTAATATATAAAACTAAAGAGTTTGTTTATTTGTTTGAACGCGCTAATCTCGGGAACTACTGGTACGAATTGATAAATTAATTTTGTGTTTGCTCTATAAGCTTAACATTTATCGAGGAAGGCTGTAAAACATCGCACTGCGAATAATAGAAGCGAAGATAAAACCGGGAAGGATTATTTATGTTTGAGGACTTCGGTTGATGTGCATTGCTAAACATTTCAGAAACCAAAAAAATAAATATGATAAGAATGATTCCTCTTTAAGGTTTCTAAAGAAATGTCCTGTCTTTTATCTATCTCTAACCAATAGCTAACTCTACCATGGTTACATAACTTCGTTAATCAAAAAAGGCCCTGATTTCGGAACGGGGGACATGTTACCGGTTTTCGGTCGGGTAGGACACAGAATTAGATCAGGCGTTTGTGTGTAAACCAATCAGTGAAACACATCGAATTTAAATAAAACACTTTAACGGTTTAAAACGCGATATAGTAGTTAAACTTATTTGAAAATGATTTTTAACTTCAGCCCGACGTTTGGGATGCTTTGCAGCAGCCGTGGTCAGCTGCTTAAAGTGTTTTATTTAAATGTGTACCCTACTCGCGTAAACTATAGACAGTACACATACAGAAATGTGTCAGTCCCTTTGCACCCCACCATAAATAGAAAATGTTCTGGTCAAATATGGTTTTGGCTGTAAGATTAACATATTACATTTTACTGCCATTTTATACAAAAGAGAGAATACTTAATAGACAAGTTGCCAAAAGGCTACGTAACATAGACCACCACAGACCTTAATAAGTATTTTTGTTGTTAATAAATCCACATCTAAGCTAAAGTCAGACACATTGTGTCCACACAAGAATATCCAAAGCCAAAATAGGTGTATAGCGCAATTTGTTTAGATGATATAAGTAAGTATGGCTCCAGCATTTCACTTTACCCCTATGCATAAGCTCGTCTATTTTAAAAAAAAGTTCTACTTCTACAAACTCACCATACAAAGGAAGACAGTAATCACAACAATTGCATATAGTGGGTGAGGGTAGTCTTAGACCAGATCTCGTCGCGTTGTTATAACCGCAATCCGGGGCGGTAGGTCTGCATTGATTCGCCGCTTTTTTCAGGTGTTCCTAATGGATGAAAAATTATTTTTCACGGATTTCAAGAGCACGGATCCCTGTGGATGTCGTTTCAAGTCCCGCCCGTATCAAATTCTTACAATCTAAATAGATTTTTATGTTTCAAAGACATACATTGCGGTTGAATGAAAGACACGCTCAGTCTCACTGAAAATCGACGTTGTGCCTACTTCCAAGTACAACAAAAGCTGAGTGGTATCTCTCCACAGACATCTATTTTATTATTTATTTGATTGTATTTCTGTGGAAAAAATGATTTGATACCATGCAAGTATTCCTGGGTTCGAATCTCCTGAAAACAATAACTGTGTTTTAACTGTACTTCACAAAAGATCTGATTATTGATGTAACGTAAAAAGAAGTATTAATACAATTACAAATTCAAATCTCACCAATCACAGTCGTGTTTAGATAATTGTACTTATAATCTAAGGCATTTTTCATTGTTTGATAGGATAGATAATTTAACATTTTTAATATATTGCAAAATATTTTACAACATAGATCTGTAACCCAGGACTACGAATATTAGTATTACGATTTAGTATCTTCTTCTTTCTGTGTTATATCTATACTAATATATAAAGCTGAAGAGTTTGTTTGTATGTGTACGCGCTAATCTCAGAAGGACTGGTTCGAATTGTGTTGGATTTAACCAACCACTTTTATCGAGTCTAGAGCGAAGAAACAGCGGGAAATGTAAAAAAAAACGGGAAAAATTATTCATCCTTGTGGGATTCCGTTGTGTACGCTACGAAAACAGTTCAAGAGGCTCGAAAAATATGTAGCAATTAATGATTTCTCTAATTGCTATATATTTTTTTTTTTATTTTTTAAATTTTTTTAAATAATCTAAAAAAAAATGTCCGTGACGGTAGGTATATGTCTATATTTTTAGATTAACTTTTGCAAAAACAAGACTCAGATCTGGTGTCACGTCGAACGACGAAGTCGCTGACACAGCTAGTTAGTTTATATCACTGGTTGTGCATCCCTAGACGCCATTTTATTTATTACATATTATTATTCATTACACCAACCGTACAAAATCCATTTTGGCACAACACATCACAGCACACGGGCAGTAAACACGTCACAAAACAAAAGAACAACACAATAATTTTAGCGGCCATCTTGTCATGTTAATTGGTGTACACTGATTTCCGTTTATGTCGATATCTTATCGTCGTTATATCTTTTATAATCGGTAATTTCAATCAAATAAGGTTTATGTATCGCCGCTATTCAATGACGCATATATGCCACTAATCAGAATTATTCGTTTCGTCATCTGTCGACCCAATGTAGTACAAAAGACAAGGTCAATCCACTGCTAGTTTCAGCTTGGTTAGACACCGGCGGGTGTTGAACCTGCATCAACAACGACACGTGGTGTTGCTTGAACCATTTGACGCTTTGATTGCAGAGCTGCCGTCCTACACGTCATCATCGAAATTCTGCAACCTATACAATATGTACTTCTCGAACCAATGCCTTTCACCCTTAATATTTACGTATAGTTAAACGTACTATGCTTTACAGCTGGAACCATTGAAGATGAAATTACAGAGTTTTACCAATTTTGATCAGTAATTACATTTTAAAAGTAATATAAGACAATCTTGCTCTTTTTAAAACAACAGCACGGAACGCTGACGATACCGGTCAAGTCCTGCCCGAGTCGAAGTTTTTTTTAATTCTTGCTATTTTTAAATTATATGTAAATGATTCAATTATATGGCTTCATGTGCGAAAACCTGTAAAAAATAATAAAGTTTTGAAATATAAGACAATTTAAATAAAACACTTTAACGGCTTACAACGCCATATATTTTATTTAATAATTTATTCCCTTTAAAATTTTAGAAATTATTTAAATTCGTCAAAATTGTTTTTGTAAGTAAACGATTTAACGGAAAGATATTTAGTTAAATTATTTGGAAATGATTTTTAACTTCGGCCCACGTTTCGGATGTTTTGCAGTAGCCGTGGTCTCCCCTTAAAGTGTTTTATTTAAATGAAATCGCGTAAACCATAGACAGTATTTCAAAATTGTTTTGTTTGTCGTGATTCTACCGAGTGTTTAAAAGAGCAACATAACTGAGAAGAACGCCCAAGAAACTCAGTCCGGCTTTTTTTACGTGTCTTATAATCTAATACCAGGACACATATTACTGCCTGGTGGTCTTATCATTAAAGAAATCGTTCAGACAATAATACGCCTTTTGAGACAATCTAAATTTTTAATTTAATTATCGATTAATTTGAAATCTCGACTGGCAATGCATTATAGATACGAATAAAATTCCCCGCATTTTATCAATCTTTCAAAATTGTAGAAATTATTTTTAACTACGGCCCGACGCTTCGGATGCTTTGCAGCAGGTGTGATCACCGGGAGACTTAAGATGGAGGATTTCTCTAATGTCAAAGTAAAGACTGCTACGCTAGCGCCATCTGTTCCGTCGTAGTTAGTATCTGGCGAAACTGGCCGGGCGAGCTGTTACCATATCATGTAGATAAAGTGTTTTCAATGATATAATTGAAATGAACTTCCATAGAATATAATTACATGGTCATCTCAAACTTGTTACACTTAGTTTCTAGTAAAGAAATATGAGTAAGTATAATAAAATTCCGTTTAAAAAAAAAAAAAAACCTCGGGGGAGAGTTGGGGGGGGCCCCGGGGTTTTTATAATTTTAAAAAAAATTTTTTATTTTTTTTTTTCCCTTTTTTTATAAAAAAAAAGAAAAAAAAAAAAATTGAAAAGGTATATTTAAAAAAAAAAAAAAAAAAAAAAAAAAAAAAACCCCCCGGGGGGGCCCCCCCCCCCCCCCCCCCCCCCCCCCCCCCGGGGGCTTATTTTTTTTTTTTTTTTTTGGGGCCCCCCCTCCTATTAAAAATTTTTAAAATCTTAGCTTTTCAATCTTGAAGAGTAGACGTGTTTATTGATCGATGTTTCTGAAAAACTGAACAAAAAATTCGGTTGTCCCCATTCATCACGTGAATTGTCTGAAATTTCCCCCCTCCAAACCCATATAATAAAACAGTCACCCAATTCGCTCCACCGGCTATCAACATCTTAACGTTATCTCTTATCAGTGATAAGGGAAGCACTTATTTACAGTGTTGTGTAATCAATGTATTATGGAAGATTCTTGTACACACATGCCTGCAGATAAAATGATAAATTAATTTTATGACGAGAGATTTCAAAATGTTACACTGTTGTTCGCGTTTTCGTAAATTTAAAAACATATAATTGGAATTTACCAATATCTTAATATAAGATTATGTATTGTCTATAGTTTACGCGAGTAGTACACATTTAAATAAAACACTTTAACGGTTTAAAACGCGATATATTAGTTAAACTTATTGAAAATGATTTTTAACTTCGGCTCGACGTTTCGGATGCTTTGCTACAGCCGTGGTCACGGGGAGACCGAAGTTAAAAATTATTTTTAAATAAGTTTAACTAATATATCGCGTTTTAAACCGTTAAAGTGTTTTATTTACATGTGTACTACTCGCGTAAACTATAGACAGTATTGAATTCCAACATAATTTTATTCATTTATTAGAGATAAGTTGGCCCAGCGGGGATCGAATACACGACTCCTTAATCATTAGCTTACATTGCTATCATTACACCAAAGGCCCCAAAAGATGAATTAAATTATGTTTCATTAAACATAATACATATAACATTTTATATGTATCAAATTCTTGTGGCTCATCGCTTGCAACTCTTCAGTCTTCAATTCTTCTAGTTCTCTTCTCTTCTGTTGAACCAGCATCCGTTCATAAAGAGAGCAACTCCATGACAGTGTTTAAATGCAATACTGTCGACGGATAGCTCTCTTCATTAACAGATTACGTGGTGGTGATACCAGTTTCATTCTGGAATAAAATTGTGACAATATATAAGTATTTGAGGTCGATTTTTTTTATCTTATATAAGTCTTAATATATTTCGCGTTTCAAACAGTTATTATTGTTCTATTGTTATGTGAATGTTCGCGTATCCTACCAGACAATACTTAAAAAAGATATTTTATCGGTTAAGGAAGGAAGATATAAAATCAACGTTTTATTGTCTTTCGATCGCTCTGCCCCAGACAGTTGTGTCAAGAGTGTGTTGTATTGTTTAAAAGTTTATAAACGAGCGTCTTCTCTTTGAATTTACATTATACAGTCACATTTTTAAATCTATACAAATATATAAAGCTGAAGTGTTTGTTTGTTTGTTTCTGTGATCGCGTTAATCTCAGGAAGTACTGTATCGAGTCTTTTTGTTGGTTAGAGCATTTTTCGAGGAATAGTAGCGCAGGCGCAGAAACGGGGGAAATTGGTCACCTTTGTGGGCTTCCGATATCTACATTGCAAAAACGGTTCGAGACACCCAAAAAATGTGTATGAAAAAAATGATTCCTCTATAAATGATCTAAAAGAATGTCCGTGACATATGTCTATCTTTTAATATTAACTTAGCAAGAACGACGGGACCTGAACGATAGGCGAGCGACGGGATGCGACGAATGTCATGTAATATCGCTTAAATTTAAAAATGAAGAGGACGTTTGGATTGAATTTAGATGCCCAAACTAATCTACGCGGACGAAGTCGCTGACACAGCTAGTGTATTATAATCTTGGATAATAGAAAAACCGAAAAGTTCGTCCAGGTCACGGACCACTGTCCGCAGATGAAAAAGTCGTGACGTTTTCCAAGTATCGAAATAGGCCGACGGCGCATCCTATGAGACGTTATATGGCTGGGGTATTTTACATTCTATCAAGTGAGCCCAGTGGTCGTCTGTCCTCCTCTCTCATAATAATTACGATTACACGTAACCCATCAAAGCGAACTATAGTTAATAAGAGAAATAATATATAGTAAATAATACAAGCTTGTAAAATTATTAACATATAGACCGAGATATATTCATGAAACATTGCGTAGGAGCACGGTAATTTATTATCTATTGTCTGGTCTTCGAGTTGCGTTTGAAAGTTACACGTAGTTAATAAAACATATTTGACCGTTTAAAACGCTAAACATTGTTGTTTCTTGTTAACGTCCCCGGTTACCACAGTTGGATATTGTCCAAAGTAACAAATGTAAATTCGCGTTTTAAACTTACATTATCGCTTACTTAATATTGCAATTTAAGAATGCCTCCATTTATATATATTCCCTCTGTGTTCTCTTATATAGCACATATAAGGAAGCACAACTGTTTAAAATGCTACTTTGCTAAAGAAGTGCTAAATGTGTAGGAAAAAGATCCACAATTTTGTAACTTCATTTATTTATTTTATTTACAGCAATTAAAACGGCAATAGCCAGTTAGATTAATTGGAGAGACACATATTAAAACAATAACAATTAAAAATAGGTTATTACAAATTACATTAGGAGATAATTTCAAAGGAAGACAATTCTTTTAGTATTGATGACCAATCATCTGCGAAGACGTCACATTTCGGTCTTAACCGGAGGAGAGCGTTGAGTGAGGTCAAAATTCGCGGTATCGGCGAAAACTCGCGGGCGGAGGTGCGACCTTTTGGGATTGACGTCAAACGGGTCGTGTCTCCTGGGGCGGCCATAGTTGTCCGGGACAAACAGTCGACAAAACTTATATATATCACTATACATAAACCTGCACTATGAAAGAAAATAAAAATACATATTTTTCTCAAAAGGAGTGCTTTAAGTGAACAAATAAAGAAAATAAATATGTTAATTGAACCGTTAAAAGTGTTTAATTTAAACACTAACCATTTCACTCAACTAATTTAACAAGTCGGTATACAACCAACTCTGCGAATTACAATCCGACATTTTGCATTTTATATCCGGAATTCAAACTTCGACCCGCATTAAATTAGAACTATGGGGGTCAACGTTAGATGAATGTATATTTTGTGTTACTGTTACTGGATATGGTATTCTATTTCTATATATCGTCGCTCCACATTGGTGACAAGTGAACACTTTAATTAAGTAAATTCCGGTTAAGTACAAATCCAGTAAACGAGATATGGTTCTTCACGTATATCTCTAAATGGTGCTGTCGATTTATAAAAAAAAAAATTAATAATCAAAGCAAAATGTCCATTGTCCATA